TATGCTCCTGGAGTTTACTAATCGACCCCAGCATGGAAAGAGGCCACACCAACATGAATAAAGTGTGGCAGACGGAAAGCAAAGAAAAACGTCTTTTGTTAACAAAGCATTGGGCTAATTTATAACCCCTTTAAACAGATGGGGGGTCAGTCCCAGCTCCTCAACTAAGCTGGAGTAAATCAAGCCCTCAAAACGCAGACTAAATCGGAGTCCTTGCAGACCTGGTGTAAATCAGTGCTCGAGACGGCAGCAGATGAAGGACAAAGTGATGGACAAAAGGCAGAAGTCCCCAGACTCATAAAGCTCTCTGCTCAGTATCAATACATGCTTTTATTTCACTTTACCTCGGATATATGCGGGAAGATGTAAACCGACGCAGGATAGCATTACAACCAGAACCTCCAACTTAAATTCCATTTTAGAGAGATCAGTGTAAGAGAAGGAGTTATCGTACTGCTCAAAACCGACATGATGTAAACTGTAACGGGTCATTCGATTCCAAGGGCTGCCTTAAAATACTGAGTGCAATTTATCTGGAATTTATGTATTACGTTTATTACTTTTCAATTGATGACACAGAATTGCACCAAATTTGAAAATATCCACCGATTAGACAATAAAAAGCTGAACGGACATAATACTCATAAAACGGAATCATATGGGGGAGTTTTCATAATAGTGAAATTGTGGAGTTGCCAAGTTGTGCTTCCCATTCCCAGAAAGTGTCTAAAGATTATCTCCTAATATTATGATTGGAGAAATGGATTTTGAACTTGAGACATGACCTGACCGTAGCCACCAACTCAGTCCAAATATATTCATTGTTCCCTTGAGGCCTTAGGGTAATAAACCAAAAGCTTTTGGTTTACACATCTCACATAAAATAACAAATTATTATAACTATCTTTATAGTGTGCATTGTGGATTCATGTTTAAATGATGCAGATCAGTTTATGCTAGGTTAAGATGAACTTTTTCATATCCATAACACAAGTTGACAGCCAAAAAATGGTCAGGGGTTTCTCAACTGATTTAGACTAATTTTAGTGTTTTGAGTCCGAATATCACATGCATTTTGCTCTATCAGGTCAACTTTTTGAGATACAGCCATAGTGTTACGGATTACGTACGTCTACGTTATTATGAATTCTGCTCATCAAATTTGATGGAGTGAATAAAAACTGAATGACTTTGGATACGTTGACTTTTATTTCTTGAGGAAAACGGGAAAAACGTCAAGGGTTTCTCAGCTGATGATCCGCAGAAATTTGTTTTTTGCGCAAAATCGATTTAAACAAATATTTCTGTAGCAAAAAATCCTGACCTGATTGAGCAAAACCAAGGTCATTTTCGGACTCAGAGCATCAAAATTAATTCAGCTGGAAAACCCTGGACTATTTTCAAATAATATTTTTTTGTTACCCAGTGTAATCATTGCGTAGTTGTAGACAAAGCAATTTCATTAATTTACTTCTATGAGTTTTCTGAGCTGGGTTGGGTTCAATTCCCACCTCTGCACCTTCTCCACCGACTCCCACTGATGACTGCTGTCGTTGTGTCCTTGGGCAGAACACTTAACCCCACTTTGCCCAAAGCCCCCACTGAAAGATCAAGGCTATGCTCACACTCAGAGAGCAGCCGTCCTCCTGTGGACTCACCACCTGCAGAGGGTCAGTGAGGGGCTGGTGCTATGAGACTTGGGTGGCATCTCTGACTGCCACCCCCCTGACCCAGAAATGGATTAAAGGGTAGAAAATGGATGGATGGATGGATGGAGTTTTCTGAGCATTTCTGATTTGAACAATAAGAATATAACACAGGAAAGGTTTGCAAAAAATAACTGCAGTGGTCCAAGATTCTTATCAATGTTACAGCTGTTTTTATGTACTGCTACATAAAAAGCGGCCAGTATGTTACTTTACATGATCATCATAAAACAACTCTGCAAAGAAACTCATATAATCCTACAGTTAAACAAAATATATCTAAATGATGAGACATTACTGGAGAATGTTCCTGTAATGTTGATGGTTCATTGTTCTCTTATTTCTCTTTGGGTTTTAGTCTTCTTTGGGTCTGAGTCAGGGCAGAGCTGCCACTGCATCGCTGAAACTATTGTTGTGGTCTACATCCCTCAGGCCACATCTGAGCTAAGACATATCATTGAACAGTAATGCATTCTTTAAGAGCACCCTCAGCTCTACATCAGGACATCGTCGACGTTTTGAACTCACACTGCATGTGAAGTGTCATTGCACCACACAGTTCTCCCTGATCTTCTGTTAAGGTTTTGTCCTGCTGATTCTGAGGTTAGATACATCTGATTTTGTTGTCAAATCATTGTCTAAAATTTACAATATATAGCCTATTTTGAAAAGTGACTGGATTCAAAGGTTCAGAGTTTGGCAAGTACTTCGAATGCAGGCAGCTTTTTTTATTTTACTCTCTACGACAACTACTTGGCGTTACAACCTTGGCTCAAACAAGATCTTGCTGGGTTATAAACTACTACTGTAGCCACGGCTTCCCTGGGGTGGACTGACAGAAGTAAGGCTATACAATTCTGTCTCATTGGCCCCTTAATCCACCACCAATCATTCACACACACAGACTCAGACAAGGCAATGTGGGTGATTTTGCCCACTGACAGTTTGGTACTTTACAGCTGCAGGCGCCCCACTGCAGCACCTGGTCTCAGAGGTCTTCCATCACAATACTAACCAAGCCCTGTCCTGCTGAGCTCATATTGCTCTTATTTAAGAGTCTTCTGCGACTGTTACACCAACTGCTGTTCCTTTTGTCATCAGTGCTATTAATTCAATTACTAAAGTAATAATATGAATAAAGACATAACGAATACTGAAGTTGCTTATATTCATTCATTCAATACTTTATTTCGGACACAAGAATAAAAGGTCCATATTAAAAGACATATAACAACAAGAAAAACAAAAAGACACATTAAAAAAAAAAACAAGTACAAGTTAAAGGATAAGTCATTTCCTGTATAGGCTCTGAAGCCAGTGAGTCCATATACTGGAGAAATAACGCACTGAACTCAGACCTGGGTTGGTCAATACAGCAATGATGCTGTTGACAGAGTGGGACATTCTGCACATGCACCTGTACATGAGATTGCGCAGTACAGCAGGACAAGTGGGCACACCTGCATTTACAAACATGGCACTGGCACTGCTCCAACGTGGAACCCTCATCAGCATCCGCATGGCATCATTGTATGCCACAGATAGTTTTTGCAGGCTGCTCTTTTTATAGCACCTCCACAGATGGGCTGTGTACATGGGAGTGCAATATGCCCGAAAGAGTCTTATCTTGACAGGTGGTGAGCACATACCAAACCTGCGGATCAGCATGTTGGCCTGGCCATAGAGCATGCGACATTGCCTGTAGATGTCCCTGTCGTCTGATAAGTCAGCAGACATGTAATGCCCCAGGTATTTACATTCATCGGACACACTCATTCTGTTGCCCGACAGAATGAAAACAGTATAAAGAGTACTGTTGCTATGTTACTGTTATGGGCACCCACCTGCTGTTGTCTGAAATCACAAACAGCTGGGCGAGGCCTGTGGCACGGCAGTGAGCTGGGCACCCGGATAAACACGACTGTAATGACTAGCAGACACGGATAATCACAGTGTTAATGCCAATGTGGAAACCTGTGAGAAACCATTTTGATTTAGAGCATGAATAAGTGTGCAATCTTTTCCTTAACAAAGATGTCAAGTTATAGCTCTATAGTCTTGTGGGGCCCTTTTCCTCAGCCATTTTACTTATATATGTGTACTGTATATGTTTATAATCAATGTGTACACCAGTCCAAAAATAGAACAAGTGTGTTTACTTCTAAATGGCTTCTATTTTGATAAAACGTAGACAATTATTTGTATATAATCATTTGTCTTATAGAAAGGTCTGAGACACTAATTCATGCTTCACAAAGATGATGACACATTTGAGAGTATTGGAGCTCTTTCATCAGAAGGTGGTTTACTGACGATAAGTCTACATGTTGAACTAAACATCAATCATATTGCCACTGTAAAAACAAAATTTCTGCTTCCTCTGTATATTTTTGTCTTTTTCTACTCCCTACCTAAATCACATTCTCCTCTTGTTATTCTACTGTCACGAGATGGTGGCAAAAGGCAGCAGTGTGAACATGTATGGTGCAGTCATACAAATTAACAGCCTATAAATCCTCTGACCCCTTACATATAAAGAACATGTATACACAAACGCATGTCCACAAATGCAGTGATCATGTCTACCACCCAATAAATGTCTACTTGTGTGGGGTCTATAATGGCATGTTTGTCTCCACTCTGTATAAATATTTTGAATTTAAATTAAATGCTGGGACGGGGGCTTCGTTCCCTGTCTGAACTCTCTGAATACATTCTGGTTTATTTAAATTGTGAGTCAAATGCAGGATTAAAATGTTCTGGACGTTAAACAATATAGGCTACATTGTCAAAAAGGCAACGATTCTGCTAATCTGATGATCAATAGACAAGAAAATGACCTACATTTCTAAGCAAATAAGTCATAGGTAATCTAAATAGCCTTTCTCTCAGTAAACCAATTTCATTATAGTGGAGAAGAATGAGTATTTCAATTAAAACGGTTCTTTATTATTGTAAGAGTCAAAAAATAAACTTCAAATCATGTGGATTAGACTACTAGGCACCACTCTTCACATGACTGAAAAAATGGATAAACAATTTTATGCACAAAAATAGCAAAGGACACATCTCAAGTTAGTTGAATTGAATGTAAATGATTGTGAATGTTTATTGTTACTCAAAATATTCATCTCTAATTCAATGTTATGTTGCGGCGCCCTCTTCAGGCAAACTTCAGGCAAATGCATGTACTATGTTTGACCAGGAGAGGGCGCTGTTTGACACTGAAGCTGTCACCGGAAGCGCACAGCTCCTCCAGCCACTTACGAAAACCAACCAGTGATGTCTTTGTAGCTGCTCGTTTTGTAAGTAATAATTCTATATGGTCCGTGTTCGTTTAAAAACACAGTATTTAATCCATGGTATTTATGATTCATGTTTGACTGTTCAAATCGTATTTTTTGTCCAGATGTGTCGCAAATGGAGGGAGACGTCTCTTTAAACAATCAGCTGTTCTTGTACTAGCTTAGCACGGTAGCATCAAAACAAAAGCCTTTCATAGATTTAAGGCTTAGAACGTCCTTCTAGTAAGACAAAAAAGTGTAAATACCCCAGTACTGATTAGATAATACATCGATATGTTGTAGGATATTACACGCGGCATATTTGCTTCACATTCTGCAACTATGTTTTAAGAGAATGTCTCAACTAGATTCACTACCATCCGCTATTATCCGATATCTATTAAACACTTGTTTGTTAATTCTGCCCTTCACAATAATTACTGCAGTGTTTTAGATGAATACAATAAAACGTTTTAGATTGCGTGTTATGATGTTGTTACGCGCATATAAATCTTACTTGCTCAAAAAAGGTAGAGGTGCTGTTTCAATAACATTTTGACATGTGACTATATCACGGTCTGCAGGTGCACAATGCCAGCTGAAGGTACAGAGGACCAAGCCCCGGGCAGCGCAGCTCTCACGCTGGGCGGTACAGAGGAGGATGGGGCGGCAGGAGGCACAGCATCCTCTTTTCCAGGGAGCAGCCAAGGCTCAGAGTCTGCGGCTACATACCCGGGCAGTTCAGGACCAGGGGAGGGACCTTCTGGTATATTTCATAGTTTGTATGTTTGGTATATTACATTTCCAAATAACAAAATTTAAAAAAAAATGTTTTTCAAAGGATCAAAGCGGTCAGGAGCATTACTGCACATTGACAGACAGAGAATCCAAGCAGCCTGTGCCAGTTCAGGGGCCGATGAGCTGCAGGGCCTCGGTGTTGCTGTATATGACCAGGAGGTTCTGGAACAGGGTGTGCTCCAACAGGTGGATGAAGCCATTCAAGAAGCCAATCGTGCTTCTGCAAAAGCAGAGGCAGAAAAAGAATACCAGTCAGTACTGGACGATGTCAGGTAAAGGGGTTTAATGAAAAACAATAGCATCACAAAATCATTAGCTAGTCCATACATTATACAGTTATACAAATGAATATGATTCCATAGTGAAATCCACTTAATCTAACATGTGTTCGACATTGATTGTTGTATGCTTCTCTACAAAGCTACTATACTTTTCAGTCTATCCTCAAAATTGTTGTCTCCTTCTTGGTAAACCTTTACAGTTGTTAAAGTAGTTTATTTGATGATGAAGGTTATCTTATCACCTCCAAGCGTTGTTGATATTTTTAGTTTACAGTTACTGAAAATATCTAGACCATGGAACATCTACTCTTTCAAAAATACACCTTGCAATGTTTATTTTGGCCTGTTTTGTCTGTGTTTTTTTAATAGTCAAAAAGTCTCAAATGTTTTATTTGCTTTAAGGTCAATCACATTGGAATTAAAACACATTAACAAGATCATTAATCAACTTGGACCTTACGCTGTCTCCAGCAAAGATATCAACCGAAAGATTGAATCTGTGAAACGACAAAAAGAAAATAAGGTAACAAGGTCACTCTAGTTACTTTGGTTTGTTTGGAGTATATGTCTTGTTTTATTCAAAAGTAATTTGATACTAGGAAAAACAGCTAAAGAAAATAAGAGCCAAACAAAAAAGACTCCAGGCCATTTTGGGTGGAGACGACTCTCTGAAACTTGAACTTTTAGCTGCCGAAGATGATGATGATGATGAAGAAGAAGGTATACAAATAATGCAACTTGACATGAAAACATTCATGTTGTTTCATTTTTGAATGTATGTGTATTCTAGAAGCTGGCCCGTCCACCCTTGGCAGCATGCTTATGCCAGTCCAAGAGACCGAGTGGGAGGAACTTATTCGCAAAGGACACATGACACCATTTGGTACTCGAATCCCACAAAAAGAGGAGAAGCAACCCAGAAAAGTGATGTTAGCCGAAAATTCAGCTTTTGACCAATACTTGGCGGATCAAGCCAAACTCGCAACAGAAAGAAAAAAGCCACCTGTCGCGAAGAAGAGAAAAATCTCAAGTCTCAGCACAAATGGAAAAATAACGGTAAAAAGCAAGTCGGTTTCCCCAAAAGACAAGAAGCTTAAGAAGAAGATACGCAAACTCCAAATATCTGCTTTGAAAGCTCATCCCAAAGCTCGACCTAAGACTGATCCAGCAATTCCAAAACTGAAACAAAAAATAAGAAATGAAGATGGAGAAACTGATAATGAGGGTTCAGAGTATTTACCCAGTGATGAATGCATGGATCCAGACCAAGAGGAGCGGGAGGCCATGGAAGAGGGCTTTGCTGAGGACGATGATGAAGAATATGAATTAAAACCATTCAAGAAGAAGACTAGAGGCAAACAGAAAAAGATGAAGGAAGAAAGTGACGAAGAGTTTATTCCCGAGAGTTCAGATGAAGATAATGAGCAGAAGGGCAAAGCAAGATTTAAAGATGATGGAGATATTGAATTCTACAGGCAGAGAATAAGGTATACAACATGTTTTTCAGCAGAACATTACTTTCCCATCTTTTTACTTGGCTTATACCTGATTAGGTCTCTGGGTCTGCTGCGCGAGGGTACCATTATTATTCCTCTCAGTTTAGAAGAATTCAGTCTGTGCCCACTGTTCACGCAGTAGGAGCACTAATCCCAGATGAGATTGGCAGCTGTTTCTTGACTAAGCAAATTCAGCCCCCGTTGGACTTCTTTCTCTGCACTCACATCGGCCTAATTATCCTCCTGCACATGGTTTTATACACTCACACTAATGCTCAAATTAATGGAAGAGCAGCTCTAATGAGATTTCATATTTATAGCGGCCAAATAAATTGTGTTGGCATGTGTCCTTTTTATACTGTACAGTGATTGAATGTCAATTCAACAGACATGGTGTGAATGGAGAGGCAAGCTCATGTGAAGAATGATATTATTAGACTGGGCAGTTTTTGTAGATGGGTGGGGTGGGGAGGGGGCAGAAAAGTGTAATTAACTGAACCAATGCTTAGTCTTGACTTAATTAGAGAATGTGGTCTCCAAGGCCCAGCTAAAGGACCAGTTCTGTGGCAGGGTGACAGGACCAAGTCCAAATGAAGATGGATTCTTATCCTATCCACCTCACACCTTTCTGGGGAACTCTCACTACTAATTGTCTGTATCAATCTTCATTTGGTGTGCGACGACTGCCCTCTTTTCTGCACTCTTAAAACTCCTTTACATTTCCTGTTTTCTGTAAAAGCACTGAACTCAAGGGACATACCTGCAGCTCAACCACTTGCTATCGATACACTTTTGTAGGCAAAATTTAAAATAAACCAGTTTTCATAATGGCCGGATATGCACTTTGTAACCTGAACTGTACCTCCAATGTGTAATATATATCATTAATTTAATATATCATACAAGGGTAACATGTTTGGCTTACTATTTAACTTTTTGAATGATAATAAGAATTAGTGAGGCTTTAATCAAGTTTCTTCATTAAAATTATTATACTTTGAGTAGGAAATGGAAACGACAGCGTCTACGAGAAAGAGAGGAGAGAAGGGAGAAAGCCGAAGAGCTCACAGATGATAGTGATGCAGAATTTGATGAGGGGTTCAAAGTGCCCGGATTTCTCTGGAAGAAACTTTACAAGTAAGTTCTACTCCTTGCAACCTAAACTGTTTATTTTATACCAGCAGGACTGCAGTGTCCAGTCTAAATACAATACTTGTTATAATAACACTTAGATACCAGCAGACAGGTGTACGATGGCTGTGGGAGCTCCACTGTCAGCAGACAGGGGGCATCCTCGGTGACGAGATGGGACTGGGGAAGACCATCCAGGTCATCTGCTTTTTAGCCGGTCTGAGCTTCAGCAAACTTCGGACTCGAGGGTCTAACTACAGGTACACACACCAACACTGTGGTCCGCGACTGTGTGTCTGTATGGTATGAATATTTGATTAGGGAAGTTCAGCTTGAGAGTGTTCTCCTGAATTATTAAACATGTTTCAATTATCGGACTGTTCACTTTCTTACTGCAGACATCAGAGAAATCTGTGTATTCTGTTGAGTAGTGTCTCCTTGTGAACACTCAACACATTTTCAGACCCTTAAATGTGGTTGGAGCAGGTGCGGGGCAATAAATTAGGTCCTGAAAAGATGATGCTCTGACGGTAATAATGTGCTTTTACTGCACGGCACAAAATTGTGCATTTAAGGGTGGAGCTTCGCTTGTGATCAATACTCTGTCTTCTATAGACGCCCACAAATTGATTGCTTGCAAACTCAATTATGGCCCAGTATCAATAGCTTTCCCCAAGCAGAGGTTCATGCCAGCCCATTAGGGGTTTGTGTGTGTGTTGAAAAAAGCTCTCTTTGAGTTCACACAGAAATTATCTCTTGTAAATCAATTGGAATAATTGAAAAAATCTGCTTATCATGCCAATTAAAAACAGTCACAAGCAAGGCAGTGAGATTTAAGTCTTGACTATGACATTTTTGGTTGTAGGTATGCTGGTCTGGGTCCTACCATTATTGTCTGTCCAGCAACTGTTATGCACCAGTGGGTGAAGGAGTTTCACACCTGGTGGCCCCCTTTTCGAGTAGCTGTCCTCCACGAAACTGGTTCTTTCACAAGCAACAAGGTGAGCGCCTCATGTTAGAACGTAATTCCCCTGGAGGGCACCAGAGATCTATTCAAAGGAACATGGCCTCCTTCTAAATGCTTTTATTTCATTGCAGGAGAGACTTATTCCAGAGATTGCCTCTTGTCACGGTATCCTGATAACCTCATATTCAGCTGTGAGGAACTTACAGGATGTTTTACTGCGCTATGATTGGCACTACATCATTTTGGATGAGGGTCATAAAATCAGAAATCCCAATGCTGGAGTTACTATGGCTTGCAAACAGGTGATTGACCAACTTGAACTATGATTGTGGGATTGATAGAATTCATCCAGATTCTGCTCTTCATCCTGTTTTCTCTTTATTTTTTATCCTTTTAGTTTCGCACTCCTCACCGGTTCATCCTGTCAGGCTCCCCCATGCAGAACAATTTGAAGGAGCTGTGGTCTCTTTTCGACTTTGTATTCCCTGGAAAACTAGGGACCCTACCCGTTTTTATGGAGCAGTTTTCTGTGCCTATCACCATGGGAGGATACAGCAATGCCTCACCTGTGCAGGTAAATCGATATACAGTTCATACAACTCAAGATGAGAGAAAAAAACTTAAAAATAAATCCTAGATTGTGAATTTCCAATTAATTGACTATGGCAATAAAACACTCTTATTCTGTGAAATAATGTCGACACAAGCATAATGGGAATACCAGTGCATTTCGTCCTGAGTAACATACTGAAAGTGTATTAGAGTATCTCTGACTCCCTTGTGTGTGGAAGGAGGAGGCTAAAGTAGAAGGGAGTGAGCTAAATTGTGGCCCTCTGTCATTAGTGTCCAATCGTTAATAACCCACTGACTGTATGGATTTAATTATTTAAGCCAGCTATTGATGCTCTTTCCGCTGTCGATAATAAAAACCTTTACTAATTATTAATGTTATTAAATGGTCAGAGAGAGCTGTGCTCTGCTGCTTTATACAATGGACCCAGTACACTGTGCCTTTTTCAGTCGACCTGAAAATACAAATACAGCAATAATTGCAAGTCCATTGATAATTGGATCATCTGCTGTTTTTACTTCCCTACCCATGATGACTTTATTCCATGTCCCACGGAAATAGTCCCCTCCAGGCTTCCATGATATGTCTATTGTTTCTTTTGTGGACCCCTGGTGAGTTAATGTTTAAAGCTAACAGGCCTTGGATGAGGTTGGCCATGGATGAGACGTAGCAGACCATCTGTATTCCCTGCAAAATCTAAGACTCCCGCCCAGAACAAGGGAGGGAGGAATTTTTTGTCCCTTAAGAACACTGCTCTCTGATCAATGTTTAATGGCTGTTTGTGAGACTATGGACTGGTGGGATGGCGCTCAACAAAAAAGCCTTGCCTCAGGAAAAACTCATGACGTGTTGGAAGTGTTGTTTAAGAGGCTAAATGTTTGTAGATTGCTGTTTTGCATAGATTAAATGATTAACATGTTTCTTGTTGCAGGTTCAGACGGCTTATAAATGTGCCTGTGTGCTTAGAGACACCATAAATCCATACCTGCTCCGGAGAATGAAGGCAGACGTGAAGGCCAATTTATCTCTTCCCGATAAGAATGAACAGGTATTCATGAGTCCTGCAAAACATTTGACCCTGGTCTTAGTGTTCGAGTAATCTCATCTGTTTTGACTGTTATGGCCACATCTAAAGAGTATTTGATGAATGTATATTTGATGAATTGTCCTGTGAACTCTCCTAATAAAGTCATGTTAAAGTAAAACGGACAGCTATTCATTAAGGTGGCTGGTCTCTGGTCTGTCCTCTGGCATGATGCTGGTTGACTTCTCAGTCCAATTCAGCTCATTAAGTCAGTCCCTAAGGATTGTGTGGCGCTAAAAAAAGACACCACTTCCTTCTGATTTATTTTTTCACACACTTAATTTCTTGTAGGGGCTTTTAAAGGAGATGTTCATAGCTCATTACCGCTCTTATATGACCTTTTGTCTCTGTGCAGGTCCTGTTTTGCAGATTAACAGATGAGCAGCGGGAAGTTTACCAGGGATTTTTGGATTCAAAAGAGGTTTACCAGATACTGAATGGAGACATGCAGGTAAGGTTTCAAACACTTAACAGTTTTTTGTTTTCAATTTATTTGCTACACAAACCGCCCACTGCTTTAATTTATTCTCACTATAAATAAAAAAGTAAAAAAAAAAAAAAAAATATCCAGAAGGAGCGAATTATTATTGTTTTGTTTACCAGACCGAAGAAACCATTGGTCTGTAGGGTAACTAGATGGCCAATGTCCATAAATGTCCTGGGTCATCACTAACCCGATCCTCCTACAGAGCAGATTAAATCATGGTTGATGGTGTGAGAGTTTAGTTTAACATCTAATTGCTTTGTTTTAGCATATTTGCAGACACTTCCCTTGAAGAAGTTGTACATTTGCATTAGCCTGGCCCAAGAGGGATAGATAGTCGACTGCTCATCACCCCTGACCAAATGGACGTGGATGTAGAGCCATAGGTTACCACAGTAAATTGCTCACACAGTCATTTTTGCAGGAGTATTCAGTGGTCACTCTCAGTCCATTAACCACCATTACTAATGCAGTGACCACCGGGCCTCCGTCAAGAGAAGCACTTTTTGTGTGTTAATAAATTATGTAACTCATTTTTGTTGCCTAAAGTAAATGTGCTTATTTGTTTAAGATACAGCTGTAAAACAACATGCAATACTCCTTATGATCAATTATGTTGACTAATTGCTGTGAGGTGTTTTCAACATATTCTTATTAATTTTCTATGTGTTAGGTTTTTTCAGGTTTGATTGCCCTCAGAAAGATGTGCAATCACCCGGACCTGTTCTCAGGCGGCCCCCGGATGCTGAGGGGAATCCCTGAGGACCAGCTGACGGAGGAGGAGCACTTTGGCTTCTGGAAACGCTCTGGAAAACTGATCGTGGTGGACTCTCTGCTGCGGCTTTGGTTCAAACAGGGTCATCGAGTCCTGCTGTTCACTCAGTCCAGACAGGTGACAACACTGTTATTCATTCACCTGGTTTGAGTTTGTATTGTCTTTGTTTCAGTCAATTCATGTTGTAGATAACAACACTTAAACACAGGACTCCTAGATCACACACTTGATCTGTCAGGATCTATGCTGCATGTGCCCTTTATATATATAATGCACCCTCATTCATGTTATTTTTAAATGATCAAATTGCTTTCATATATTTTTGAACTATTTGAATCAGGACAGATTTTAAAACAACTAAAAAATATGTTTTCCTGTATTGTAAAACAATGAATGTTCCTTTTGTATTTATTTATTTGGGGGAATTTTAGGTTTTAGCTGATGTGGCTGTATGTGTACAAGTGGCACATGTCAGTGAGGCCCCAGCTGTTGTAGTCAATAGCAATGAGATTATACCTCAGGCAACCTGAGAGTCTCCCGTCCATGTAATATTAATCTGCTCTAATCCTTTTAGAGATAATCCAAATCTCAGCCCTCTTCTTAATTTTTATCTTTGCCATCTCTTCACCTCTCATATGCTGCTTAGATGTTGAACATCCTGGAGGTCTTTGCGAGGGACAATAACTACTCGTACTTGAAGATGGATGGCACTACAGCTATAGCGTCACGGCAGCCCCTCATCGCGCGCTACAACGAGGTGAGGATTAGCTGCCCCTAATGGATCTGTTCTGTTGAAAGTTTCCTCCCGAGGCAGAATGCTCTGCTTGCCCTGAGGTGGGGGCACGAATGTTGACAATCTGTTGGTCAGAGTGGGACCAGTCACTTTGTTTTTCATAAGGTCATTCATTGGTGCAGTTAAAAAACAGTACCTTATACATTTTTTCTCTGTAAGAATCTATTTGATCAGTTACCCTTGTTTTGTTTTCAGGATAAATCCATTTTTATTTTCTTGCTGACTACAAAAGTTGGAGGTCTGGGAGTTAATTTGACGGGAGCCAACAGGGTCATCATCTATGATCCAGACTGGAACCCCAGCACAGACACACAGGTGTGTCCAGCTAGAATATTCGATATCATGGAGAAATGTGATTGATTCTTTAATGTATTTCATCCATATGACCAATTTGTTTCTAAAGGCACGTGAGCGGGCTTGGAGGATTGGACAAAAACAGCAAGTCACTATTTACAGATTGTTGACTGCGGGCACTATCGAGGAGAAAATCTACCACAGGTTGTATGCCTTTTATAATAATAATAATAATAATAATGCATCGGCTTTATAGAGCGCTTTTTTTGACACTCAAAGACGCTTCACATGTGTCATTATTCTTTCACTCCATACACAGTGATGATAAACTACTACTGTAGCCACAGCTGCCCTGGGGCACACTGACCACCACCAACCATTCACACACACCAGACTCATTCTAGGCAATGGGGGTGAAGTGTCTTGCCTAAGGACACAACAGCAGTTTGGCACTTTACAGCCGCAGCCGCCCCACTGTATATCTACAAATACACTCTATATTCTATTTTACATATTAAACCAAACCAAGCCACACAATCACATAATGTGTTTTGTCCTATCTTAAGATTTTCTCTGTAAATTTTGGTTATTGTTTTTCACTGATTGCATATCAATGAGAAAGATTGACTTTTATATAAATTTTATGACATGACTACTGGTAATTGCTAAACCTTATAATTATGCCACATAATTGAAAAGCTCTTTAGTTTTATTAAAAGACCACTCTTGGAGCCTTAAAATATGTTTTTAAGTATATGTTTTAATAATGTGTACTTATTTTAGGTCTAATATATATTTTTTAAACACACGGCGTAGCTTTATAATACAGAAGTTGATTAATTGTCTCTTAAATCACTTTAAGTATTCTGCAGTAACTGGGGATAGGGGATTCCTGCTGGGCCAAAATAAAGTCGAATCATCTAATTATGATTTTTTTTTTTTTATTCAGGCAAATCTTCAAGCAATTTCTAACCAACCGAGTGCTTAAAGACCCTAAACAACGACGCTTTTTCAAGTCCAATGACATCTACGAACTGTTTACGCTGTCGGATCCGACTGGTGCCCAGGGAACTGAAACAAGTGCCTTATTTGCAGGTGTTTTTCTTTCTTTCTTTTTTGACAATTCAGTTTAGAATTACAGGAGAAAGTAACCTTCCACTCTTTCTACATCACAGGCACTGGTTCAGATGTCAAGGCACCAAAGAAAGCAGAACGCGAAACAAAGGCCTATTCCAAAAATATGTTCAGTTCAAGCAGCTCTTCAAAAACACTACATAAGAAAAAATCTGACAACCAAGAACGGGGGTTAGGGCTGAGTTCACTAAATGAAAACGTAAAAAGTAGTGGACAGCACAAATCTGCACTGACCAGTCCTCAGAAACACAAGGCAAAGAGGAAGCACTGTCACACAAATGAGGGCACAAGACCCAAAGAAAAAAAACGCAAACGCTCCAGAGATGCACGGTTTGAAGGACACCGAATATCTCATTTAGTTAAGAAAAGGGACTTTAAGAAAACAGATGAGGAAGAGGGACAAGGCGACAAGGCCAAATCTGATGACTATGTTCTGGCAAAACTATTCAAGAAATCAGGTGAATTTTGAGGCTGCATTCTGCATTAATGCCCATCAAATAGAACTTATTGATAAGTGTTGTCTGTGGGTTTTTTCTTAGGCATCCACAGTGTAATGCAACATGACACCATCATGGAGTCCTCCAACCCAGACTATGTTCTGGTGGAAGCAGAGGCCAACAGAGTTGCCAAAGATGCTTTAAAAGCCCTTAAAGTTTCTCGTCAGAGGTGCAAGCTATCCTATAACTGTACTCCTCCACCAAGGTGAAACATTGTTATGTTGTTGAATTAATATTTTTGTTGCGCTATTTATGGATTAAGATTTTCCCTCTAGAAAAAGATTTGGACAGAAGAAAAATTCTCTTCTAGTTGAACCAACAGTTCAGTCTGTCCCCACTTCAAACAAGTGCAAGGTAGTAGTGATCATTGTGTTTTTCTCTCACTATTCTTAGTGCTGGATTTTAATGCATTCATGTGCGTTTTTAGGATGCTGCAATAATAAAAAAGTCTAAAAAGCCAGGATCTGGGGCTCACTTCAGTGGAGAGGGGGCTGACACTGATGCTGCATCTCCAGCGCTTGCCTCCTCCTCGCTGCTCGCCAAGATGAGAGTTCGCAATCACATTAGTGTCCCGTCTGGACCAGGAGTCGAAGAAGAGGAAGAAGAGGCTGACGCTCAGCCGACGAGCGAACCACCAGCTCCACACACTGAGCATGACGAGCTGTTGGTTGATCTGCGAAACTTTATTGCCTTCCAGGCACATGTAGACGGACAAGCAAGTACTCACGAAGTGCTGGAGTATTTTAAACCACGACTCACTCAAGCTCAAGCTCCTGTTTTTCGAGAACTCCTACGAAGCATTTGCGACTTTCACCGAACGGCTGGTCAGGAGGGCCTCTGGAAACTCAAGCCACACTTTAGCTAAAAGTGCTATGTAATATTCTATTGTGTACATGAAAAATACTTTTTGTACATTTCTCTCATTGTTTTTTTTTCATCTTTGAGAAGTAGAGAATTATTTTGCCACATGTTGTTTGGCATCTTCAGGTGTTACCTGATCATACTTGAAATGTTTACGTAAAACACTGACTTGAGTAGTTCTATATTCAAACGGTTTTTATCTTTTAAAACAACAAATATGCCTCTAATTTTTCCATCTGTTCGGTTTTATACGTGACGTGTAACTCAAAACATATATCACAAGTGTAAAATATATGTATTTTAGGGTGCTACTAAAACTGGAATTGCTGCAAAAAAGTCATTTGGATTGTAATATTGTGCAATAAACTATTTTCATAGAAAATCATTAAGCTCTTACTGTTTTGAATAATTAAGTACAAATACAGCCAAATCTAAGTATTTTATCCCATACAATACATGTGAGAAAAGTAGCACAATATGCATGCATGTAATATTGTGAATATTGGGGCAAATAAAGGAATATTGTATCTTATTGTAACTCTTGTAATGACCTAAATCCACTTTAAACATCCATCAGAAAAAAGTAATATTATTTTTTACATGCTTGCCCCCGATCCTGGGACAGAGACAGACCAAGTTAGTGCTTTTTTTTTATTTATTTTTTTAAGTACTCGGTTCTAGGTTCCTTTGTTTAGGACAAAGGGTTACAGTGGTGCTGACCATGGTCCTGAAGTTCATTCATGCCTAGAACAGCGCGTCTCAGGCCTGTAATTGTGAAGAGTTGTCTAGACCAAATATTAGGATAAAGTTATCAACCGTTATTTGATTTCAATTTTCTAGACGTACCTCACTGAGGTCATAACAACAACTTTATTTTCAGTGGTGCATAAATTAATTACGCGCATTTAATAACTAAAATATCATTATATTCCCCCTTTAATAACATAAACGCTGCACGCCAGGGAAAGCCTTAATAGCGCGGGGCCCTGTAACTGGCCATTATACGCCTGTAATGATATTACAGAACCAATTACGCACCATTAGACGGGATTTTCTGCACTTTATGTGGTTTAGTCCAATCCCACACTCCTCTTCTAAATTTCAGCAGCTTCTCGCAGCCTCATTTTGCCTTCACCTTAGAGACGCATGGCGTCTACGCTCTGTCGTCCCAAATGCGCTTTAAAACTAATTGAAAGGGTCCCGCAGCACATCATTTATCTGAGGAAGCGAAATAAATCGCGGGACCCCTTGCTGTGAACAAAATCAAAAATTTGGCCTTGTGAGTGTTCTACATACGCCAGCTCCTGTAAAGCGGAGCCCTAACGCACCCTGACGAGCCATTACCGCGCCCGACAGTCAATCTAAAACCCAAAAGAAGTCATCTAGCTTTTTTTTAATATATGAACGAACAAAATAAAAAGTGCAGTGGGCTAGCGCGTGTGTTTATGGACAGGGAATTTGCCTGACTCTGGAATAACAATCACTTGTGATGAATATTGTTGTACCAAAGCTGAATAGAGCAGTCACTCGGGTGCACTTCTCCTGCCTCTGTCTTTCCTTCTCTGACACACGCCCGCACAAGACTGGCCCCGGGTTTGAGCGAGACAAAGCCTTGATAATCCGATTACCACCAATTAGACATGAGATTGTCTCACGCTCACTGAAAGCCTAAACATAGACAGCCACAGTTATGGAGACATCTGGACACCCCCGGAGAGTGTCATCCGAGAAGGTGTGTGGCTGCATGAGGGTGAAACTGCACACCCACATACACACACAAACACACACACAGACACACACTTACATAGACACACCCACCCACACTCACACACACACACACACACACACACACACACACACACACACACACACACACACACACACACACACACAAAACACACACTCACATAAAGCGCGCACTTACGCACGCGCAAAGAGGAGGACGCGTTGCATCCGCTTCACATCCTCAGCAGCATCCTCCCGCCCTTCCCTGCACATAGTGTGTGGGACATCCTTCCTTCCAGCTCTGCACACACGGTGTGTGGGACAGTCAGGAGGAAGTTCAGCCTCAGTCTTCTTCAAACCGCTCCTGCTCTTCTTCGGCTCTGCGCGCTCCGAGGCTCACAAACTTTTGCATCAGGATGTTTTACTTCCACTGTCCACCGCAGCTGGACGGAGAGTGCTGCCGCACGAACACGTGTAAGAGAATTTTCTTTATTCTTACTAATTGTTTACATTGAAAACTGACATTAGAAACATTTAACATATAGTTACACAGGCCTGCGTGTCTTTAAGTAGTTCAGACATTTCTCTATACTTCTTTTTCGCTAAATCTTTAAAAGCACTTGTAGTGTTAGGAAGTAATATCTTTAAAAGGCACAACATGATCGTATAGCCTATTTTATACAAGAAGTAAATTATGTGTTAGCTGACCGTTTACAGGGACTCGCGTTGAAATGTTTAATATTGCGGTCTACAGTCCTATAGGCCTTAATCTTGGGCACAATTATAAACACTCAAACGAGATGCACAACAGGCCTACGTGGTTTTACCTTTCTCTTTTATTTTATTTTAAATTTCAGTAAATTCCAGTGGCTTTGGGAACCACCCCCCCACAGACTTTGATGATGGATTTTTACGCAGAAAACAACGAAGAAACAGAACTACATTTACGCTGCAACAGGTAAGAAGCAAATTTGATCTGTAAAAGATTCAGAGAAAACGAACATATTGGTTGGCCTTGTACCAGTTATTAATAGTCTAGAACAAGTGGCCTCATAACTTTTTACTGTTGAGAACCAAAACACAGATCACTAACCGGCCTAAATTAGGGTTCACGGGTGAGATTTGCAGAACAGCCGTGCGCACTCTAATGTGGTCTTGATTCATTTGTTTTGAGCTGTGTTGTTTTGCTTTTGCAGCTTGAGGCTCTGGAGGCCGTGTTTGCGCAGACACACTACCCAGACGTGTTTACGCGAGAGGAGCTGGCCATGAAGATCAACCTGACCGAGGCCAGAGTGCAGGTACCGATGATCAAATACTGTCTGTGTTATAAAGTCTGTATGGATGTAACACTGACTCTGTGGAAGGCACGTGTGTCCGCGCGAGTCAAAGGCTAAATTAAGCCACTCTGTCATTCTGGCCATACACTTTAATAACATCAACATAATGGTGAATATTAGATTAGCTTGATTAATCGGTCATTCATAATTAAGCAGCGATAATGTTCCTCACTAATTTGTCCGTGTCTCAAAGGTAGGAATAGATCATGTACCCCAAACAGGAACAAGAGACAAACCTGGAGTTCTTTACTGCGCACTCAGCCTATATATTCGTACACAACATATACTGTACCTTAAATTTGCCAATTTATATTCTGCCGCTGCCCTGCACAAGCTTGCGTTTATAAACTTGGCCAGATGTAATTAAGTTATGTGTCCTGTATGTAATTTCCTGCATTCCAGATTTGCTTTTGGGTTTTGTTGTGCGAGCAGATCTAATTGTGAGAAATATAATAGTTTGCCTTTTGTTCCCCAGGGTCATCTTACTATTGCTTAAACCCAATGGCGGGCTTGATAATGGAATCCAGCGCTGTAAATTAGGGATTGTAAACAAATTATTCCCCTCGTAATCCGATTACCACATTCCTATTATTAAATCTGAACATGAATCCACAGCAGTATGCAGGGATATTAAACTTACATTATTATTAGAAAATAAATTTCCTTTCTGTTGTAGTGTTGTGCCCCCCTTTTTGTAAAGTGTCAATTGGCCTCCCCCGCATTAAGAGCACGGCAAATTGAGATTAATGGAGCAATTATAGCCCATTCAGAGCAACGGGCGCATGGGGGGGCGCGACTTCTCGCTGGAAGGTGCAAGGGTGAGATAAGTCCATGCCTCGTATTGTTGTCCTGCCACAAAAATGTTGTCTTTTCTTTATGCCGAATGAATGCACATGGTTTTGTTTCGCTGTTGACACCATTTGTACCTCTGCCACAATAGCGCAGCGCACGAGCGGCACAATTTCTCTCTCCATTCACACACATCATGATTAATGCCCACAAGAAGCTGGTCCTAATCGAATCTGATGTTGTCAAACAATCACTAAATAGGGAAATAAACGACTTCATCATAGCCGGCGCTGCACAACTGTCACTGGGAAGTCATTAAAATATGATAATGAAAAATTGCTCAATTAAATGTAGTTATAGGCAGTGACCTTCATTTGATTAAGATAGCACAACTTGGCTTTACATTCACAGTGCCTGCATGGAAATTGCTCTGTCACAGTTTTAACATGACACATATAATTTGATATTTTTTCTTTCTCTGAATCATAGGTTTGGTTTCAAAACCGCAGAGCCAAGTGGAGGAAGACTGAGCGAGGGGGAGCAGACTCTGAGGGAGGAAAAGAGCCATTGAGTGAGGGCTCTCCTCCGTCCCGCAGCATCTCCCAGTCCCCTGTAGACCCGGGCCGGAAGCAGAAGGAGCCACTGGAGATGCAACAGAGGTGAAGAAACACCTCAAAACCACTGTATTTGGAATCCATTACCTTTAAACCTTAACTTATATGCATGAAGACGTTTAATGGGTGGATTTGATTGTTCTTAAAGCAGGACAATCAACCACAGTGTTCTAAAGTTTTTAAAAGGTGTGGCATTATCTGCATGGCATTATCCTCTGAACCGGATTATTTAGGACCGCTGCAAATCAAACTTCTTGGAATATTTCACAATAGAATAAAATACAAACTAACAATAAAGGTGTCATTTGTCATCATCAGAGACAAAACGTCGTATATGTGTTTCATTTAAATCTTGCCTAAATTAAAGAAATAAAAATAGGCTTCACTCAGATAATTACAAATTACTAGCAACAACTGTATCAAAATAAATACATATTTTTAGATTATTTTGTATTTTTCATGGATTTGACATGTGCATTTGCAATGTATTCACTTTCTTTGACAATATTGCAGTATATGGATCTATGAGCTATTGTGCAGCTTTAGCATTGTGTATCTTATTGGTATTTGTGTTATAATGCAGCATCAACAGGACAGTGGGCCCCGGTCCGTTCTTTCCGTCTTGTATACCAGGATCACTTCTCAACTCGGCCACATATGCCCAGGCCCTGTCTCAGGTCGCCACTCTAAAAGGTAATCCAGCATTTTGTAATTTTTTTAATTATGGGATTTAAAGTACTGTATGTGTTGTTTAATCCAAATCCAGCAGAGGTATTGGATATTAGAGGTTTGGACGTATAAAGTTCTAATCAAAGTTTGTTTTTCTTATGTACTCACAGGTAACGGCCTGTGCTCCTGCTGTGTGCCGGACCCTATGGGCTTGTCCTTTCTGCCGCCCTATGGTTGCCAGGGTAACCGCACTGCCAGTGTTGCCGCCCTGAGGATGAAGGCTCGCGAGCACTCGGAGGCTGTCCTGCAGTCTGCTAACCTGCTCAGCTCCAGTGTGGGCCATGGAGTCCTGTCCCCTCCTCTGCCCCGGTCAGCTGTGGGACCACCCATAGAGGTGCCCAGCAGTGTGGGGAGAGGCCCAGACAGCTCCAGTGCCAGTCCTGTGGCCAAGGTGCAGGTTTTGGGGAGCCATGCAGACAAACATGGACATTGCTCCAAAGATGCTCTGGAAAAGAAGTGAAAAATTCTAAACTGAGAGCGTCTGTACCTGAAAAGTAAAGCACAATTAAAGGACTTGGGAAAACCTCTAAAGAAGAACTGGATGTACTGTATTCGCGGACTCAAATCTTTACTCAGCAATGAATTTCAATTGTTTGTGAGAAGTATCTTGGTCCCAAAAAAGCACAAGTGTGTTCTGGATCTGCAGTATTTTATGCACTCTTATAGGACTGATTAAGATGCATCCATTTGATAATGTGAATCACTGTTTATTTTCAATGACAGAAGTTCATTGTGAATATTATTATTGCATGTAATCGTATACAGCTAAAAGCAGAGCACTGACTATCTATTGAATATGTACAGTAATGTTGTGCTTATGGCATCGGCTCAACACTAGTCTGTTATAGAGTGCACTTTACTGACTCTGGTGTGCAGTAATTGATGTGTTGTGACAGATTGGTGTATATTTCTCCTCTGTTAGCACATAGCGCCGGCAGACAGGGGCACACCAGTCCTGTTGTGACACGTTCTATAAAACAATTAAAGATGTAGCCGCTCATGTTCCTCTCCTGTTGCCTCTTGCTTCAGCCATCTGTTCAGATACATTATTTATCAGCTTCCTCTCATCGCAAAGACTGAGCCAATTGTATGACTTTACGATTTAGCTTTTCTAAAAACACTTATGCCTCCTTTAAATTGTTATTTGATACATTTGTAAATTTTATATAATTGTCATTTGATAAATTTAAATGTTTTAAATACATACATTTTAATTAGATTCATTTTAAAACAGGCATCATAAAAATAAAATTTGCAGCCTCCAGCTGGTCCAATTGACTCACAAAGCAAGGAGTAGAATTTGGGCTTTATTCAATTTATGTCCTTGAGGATTTTCTGAAAATTACTTTTGATAGTCAATAACGCAATTAAGTAAACTACACTCACATTATCATAAATAATTAATAGGAAATTATGTATTACCATGAAGTAGTGGATCAATAATTGATGAAGAAACACCCTGGTGACACAGAGGAGGGTAATGTCATGTAAAGTCGTCTCTCTGCAGCACAATCTCATCTTCAAAATATCCTGAAAAATAATAATTAAAAAAGCTACTTTCCTATCATTCTTTTACACGTGTAAAAAATGTTGTCATTATTTATCCAAATATTTTATAATCTCCCTTCAATGAATGATTTAATCCTTTTATAATCCAGGTGTCCTATTGTATTGAGTGTGTGTCCAAAAAAATAAATAACGTCACTGCTATAATATTATCATCTTTGTTTAAATGCATGAAAGAGACTCCAAGTAAAGATGTTAAGCCTTATGACATGGCAGCTAATGATAACGTAATATCTCTATACAAATAGTCTCCTGTTCCAAAAATGTACTATTATGGACAAGCGAGGGCTGCCAAGTCGCACAAAAGATGCAGAAAACACATTCAATCTCTGCAAAATTGAATACAGTAGTTGTGGAATTTAATCATTAGCCAAAACAAAAGAAGCTGAAGTTGTAATGACTCCGATCATCATTAAGTTCTGCATGCTGCCCATAATTCACGGCTTTAATATTTCATAAACAAGTCAAGTTGGTGTTGACATTCAGCTGTGCATGTGGCGTCATTGATAATTTTGTCACCTAAAAAAAGTCCTGAGGCAGTTTTGTGGAGCATTGTTATATCAAATTAGCTGGAGAGCAGCCAGAAAAGCAGACAAACATGGTGAATACGGGGGACAGCAGTTGAACTCTGTTCTTACAGTGCAGTTAATGGGCTTCTTTTGTTGCAGTAATGAAATATTTTTGCAGCGATGTGGGGAAATATGTTCTGAAACAGGGGCTAGAGCGCACATTCACCCATTCAGAAGAAACACAAACAAAACAGAGCAAGTCACACAGCCGTGGTGTGACAGAGGCAGGCCCCGGGCGGCCTTTTTACTTAGTTTGCACAGTTTGGAGTCTTTAGTTTGGCCATATTTCAGGACTCTCAAAGACACAATATCATCTCTGCTTTTATGTAGAGCTGATCAATAACCCAGTCATTTAGAATTATTTAACAGAAAATAGGAGCAAAAAACAAATATATTTTACACATTTTCGTGATCTCTTCTCACAACACAAACAAAAGAACACAATTAATTGGAAATACAAACCAAACAATTTCCTCCTTAAAACTCATGCCATACATTGAATGTCCACAAGGGGGTGTTAGGTGAGCCTGATAGTTCCACCAGTAACTCCGTGTAACATTATAAATCACTGAGTTCAGTCCATTGACAAAGTCGACAGTATATTGACAAACATTATTTTTCATCCATTCATTATGATCAAAAAGTCAAAATGTGAGTAGTAGGAGAACACAAGTCTCTATCAGTGATGCTAAAGTTATATCTTCTTCGAGGTATGGCACTAACAGAGGAATGAAAGAGAGTGATGATTCAGGAAAAGTGATTCCTATGGCACTATGAGCTGTTTTCCATCTGTGTGTGTAGAGCAGTGCGTCTCCATTAGCTGCATGTGTGTGTGTCCATCATTCAGCGAGAGCACCCCTGCACCCGCCAGCACCCTCTCCACTCCTGCAACCTCTTATTATAGCCACAGTGACCCGGGACAGGGGCAGGACTGCAGGAGGGGCAAGGGGAGAAGATCACACCCCCTCAACGTTTTGGCCTTTTCTGCAGTGCAAAGCTACAGCAACAGTCTGAGCTAGAGAATTTAAAGACACACAGTTAGTCTGACATTAAAGGTTGAGGGCCTAACTTTGAAACCACAAAAATATTTTTGGAATAAAATCCATGTAACTAGTTTCTCAAAACTGTTTGGTTCTATCACTGAACGGTACCAGCCCTCACTCAGCCAATCAGTTCTCGGGATGTAAAAGATAATGTCTAATGGTGCTTTTTTGTTAGATAGATGTTTCTGTTTGTTTTTTGAAACCAGGTACTCCAGCTTTAATATTGCACACAACTTTTACTTTCCACGAGGATGAGACTTAAGAGTTCATTTTGTCACTTTGAGATCAACAAATGTATTTTTCATATCCTCATGTTCAAAGGCAAACTGAATGAAAAAAATAAATAAAAAAATCCTGTTGCCAGACCAAGATAGTATGTTTTCTTGCTGTACATTTTATACAGATCTGGTCAAGGCTAGGAGTCTAGTGGAGGTCAATTTATCTATAGAAACCCCAAACTCATAATTACCCCATACTGTTAGGCGCCCATACATGACTGTCTAGGTGGTTAACTCAGTTGGCAGTTATAAATAGTTTGTTGTAAGGCTGTTTGTTTCATCTGTTGGACATTTGACACCCCAGCATCTCAGACGCACACACGCCGGTTCCGCACTAGCTCTGGCCTACACGGTCAGACGCTTGATGAGGGACAACTCCTCTATTTCTGTCCCTGATCCCTGGTCCCACGTCTCTGCATCGGTCAAATGCACAAACTGTGGAACCAGGACTATCTTGAGATTTTTCCATTATTGCCAGCCAAGACTCAGAGAGACACAGAGCTGAAGACGGACTGTACTATTGGGGCTTGGATTACATGGATTTCGCTATTGGAATGTAAGTTAGAACTGTCAAAGTACAGTATGTTTTGTTCTATGTCAATGAGAATATAGATATAATATAAAAGAACCATGCTGAATTAACAATAGCATTCTTGTTATTTTTTACATTGATTTCTCTATGATTTGAGCTGATTTTTGCTGAACCAAGGGCTAATGGGTGTCATGTTTTAGCATTTTGTCATGAGAGAGAACAACAAAATCCAGGAATTACAAGAAGAAGATAAAAAATAACATAAAGAAGTTAGCGTGCTGTGAAGAAATAAAGAATATAAACGGTTTTAATAATTGTAGGCAACCCAAAGAGTGTGTGACAAATTTAAGTGTATGAAATGATCTAAGTACATGATCATAATAGTAACTTATGAAATTACATATGAACATAATCAAATGCAGATTGTTAAAGTGTTTAAGTTTTTACAAATGTGGTAAATGGCGTCCGTGTCAGAAGATATTAATAAATCGCTGCATATTCAGGTCTAAGTGACAGCAGCTGTAGGACACATAACCAAGACATAACTCTGACGCTACATTATGACTTTAAAATTATATTTGAAGATATTATGAAATCCTATAATGCACAAGTGAATTTGAACATGCTTTAGACACATGTTTGCTGTATCACAGTCAGCTCAGATAGAGCACAAACACAGATCAATAGTGACACATGTTCCATTGATCAGCTTCATGTTGTAGGTACATGCGTGTTTGTGGGAGGCCCTGTAAGATTGCACTGGTATATCCTACTGTCCCAAAATAACTCACGTGAGGCTTCACTGAGCCCAGCAACAGTTTGGTTTTATATCCACAACATGATTGTGAAGGTCGCAGTGATTGAGAGCAGGGATTATAAGATGTTCTCAGAACTGCATAATGTACATTCAGGCCTGATGTGGAACTTTACTCCCAAGCATATAGGAAAAGTTAAGTCTGCATTAAGATGAATGCAGTGCAGTTTACATACACACTACACAACATATTGGCTGTTTAATTTGTTAAATTGAAAATATTTAGATCAGCGGTTACAAAGTCTGGAGCACACACTGACCCCCCATAAAGAGATCTCTCAGAGCCCCCTAATATCATACCTTTTACTGAAAGATGTTTATTTGATTTTCCAATGAAGGCCCTACACTCTAAAACCACATTGCCAAGTAAGAGTGTGGTGTGTGTGCGTGTGTGTGTGTGTGTGTGTGTGTGTGTGTGTGTGTGTGTGCGTGTGTGTGTGTGTGCCCGTGCATGTGTGTGTCTTTATCTAATTAGTAAAAAATCAGTAATTGAGAGATGATTAAAGATACCAGATATCAGATTTTGTCTTTCGTGCTGTGAAAGAGTGTTTGGTCGTCAACCAACCAAGACACATAAACCAATTAGGTTAAATTTCACTAGTTCATTGGTTATTTTAACCTATATGACTTTAGAGTGTATGACTATAACTCAGTTTAAAACTCATAAGTTTATAATAAGTAACTTTTATTAAATTTGCCTTTCTTTCTAGAACCCATATGTACCCCTGTAGTGAGGACTGAGGAGCGCCACAATGCCTTGGGCTTGATCACAGGACAGACCACCATCAAACACACTGGGGCTGAATGACCAGGTCTGAGGCCAAAGCCCTTTGCTCCAGTGACTCTGTGTCATGGCGAAAGTGGAGAAGCATCGCTCCAGTCGGAAGAGCGGCCATCGCAAACGTAACGATGGCGGCTACAGCGACACGGAAACCGACCGAGAGGTGAGCAGTCTGACGGACAGGGCCTTCAGGAGCCTTTGTATCGGAGATGAGGCTGTGTACAACGACTCAGACCTATGTGCATCGCCCTGCACAAAGAGGGACACAGACATACTGAAGAGGACGGCCCACGAGAGCTTCAGCCTCAGAGTGCAGCAGTATGGACAAGACTGGATGTATGGAGGAATGTATGGAGCAGAGATCCACAAGGATCAGCAGTGGGGGATGTATGGAGAGAGCGGAGCCCAGGAGAGGCTTTCTTCTTCATATCAATCTTCAGTGGAGGCCCATCAGCAAGAAACCCCCTCCAGAGAACTGTCCTTGTTCAGCAACGGGACAACAGAAGTGAGCTCTCAACAGCGCAGGAGCAACTCGCGTGTCTCCTCTTTAGTCAGGGCCTTTAACTCCGAGGGTCAGGGGGACGAGGCCACGTATAATGATGAGACGAGTTGGGATAAGTCTGCATTAATGAGTATAGAGAGGGAACTGTCTGAGTTTTCACCTTATCCTCAAAACATGAACACAGGATATTTCCCATCCACTGGATTATTCTCCTCCCAAAATACAAACTACTACTCCTCAGAGGTGGCAGCCCAAATGAACTCTGCCTCAACATTCATGAGATCTTCTCACAGCATATCCACAGAGGTCAACTCAAACTTCTTCATTCACAGTGAGTTCAGTCCTTTCAAAGTTTGGAGGGACCAAAACAGGTTTCCCTTCCACAGGGGCCAGGTCTCTGGTTTTATGCCCCGCTCAGAGTTTCAGAAGTGGTATGAGACGCCTATGTACAAGGAACTTTCACTGCAGCCACAGCAGCACCCATCTATGTTTTCTCAGGGATATCAAAAGAACACATTTGCAACTGCTATTCCCATGAATCCTCAGCGCTCAACATCGGCTTCCACAATGATGCAAAGAGCTTCAGCGGTTGAGAGACGGTGTGAGTTGGAGCTCGCAGGACAATACAGGAAACGAGCTCAGAGTACGGGAGTTAACAGGCTACCACCACAGCGGCCCTCCACTGCTTCCCCTGCAAGTGATATGTCCAGGCGGGTACGGGACACAATCAGCTCTGTAAAATCCCTACAGCAAAAAATTAAGATGATGGCAGAACAAAATTTAGAGACTCAGAATCAAGAGGGGTTTTCTAACAATAACTACACAAACTCATATGATCCAAATGTAAATAATATGGTGAGTTCTATTCCATATGCAGCCCCATATCAAATGCAAAAGCCGCTAATCTATCAGCCTTCAGAACAACAACAGTTATTGCAGCAGCACTCAGTTTCACCACAACCAGTAGAGCATGCGCCTGTGCGAGCAGAAAGCAGAGGGGCAACTCCAGACATCAAAATGTCCAGCTACAAATCAAGAGCTGCCAGCCTTCTTTACAATCTAAAAGACAATAGAAAGAGAGTGAAGGCAACCTACAGTCCAAACGCATACCAAGGCCTTGAGACACAGGAGATATACAAACAAGAACCAAAAGATTGTGTTATAAATGTTCCTGAAATCTCTGAACTTTCAAATTCAACAGACGATAGAGTCAACAGGTTAGCTGTCCCGGAATATGGATACCAGCCACATCATCCAGGAATGCACACACAGAGCTCTCAAAAATCATTTGAAAATGCTGTCAACATGAGTAAGTTTAATGTTACACAATATGGATATCAGGTTTGTAGTTCAGGATCGCAACATAATTCCCAACACTTGCAGTATTCGCAATCAGAATTTGGGAATTCTGTTGAAAAAAGCATGTTACATGTTCCACAATATGGATACTACAAGCCACACAGTCCAGGCATGCTACAGAATTCCCAATACAAACTTGGAATTCCCATGGAAGGAGGAATAAGTTTAGATGTGGGTCAATATGGATACCAGGCCCACAGTCCTGGGATGCAGCAGAATATGCAATTCCCACAATTTACTCAAAATATGCAGAATATCCAACAGCACTATCTGGGACAAAGCTCCAGTGAATACTATAGAGCACAGATGCAAGGTGAGATGGCACCTCATCATGGGTTCAGTGGATACACACCTGAATATTATACGAACACACAGCTGGCTAATGGACAGAATCCTTATGGAAATATATCATCTTTTACTCCCTATAAGCAAAGCCTGAGTGATAAAGGAGAGGGGAGTTATGCAAACTGGCTTGAGCAGAATACAGAAGTGCAGAGATTTGGTCCAGTCGTTCAGAGGAGAGACTATGTAAGTAAAGATAATAGCAGGCAGCAGTTTAATGAAGCAGCAAGTGGGGAATATACAGGGGTGGACAGATATAATCAAGTAAAAGAGAACAAATATGATTATAATAATGTTAATTCCCAAGATATGTGGGGGCAGACCAACAGCCGACAAATACAGAAGCCAGCAATTCCCTCAGCACAAAATTACCAAAATATAAATGCTTATCCAAGAAACTCACAGGAAAATATGCTAAACTACCAGTACGAACAAAAGGCAATGGACAATTATGCCACAAGACCGCAAGGGACTTTTAACGGTTCAAATCAGATGCTCCAACATGCCCCACCTCATCCAGCAAATACAGGTAATGCTGGCTACAATACACAACCACAGCCTGGAACATATAGAGACATTTATGCTCCTCCAATGTCCCACAAGATCAATAAGGAAATCAACATGAAAGAAAATTATGCTCCTCAAGACAATCATAAATATTATGATCAAGAACTATCTAAAAAACAAACCATAATTTCTAGTCAAGTAGAAATGCTTATAGCCACAGAGGAATTAGTTCAAAGAAAACAGGAGGGAAAAATAAAAGAAAAGCTGAAGGATATATCAACAGGAGACATGGCCACAAATGAGCAGGTCTCTTTCCAACAGAACAAGACAGAGGATCCATTTGCAGAGGACAGAAAATTACAAGATAAGGACCGCCCCACAGCTGAGGACTTGATAAAACAAATGCGCAGAGAAAACTCTCCAATTTTAAACGACGTTGAAGTTGAGAAGGTGACAGACAAGCAGGAGCACATGACGTACATTGAGCCACAGAGACGAGAGCCAGAGACGCAGCAGCTCATAGTGGAAGCTGCTAACACCGAGGAGCTAAAAGAAGAGCCCATAAAATGTGAACTGGCAACGAGTAGCGAGGAGGCCCGAATAGAGCAAGTTAAACCTGAGCCCAGCCATGAGGTGAGGGTCATAACAGAGGAGGCCACTGAGCCGCAAGTAGGAGAAGAGAATGTAGCGATAGAGGAGGACAGAAAGGAAGCAACAGAGCTGTTAATGGAGTGCCACGGTAATAAAAAACATGTAGAATATAAAGACATAGACATTTCTGTTGAGGAACAAAAAATACCACAAAATAAAAATGAAAAAGAAGCCGACGTTACCGTAAATGCAGCTCAAACACCCAAGGAAGATACAACAAATACCAACTATGTGGAAAGTTTATTTAACTCGAACAAGCCAGAAGCATCTGAACCAGACAAAGTGAAGCTAGCTAAAACTAAAGCCGAATCGTCATTAAAGGAAATGATTATAGACGGGCCGGCAGTTAAGAAGGGTGAAGAACATACCGAGCAGGAGAATTATAATGTTAGTTTACAATCCAGAGAACCACAATTCCTAAAGCAAAATGAAGACTTCACTGACAGAGGAGAATATGACTTTGAGAACATTAAAGACAAAAATGATTATAGTCAAAATACTTCCAGAAACGACACTTCCACAACAAGCACTGCCCATAAACAGGAAACAACAGCTGGCAAAAATGATCAAATAAAGGAAAACAAGGAAGACACAAACCTCGATAAACAGAACATCAGAGAAGTATTATCGAAAACCACAGAAGACTGTGAGAAAGTTGGGAATCCTCATGATGACCCCGCAGGAAGTCAATATGTTTATAGTGAAACATCAAAAGATTTTAAATTGTCTGTAAGTGGTGTGCCAGATACAAAGGACATTTGTGAAAAGGTTACAATCAAAGATGTTCCAATTGAAAATGTAAACAATTTTGATGCATCACTGAAAAATGATTATGCAAAACAACAACATGACAAAAGTGAAATGTCAGAAAGAAATGTACCCAATCTGACAGACACAAGGACTCTTCAAAAATATGATGCATGTCTGCAGGAAAATCTTACTGTTGTTAAATTAGACAAACCTAGCATTTCTAAGCAAAAAGAAGTAGCAAAACAGCTTCATATGGAAAGAAAAACAAAGTCAATTGATCAAAAAGCAGGCACAAGTAAAGAAACTGTCAAAGGCCTGATTCAAAGAGAAAAAGCTCAAACAAAACAGGAAATGTTGACATCAAAGATAAAGGCACATGCTGAAAAAGAAATATCTGCAATCAAAGAAGGATTTGCTGTGAAAGATGGACTTAAAAATCCATCAAAAGCTTTGGCAATAGGTCAGAATGTGACCATACGACAGAAGCCACCATCACAGGAGGTGCTCAAAAAACAGGACAGGCCAATGATCAATAACATAAGCAAAGAGTCCCAATCTCAGACCGTAGTTTCAGCCACAGGCACATTACCTCCTGAAAATGAGAATGCAAGTCTAAAGGTGTCAACTTCAACAAATATGGAGACAACTGAAAGCAAAACAACCTCATTAAAAATGACAACAAATGATACAGTAAATAATGATAAGAAATGTAATTATCCAACAGACGGAAAGAGAGTGAAGTCCCAACCTGATGACAAATCATTGAAACAAGATAGTTTGAGTAAAGGATATGAAGTGGACCAAGCAAGTCATGAAAACAAAACACCTCTTCAACTCCAAAATGACATTTCTGCACAAGATAAGTCTTTAGAAATGATGAACATAATGGTAACAGTGAGAGAACAGAAACCTGAAAAAGTGGAAAACCAAGGACAAGCAGAAGTCCTTAGAGCTGAGGATCATCATGTTGTTGAAACAACCATCAAAAGTCCTGATAAAGTCGGTGATTCACAGGATTCTAACAAAACAACACATGATACAAGAGACGATTACTCTGTGACAACAAAGGAAAGTGCAGTGAAGAATGTGACTGACAAAACTAGTGAGGAATGTCCCCAACAGGAATGCTCTTTACCAAATGAAAGACCCCAAAGCGAAATACTACTCTCTGACCACCTAGTTGTGCCAAGGACTGTTACTGTACCAGCTAAAAATAATTTGTTGGCTGAAACCCAATACCCAACCAACAAACACAACACAATATCAGTAGAAACTAAAGTCTATGCAAACAAACCTCCTAATGTTGCCCTAGAGAGCACTCTCATCAAAGGTCAAGAAGAGCCTACAAGAGAAATTAATCTTAAATCTGTATCTGCAACAAGTAATGAGGACAGTCAAGAAGATAATCTGCACATTGACCGCATTGCTATTCAAGTTGTGCCAGTATTAACTGAGGAGGGAAACAAAGCTCAACAAAGAACCGTCTCAAATACTTTAGCAACAGAAGATGAAACTCAGAAAAGTGTTCCATCAAATGATGATGTTCAAAAGGTAATATCCAGTGTGAGGAAGCAAGCGCAGTTACTGAAAAACAGTAAGCAGTCAAAGCTTGATAACACACCGACGACTAGTAATGAAAGTGATAATCATAGAAATGTGGATGAAACCGAAACCCTTTCAAATTATGTTTACTTTCAAGTTGACAGAGAAACTGTACCACAGAAGTGCACAAACGTAGAACAGAGTTCAGAAAATGTGTCACAAGAAAGCAAACCTAGTTCAACAAGCACAAAAGATGAAATTATTAAAATGTCAAAAGAAAAAGGTAATACTCAAATTGATACAAAAATTAAAGATGAGAAAGTAGTAGTTGGCAACACCAGAAGACATCACATGGCAAAAGGTCGACAAAGAGGTGTATTGACTCCCCACCAACGTCCAGACAACAATGTTGAAGTTAAACCAAAACCAAAAGTCCCAATACCTGAGATATCAGCCCTGGCAGATTATGCAAGACTAAAAGTTATTGTTTCTAAAGATGATGAGGATTCTATCCAAGAACAGCCCCCACATAAAAAGGAAGGGTTTTTCCCGCTAATTCAGAGTCACCATAGCAGACGTCCAGTGTTTACTGTGGACTCACAAGAGGATGTTGTGAAAGGAAAAGGCTCACAAGATCTGTCAGAAGCTCAAGTTAAAGTGAGCAAAGAACCTCCTACAGTTGTAATCCCCATCACAGAGAAACAACCTCAAAGGGCTGATATGTTTAAACTGGGAGCCAAAGAAAATCCTGAGGTACAAAAAAGGGAACCGACAGATTTAATGAACACAAACACAGAGGATAGAATTAAGGACATGTTGGAGAAGAGCAGAGCAAAACAGGCAGAAGAAGACAAAAGAGCTGCTCAGAGAGAAGAGGAGCGGAGGGCCAGCGAGAGGGAGGCCATCGCGGCACAGATCCGCGAAAGACGGAAGAAACAACGAGAGGCTGAGAGATATGCAGAGGAGGAGGGAAGGGGCAAAATTGTAGAGCAGCAGATGGGGAAGCCAGATGAACCCAGTCTTCAACAGCAAAAGGTGATGTCTACTGAGGACAAACAAAAACTGTTTGAGACAGACAAGACAGCCGAAAGAAAGCCAGATGAAAATATAAGGGCGATCCAAAAACAGAATTCAGATGCTCATAAAGCTGAAGGGAAGAGTCATGTTCTTGAAGAGGAGCTGAGGAAAGATTATCTTGAGGAACCAAATAAAAACACCACTCACATCGAAGAGCAAAAGAGCAGAAAGATTCTTGAAGAAGACCAAAGAAAAATTGAGGAGCAGAAGAAAAAAGACATTCTAGAGGAACAACAGAGAAGGGTTCAGATGGAAGAACAAAAGAAGAGATTCGTTGTGGAAGAACAGAATAAAGGAGCTGCTCTCAAAGAACAGGAGAAACAAGCAGCAAAAACCGAAGAACAAAAAAGGATTGTTGTGAAAGAGGGACTGAGAAAGGTTCCCCTCGAAGAAAACACAAGAAAGACCTATGAAGAGCAGCAAAAACAAGCAAAAGCTGCTGAAGCTCAGACAGAACAGCAAAAAAGAAGAGCTGCTCCAGAGAAAAAGATGTCTGATGAAACAACAGAGCAGCAAAGACAAGCCACGTTAGTCATGGAACAGAAGAAAAGAGTTTCTACAATGGCACATGATGAGAAACAGAAACCAGCTACTCTAGAGGAACAGCAAAGACGAGCTGCTGAAAAGGAGGAGCTCAGGAAGATCGCTGAGAAAGAGCAGTACAGACAATCTGCAATACTCGAGGAACAGAAGAAAAGAGCTGCCGTTGAAGAACAACAGAAAAAGGTGGTGCATGAAGAGAAACAGAGACAGGCGGCTCTAAAAGAAAAGGAGCAAAGGGCGGCTCTGGAGGAACAGCAAAGGAGAGTGACAGAAAAGGAAAAGCAGAGGAGAATGGGCGCAGAAGAGCTGCAAAGGAGAGCTGCAAGTGAGGAGAAACTGAGGAGAGACGCACTCATTGAAGAACAGAAAAGAAAAGCTGTGGCAGAGGAACAGCAGAGAAGAGCAGCTCGTGAGGAACAGCTGAGAAAGGCGGCTGCAGAGGAGGAGCAAAAGAGAAAGGCGGCTGCAGAGGAGGAGCAAAAGAGAAAGGCGGCTGCAGAGGAGGAGCAAAAGAGAAAGGCGGCTGCAGAGGAGGAGCAAAAGAGAAAGGCGGCTGCAGAGGAGGAGCAAAAGAGAAAGGCGGCTGCAGAGGAGGAGCAAAAGAGAAAGGCGGCTGCAGAGGAGGAGCAAAAGAGAAAGGATGCTGTAGAAGAGGAGCAAAAGAGAAAGGCGGCTGTAGAGGAGGAGCAAAAGAGAAAGGCGGCTGTAGAGGAGGAGCAAAAGAGAAAGGCGGCTGTAGAGGAGGAGCAAAAGAGAAAGGCGGCTGTAGAGGAGGAGCAAAAGAGAAAGGCTGCTGTAGAGGAGGAGCAAAAGAGAAAGGCGGCTGTAGAGGAGGAGCAAAAGAGAAAGACTGCTGTAGAAGAGGAGCAAAAGAGAAAGGCGGCTGCAGAGGAGGAGCAAAAGAGAAAGGCTGCTGTAGAGGAGGAGCAAAAGAGAAAGGCGGCTGTAGAGGAGGAGCAAAAGAGAAAGACTGCTGTAGAAGAGGAGCAAAAGAGAAAGGCGGCTGTAGAAGAGGAGCAAAAGAGAAAGGCGGCTGTAGAGGAGGAGCAAAAGAGAAAGGCGGCTGTAGAGGAGGAGCAAAAGAGAAAGGCGGCTCAACAAAAAGCTGAGCAGGAGAAAGCAGCTCTTGAAGAACAGAAGAGACGAGCTGCCCATGGGGAGCAGCTGAGAAAGGCTGAGGAGCAAAAGAGGAGGGCAGCTGCAGAGGAGGAGAAAAAGAGAAGAGCAGAAGAGGAGCAAAAGAGAAGGGTGGCTGTAGAGGAGGAGCAAAAGAGAAGAGCACAAATAGAGGAGCAGAAGCGAAAAGCAGTTGAAGAAGAACAGAGGAAAACTGCTGAAATTGAAGAAAATAAAAGACAGGCGGCTCACAAGGAGCGTCTCAGGAAGATGGCTGAGGAGGAGCAGCTACAAAAAGCTGAGCAGGAGAAAGCAGCTCTAGAGGAACAGCAAAGAAGAGCTGCTGAAGAGAAACAGAGGAAGATGGCAGAAGAGGAGCAGCAAAGGAGAGCTGCCGTTGAGGAAGAACAGAAAAGAAAAGCTGCAGCAGAGGAACAGCTGAGAAAAAACAAAATAGCTGAGGAGGAAGAGCGAAGACGACAAGCAGCTCATGAGGAGCAGCTTAGAAAGGCTGAGGAGCAAAAGAGAAGGGCGGCTGTAGAGGAGGAGCAAAAGAGAAGAGCTGCAGAAGAGGTGCAAAAGAAAAGAAAAGCTGCAGAAGAGGAGAAAAAGAGAAGGGCAGCTCTAGAGGAGGAGCAAAAGAGAAGGGCGGCTCTAGAGGAGGAGAAAAAGAGAAGGGCAGCTGTAGAGGAGGAGCAAAAGAGAAGGGCAGCTCTAGAGGAGGAGCAAAAGAGAAGGGCAGCTCCAGAGGAGGAGCAAAAGAGAAGGGCAGCTCCAGAGGAGGAGCAAAAGAGAAGGGCAGCTCTAGAGGAGGAGAAAAAGAGAAGAGCTGCAGAAGAGGTGCAAAAGAAAAGAAAAGCTGCAGAAGAGGAGAAAAAGAGAAGAGCAGCTCTCGAGGAGGAGCAAAAGAGAAGGGCAGCTCTAGAGGAGGAGAAAAAGAGAAGGGCAGCTGTAGAGGAGGAGCAAAAGAGAAGGGCAGCTGAAGAGGAGGAGCAAAAGAGAAAAGCACAAATAGAGGAGCAGAAGCGAAAAGCAGCTGAAGAAGAAAAAAAGAAAACTGCTGAAATGGAAAAAATTAGAAAACAGGCGGCTCACAAGGAGCGGCTCAGAAAGATGACCGAGGAGGAGCAGCTACAAAAAGCTGAGCAGGAGAAAGCAGCTCTTAAAGAACATCAAACATCTTCTCATGAGGAACAGCTGAGAAAGGCTGCAGTGATTGAGGAGCAGAGGCAAATAGCTGCTGAAGAAGAAGCAAGGAGGAAAGATGTCCAGGTTAAAAAACAGAGACGCACACGACAAGAAGAAGAAGAGACACGGCTGGCATATATTAGAGAGGAGAGAATCAAAAGGCAGATTGAGGAAGAGAAAGAAGCTAAAATTGAAGAAGAAAGGAGCAGACGGCAGCAAAGTTCTGAGGAGAATCTAACATACAAAGGGAAAGCTCAACCCTGGAGTCAGAAGGACATCAGAACGAGACCAGTAGTGAATCAGGAGGGAACAGATGAAGCAGAGCGAGAAAAATACACATCAGAGACAACAGAAGCTCTTCAATACTACTCCTTGACCTCAGAGAAAGTATCCCCTCCTCAAAAAAGGAGCAATACAAATGAGTCTGAAACAGTAAAGGATACCAAAAGACCACACTCTCTTGTATCCCCAGTCCCAACTCTGCCCCGCTCCAGTGCCACCTCCCCTGCTTTTGGAATGAAGCCCTCCATGTTCAAGGTTAAAGATAACACCAGCCGAGGAACTTCTCTCACCAAGTCCATCAAACCACGTTTTCATAAGAACTTTGGAGAAGAATACAGGGTTGGTTCCCCGATGGACAGAGGTTGGGAGAGAAATGAGAGTGATCTCCCACAGCACAGGCCATTTTCAAGAAGAAGTCTTGCTCTGGATGAAGAAGACTCTCGCTCCATCATCAGCAACATGTCAGAGGATGTGGACAGTGTCGCCACCAGTGCTACTGACCTGGCAGATATAAGGGCATTGTACGATTCAGACAGACCTGAATCAGCATGCAGTTATAGCAGCGATGTGTCACGTTCATTTGGAAAACCTCCAGCAGTTCCGCCAAAGAGTGAAAAGGGCCTGCGTCGGGCTAAAAGACTGGCTACACGGAGACAAAAAAAGGAATTATACAAAGATGTGATGGACGATTCATGTGAGGCTGCCATGTCAGAAGATACCAGCAAAGATGTTGTGGCCTCCCCTCACTTTACACGTCCAATTTCAATTGCTCGTGTGCCCCCTGCTGGTTCAAATTTGTCATTATCTCACTCAGATCAGTCTCAAAAAAGAATTCATACAGCTCCACATGTAAGCCCACATACCCCTACTCCTCAGGTCACCTCTTCTCCCGCTCACCATCATGTTCCTAAACCAGTCACACAATACCAAGTCGAATCAGGATTTTCTCAAACTTACACACAGAAAAGAGTTATGCAAGATGTAGGATCTGGTCAATACTATGTTGTGGACGTGCCTGTTGAGGTAAAAACAAAAACATTCTTTGACCCAGAAACAGGGAAGTATGTTCAGCTAAATGTGCGTGAGTCTAACAGAAATGCCGCTCAAAGACAGCCCCTCCAAGGGTATCCACAAGGTCATCTGAAACCCAAATTACAAGCCAAGCCGCAACCAATTCCTTCAAACAATGCACAATATCAAAGTTACCCTAGTATTCACAAAGGTTACCAGTCTGCCACCACCTCCTCAGGCCCTGTAAACCAGTCAATGACACCAGCAACACGGGACCAACGCATGACAGGGAATAGCTATAACTCAGATAAAACCCCTTACATGGATACAGTTAATAATGTGGATAAACCACATCATGGCATTTACAACACGCAGGGATCTCAAGGGGCAATATCAGAAGGCGACGATCAATTAGTCAATTCAAGATATGCAAAACGAAATATCATTACAATGAGTGAACTGGAAGACTTTATGGAGGTGTCTGACTGGTGAGGAAGAAATTGAGAATGAAAGAAAAAGACTATGCATTGCCTTCAATGACAATCACATTATACACCAATTGGTAAATATTCTATTGGGAGACCAGAATTTTCTCTTAAAGGATAAATACACATTGACTGCTTCTGTTACCATCACCACCAATGACTTATAAAAATGTCAATGTTGATTTTTGTGTTTAGAAGTTTCCTTCATAGATAGATCACCTAACTTCTACATTTTGAACACAGACTAAGCTTTAGTTAAAACTGCATCCTAATATATTTAATGCTCCTGCTTTTCAGCTTTTTGAGCTGCTTGTTTTAAAGAAAATACCATTCCATTGACTCATGAATGTTGAGATGCTTTGATTAACGCTTGTATTCTGTAGCAGGCTGGGTGAGTGCAATGCCTAATAGTTTGAAAAATAAATGTACTTTTTTGGATCTGCATGACATTTTGGAGTTGGTAAGCACAGAAATTATATAAGAATATCATAATTTCTTAGTTCATTTTTAAAGTGCTATTGAGGTTTCTAGTATGTTGCTGTGTAACATGAAAGTAATATAAAGTGCACTATGGTCGCATAGTTTTGTGTAAAAAATATGATTAATAAAAACAAGTACATTCATTTGTGTTATTTTTTTACTGCTTGAAAAACACGAAAACAAATAAAGTTAGTTTAAGATATAACAAGTTCAACCAAATGATTATACTATTGTAATTAAAAATATATTTTGATAAACTTAATTATAAAGTAGAAATAAATCAATCGAGTATTTGAAATGAGTGCTGCTTATTTTCTGTACATTTGAATTCAAATGAATTATTTATTTCAAAATCTGCACAAAAAAACATTTCACAAATGTTCAGACACATGCACAAGGTTTGAAAAGGGGTTGGATGGACCATTATGCTTTTATTATTTATATTTTAAAACATTATTCAATATTTTCTTCACAAACTGTGGTTTCAAAAATATGATTTATCTGTAAAAGTAGCTAGTGTCACTCGTGTGAGCACGAGGTGAAAATAGCCGAACGTTTGATATTCGCCTGATATTCGAACAAAATCCGCCTGGATTCAAAGTCTGTCCGTATTTTCAGTTTAGTGAAGAGTGTAGTATTAAATACTGTTCACAATGTTGCGACCTATCAAAAAAAAACTTTACTTAGGCTGCAGCTGACGATTTATAACACGAAAAACAATGAAGATGAAGTCTCCGCTCATACGTGTGCTAAGCTCTCAGCAAGATTTGACAGAACGTTGCAGATGGGTTGGTGAATACAATAAAAAGGGTGTTTTTAAAAAGTACATTTTCCCAGTTTTTATGGGTGTAGTAGCTCCCACTGAATGATAGCTACCTACTACAGGCTAAATTTGGGAAAAATATTGTTTCCCCCTTCACAGTAACGAAAATGAAATTGGAAAAATTAACTAAAAATCAAAAAGATAATTTCCCCAGTTTGGATGGGTGTAGTAGCTCCATTTGAACAATAGCTAGCTACTACAGCCAAACTTTTGGGAAAAAAAGGTTTTCCCCTTCACAGTAGGAATAATGAAATTGGACAAATTCACAAAAAATCAACAAAGATATTTTTCCCAGTTTTGATGGGTGTAGTAGCTCCATTTGAACAATAGCTAGCTACTACAGGCAAGAATTTGGGGAAAATATTGTTTACCCCTTCACAGTAACAAAAATGAAATTGGAGAAATTTACTAAAAATCAACAAAGATCATTTTCCCAGTTTTGATGGGTGTAGTAGCTCCCAATAAATTGTAGCTAGCTACTACAGACAAACTTTTGGGAAAAATATTGTTTTCCCCTTCACAGTAAAGAAAATGAAATTGGAAAAAATTACTAAAAATCAACAAAGATCATTTTCCCAGTTTTGATGGATGTAGTAGCTCCAGTTGAACAATAGCTAGCTACGACAGGCAAGAATTTGGGAAAAATATAGTTTTCCCCTTCACAGTAACAAAAATGAAATTGGAAAAATTTTATAAAAATCAACAAAGACTTTTTTCCCAGATTTGATGGGTGTAGTAGCTCCCATTCAATGATAGCTAGCTACTACAGGCCACATTTTGGGGAAAAAAATAGTTTTTCCCCTTTATACAAGCAATTACAAAATTTGAAAAAATAACTAAAAATCAACAATGACTTTTTTTCCCAGTAGCTCCAATTGAACAGTAGCTACTGTAGCTACTACATGCAAGAATTTGGAAATACATATATACAATGGGGCAAAAAAGTATTTAGTCAGCCACCGATTGTGCTAGTTCTCCCACTTAAAATAATGACAGAGGTCTGTAATTTTCATCATAGGTACACTTCAACTGTGAGAGACAGAATGTGAAAAAAAAATCCAGGAATTCACATTGTAGGATTTTTTAAGAATTTATTTGTAAATTATGGTGGAAAATAAGTATCTGGTCACCTGTAACTTCTTCTTTAAGAAGCTCTTCTGTCCTCCACTCGTTACTTGTATTAATGGCACCTGTTTGAACTCGTTATCAGTATAAAAGACACCTGTCCACAGCCTCAAACAGTCCGACTCCAAACTCCACTATGGCCAAGACCAAAGAGCTGTCGAAGGACACCAGGAAAAGCATTGTAGACCTGCACCAGACTGGGAAGAGTGAATCTACAATAGGCAAGCAGCTTGGTATGAACAAATAAACTGTGGGAGCAATTATCAGAAAATGGAAGACATTCAAGACCACTGATAATCTCCCTTGATCTGGGGCTCCACGCAAGATCTCATCCCGTGGGGTCAAAATGATCATGAGAACGGTAATCAAAAATCCCAGAACCACACGGGGGACCTGGTGAATGGCCCGTCTGAAGTTTGCCAGAGAGCACATGGATGATACAGCAGAGGATTGGGGGAATGTCATGTGGTCAGATGAAACCAAAGTAGAACTGTTTGGTATAAACTCAACTCGTCGTGTTTGGAGGAAGAAGAATACTGAGTTGCATCCCAAGAACACCATACCTACTGTGAAGCATGGGGGTGGAAACGTCATGCTTTGGGGCTGTTTTTCTGCTAAGGGGACAGGACGACTGATCCGTGTTAAGGAAAGAATGAATGGGGCCGTGTATCGTGAGATTTTGAGCCAAAACCTCCTTCCATCAGTGAGAGCTTTGAAGATTAAACGTGGCTGGGTCTTCCAGCAGGACAATGATCCCAAACACACCGCCCGGGCAACGAAGGAGTGGCTCCGTAAGAAGCATTTGAAAGTCCTGGAGTGGCCTAGCCAGTCTCCAGACCTCAACCCCATTGAAAATCTGTGGAGGGAGTTGGGCCAAAATACAAGCTACTGTGTGTGCAAACCTGATAAAGACCTATAGTAATCGTTTGACCTCTGTTATTGCCAACAAAGCCTTATATTACAAGGTATTGAGTTGAATTTTTGTTATTGACCAAATACTTATCTTCCACCATAATTTACAAATAAATTCTTTAAAAATGTCAATTCCTGGTTTTTTTTTCACATTCTGTCTCTCACATTTGAAATGTACCTATGATGAAAATTACAGACCTCTGTCATTATTTTAAGTGGGAGAACTTGCACAATCGGTGGCTGACTGAATACTTTTTTGCCCCACTGTATATATTTATTTCCAAATTCTTGCATGTAGTAGCTAGCTACTGTTCAAATGGAGCTACTACACCCATCAAAACTGGGAAAATGATCTTTGTGGATTTGTAATGAATTTTTCCAATTTCATTTTTGTTACTGTGAAGGAGAAAATATTTTTTTTTTCCAAAATGTTGCCTGTAGTAGCTAGCTATCATTAAATGGGAGCTACACCCATCAATTCTGGGAAAAATATCTTTGTGGATTTTTAGTCTTTATTTGTCGTTTTGACCTCTTGCAATTTGCAGACGGTCCCTTGCGAATATCAGGTGAATATCAAACGTTCGGCCAACTTCACCTCGGTGATGTGGACAGCACCGCTAGTAAGTGATATTTTCAATAAATACTGTTTTTTATTGGGTTATATTTGACCAAATGTTGGAATACAATAAGATAATGCCTTAATTTTCACAACTAGAAGAATATAGCTTATGTATGCTAAAGGGTAATGGGCTAACGAGACACAACCTCACTATGCATACAACATTATTAATCATTGATTGCCATAGACGAGTAACAGTTACTCACAAAGTCTGTTCGGCTCCATACAACTGACTGTCAATAAAGCAGTATTGGGCCATGAGGCAGAGATGAGCACACGCAAAGCACGCACGCATACGTACTAACCCACACGCGCGCGCACGTTATGATGGAGGCAAAATACACAACTATTTCAATCTGAAGAGACCAAAGACACGATAAATACATTAAAATGATTTATTTGTTTGGCGCATTGACCCCGGCAGTGACACTTGCAGCTATGAGATCGATTGCAGCTGAGATGATCTCAGATCCCCCGGGGTCAATCACTGGTGGTGGCTAGAGTATGGTGTGAATGGGGCGTAGGCGGAGCAGGAGCCGGAGTGGGAGCCTAGAGCGGGAGCCAGAGCGGGAGCCAGAGCGGGAGCCAAGAGCCAGAGGGGGTGCTGGGGAGGTGGTGGGTGTTTAAGAGCCTCAGGAAGCGTTGTTTGTCAGGAAGTGGCTGCCTTTTAAACTGCCCGCTTTGCTCTGAGAGGGTTGGCAGGAGGCTGGCCTGGCTGTGTGATTGGCTGAGGCTCGAGGCTGGCAGAGCTGTGTGATTGGCTGAGGCTCGAGGCTGGCAGGCACTCGGTCTTTCAGTCTGAACATCCGCTTGAGCTTCATATAGCTATAACATAATTAATGGGCCATGTGTAATTATTGCTTATCATGTCATGGTTCTCATAAACTGTGCACATCTTTATATTGTGAGAGGCTTTTGAATACCTGAAGGGTTAATTGTGTTGTGTAATTCCATTTGGCTTTGGCAGGACATGGGAGCTGCAGCAGAAGTCCTGCCTCAGCACTTTACTCTGCCCAATAAAGCAGCAGGCCTCTCTCCACCGGGACTCTGACAACCACAGAGAGACAGGCCCATGCCACTCTGTCCTGCAGCCAGACAGGGAAAAGCAGTTCAACATCTGCATGCACAACATTCACACAACCTTTAAAAGACCAGGCCATGTGTGCCTGTTCTAAAGAAAAACTGCATAGCTTTTACTGGATTGGTAAATATAAGTGTGTTTTCCATTTAAGGACCATTTTAATCTTTAAAATTAACTTTGGAGGATATTTTGAGCACTCAAATGATCATACATGAAGGAGTTCAGGGCTTGGTCCAAGACTTCTCACAGGAACACAGGAAATGACATTTCCTTGGTTCTGCAGGACACAACGAAAGAGGCAGATGGAGAGAGCGAGTGAAAAAGTGGGAGTTTCTAAGAAGGAACAGAGCATATACTGTTTCACATTACAGAGAAAAGAGAGAAGAGTTAATGCTGGGTACGGCTCTGGCAGGTCCTGCACCCAGCCGCAGTTTTCAATGTAGCTCCTGGAGTAACAGCTGTTTATGGATTCACTGACTGTGGAAAATGTTCCTCTCTATAGTGGCCTTTGTCCTAACTAAAGCTCTGCTCACAGGTAAGTTCAGTTTGTTTACAACAGCTTCTCAAAAGCTGCATTTGAAGTTTTGAACTAACAATTTTGCTGTAACCTAAAACTAAAATAAGTTGAAACCTAGACAATATTATTAACATGAGAGCTCTATTTTGTTTAACTGCTTGTTGGATAATGACATGAGAAACTATTTGAAATGTGTCAAATTTAGTATACTGTCCAATGAATTTTTACATTCAAAATCTGAAGGATTAACATGTGCTAGTCCCAAGCTAGGGTAAATTAACTGAATTTCAGCAAAAACAAACCCATCAAAAATACATGATGAGTTTCGGCTTATAGGAGCCAAATATGTATTTTTCTTTGTGTAGTTGTTCTTTGTGTCCATGAGGGGGCGCATTCATCTTTTATATGAATGATGAGCTCAGTTGAGTGCAGGTGTGACCCAGAAGGGCAAATTGGTTTTTGACCGCACAAGCGGAGTTTGTTTTTCACTGTTTCTCGTGTGATACCACTGTGGATCCTTTTAATAGCACTGTTAAATAAATGAAGATTATTGCATCGTACCCTTTGAAGACTTGGAGGATTTTATTGAGCACAACAGAGCAACCACAGCATAGCCGCTTAGCGCGTCATCAACAAGCCTGGGTCTACAGCCTCACACTAGCAGCATTAGGCTGGCTATTATACTGTCAAAAACCAGCCGATTTGACTGCGCAAATGAAGTAAAGTAAACTTTGGAAGAAGAGACTTTGGAAACGTGGAGCCCGTACACGAGCCACGGTGTGGAGCGGTGGTTGCGGTTATATGCGGCTACGTGGAGCAGACCGAGCTACAGGACCGAGCTACAGGACCGAGCTGCAGGACCGCGCTGCAGGACCGCGCACCGCAGATCATCGCTGGACAACATTGGATCACACAAAGGCGCCCAACGATCGAGGTATGTGTAGCGCTACACCCAAGGCCTTTTCTGTGTGCACACATTAAATCCAATGCATTGGTAACGCCGTGGAATATATTTGAACTCGTTCACGCGTTCGGGAGCCGTCACGTGACTATTTGACCTACTTTCGTGTTGTGTCCTCGGGTGAACTCTATCGCGAACCTAAGCTGTCGCGAGACTTTATTGCGTCTACACGAAGATAACTTTCACTGGATCTTACAATGTTGGAAATGGACAAAAATGTCGAACAGGGTGATAATGAAGTGGAAAGTCACAAGCGCAGCATTAAGTTAACTGAAAAGGCATTAGCTGAGAAAATAGATAAGTTACAGAATACAAGAAAGTCTAAACTAAATAAAGCAGGTAACATTCGAAATGAGCTAAAAGAGTTTATGTCTGAGTGTGATAAAACAAAGGTTTTAAATGCTGTTGATGAATTAAGAATTGTGTGTGATGATGCAAAGAGGTTTCATGAGACATTGTTGGGTTTAATGTCAACTGAAGAGGGTGACAAACATGAAGTATGGTTCAGAGCTAAAATGCTCCCAAATAATGAATGTTTTTCCACTGTAAAACAATGGCTCTCTCAAAATGAAACTAACAAAGATAATGAAAATGTGGAAATTACTCCAGCAGACAGTGTGTCAAATGCAGGAAGTTACCAAAGTAACAAAAGCAACAAATCAAATTCATCTGCTAAATTAAAGGCGGCAGCAGAAAGGGCTGCAATCCTGGCACGTGTGAAAATATTAAAGGAGAAACACGCTATCGAGGAGGAGGAGGCTAAGCTTCGTAGAAGGAAGGAAATGTTGGACTTGGAAGCTGAATTGGTGACCTCCGAAGCAAAATTGGAAATGTACAATGCTGAGGAGGAGCGCCATTCCCAAGTACATTCAAATGCAAAGGCCACAAGCATTAAAGGAGCAACATGGAACACTCTAAACCCTTCTGCCAATTCATTCATTCCTCAGGGCAAAGCTACAGAAACAAATGAAATAAATCAAAATGTCCACCACACAGCAGTAAAGGGTAAAATAATGGATTCAAGACCAAAGGAAAAACCTGCCATCATCCAACAGCACCACCAAGTGAAACTCAATCAACCCACAATAGAAACTCAAATGGATATCAAACAAAATGAATCTTTATCACACAGCAGTTTACAGTGGCCTGCAGAGCTTCTCAACATTATGAGCAAACAAACTGAAATCACTGCAGCTCTAATGAATCAGCAGCGATCCATGACACTTCCCCCAAGAGACATTCCTATCTTTGATGGTGACCCACTACATTACAAACCATTTATAAGAGCATTTGAACAAGGTGTGGAAAGCAAAGCCTCTGTGGCCGACAGCTTGTACTATTTGGAACAATTCACCCGGGGACAACCCCGTGAACTGGTGTGCAGTTGCCAGCATATGCCACCAGACCGTGGATATGTTGTGGCCAAAGCTCTATTACAAGACCACTTTGGAAATCCATACAAAACCGCTACTGCATATATTCAAAAGGCTATGTCATGGCAAAATATAAGAACTGATGACACAAAGGCACTCCAGAGCTATGCCCTCTTTCTTCGAGGCTGCTGTAACATTATGGAGGAGCTTGAGTACATGCAGGAGCTGGATATGCCAGTAAACATGAGGGCTATCCTGGTGAAACTGCCCTACAAACTGAGAGAGAGGTGGCGAACCAGAGCACATGACATTATGGAGTCTACTGGATACAGAGCTGGATTCCATGACTTGGTGGAATTTATTGAGCGTCAAGTAAAGATTCTTTCTGATCCCTTCTTTGGTGATCTGCAGGACTATAGTTTAACTGTAACAAATCAAAGAACCTTTAAATCTCAACCAGGAAGCAGAACGAAAGGAAATGTGGTGGCCAGCACTGTAACCGAGAATACACATGGAGACGATGGAGAAAGTAACCAGACACTATCAGCCACAGACCAGAACAACGAGAAAAACTGTGTATGCTGCTCTATGGAACATTCACTGGAACACTGCAAGCAGTTCAATGAGAAACGACACGTAGACAAAGTGTTTTTGCTGAAAAGAAAGGGAGTGTGTTTTGGCTGCCTTCGACAAGGCCATATCAGCCGTGAGTGTCAAGCAAGGCTTACATGTGAAATTTGTAACCAAAATCATCCTACAGTACTGCACATAAACCGTCAAACACGTGCCCTAGAACGCGAAATACCAACTCTTCACACTACATGTGGACATACAGGGGCCGGAAAGGACCGCACTATGCTATCGGTGCTGCCAGTTCAAGTCAAGGCTGTGAAAGGAAACCGCATAATTCAAACATATGCGTTCCTGGATCCAGGTAGTACAGGGACATTTTGTTCGGAAAGGTTGATGCATCGGCTTAATATCGCTGGAAAACGAGCCCACATTCTTCTGCGGACAATGGGTCAGACAAGGAAATGTTCAGCTTTCTCATTGTTCAATCTTGAGGTTGCTGGTCTACATAGCACGCAGTTCTACCCACTTCCAGAAGTCATCACTCAGCAACAAATGCCTGTCACCACGCAAGACATGGTTAAATCCGATGATCTGCAAAAATGGCCATATTTGTCACAGGTTCATATGCCATTCATACATTCAGAGGTTGACTTGTTGATCGGAACCAATGCACCCAAGCTACTGGAACCGTGGGAGGTAGTTAACAGTCAAGGAAACGGACCATTTGCAGTCAGGACTGTGCTCGGCTGGGTGGTAAATGGCCCATTGGATGGAAACGCAGATCCTAGCATTCAAAGTGTGACTGTGAATAGAATTTCCGTCTGCAAATTGGAGGAACTGCTAGTAAAACAGTACAACTATGATTTTAATGAGAATGAAGCTGAAAAGCAAGAAATGTCAATAGACGATATTAAGTTTATGAAAATGATGGACTTGTCTGCAAAATTACAAGATGGAAAATACTGTGTGAAATTACCATTCAAAAATGACAATGTCCACTTGCCAAACAATCTTGCTGTGGCCAAACAAAGGATACAAAGTTTGAAGAAAAGATTCATGCATAACCAGGAATTCCACAGAGAGTATGTAACATACATGATGAACATAATTGCCCATAAGTATGCAGAACGTGTTCCCGAAGACCAAGTGAACAAAGACAATGGAAGAGTATGGTACATTCCCCATCATGGGGTGCATCATCCGAGGAAAGGAGCATTGCGCGTGGTTTTTGACTGTGGGGCCACATTCAAAGGTGTGTCTCTTAACACCGAAACTGCTACAAGGGCCAAATCTCACAAGCACGCTGCTGGGTGTCCTCATGAGGTTTCGACAACAGCCAGTAGGCTTCATGGGTGACATCCAAGCTATGTTCCATCAAGTGCGCGTTCCAGAAGAGGATCGGGATTTCTTGCGTTTTCTATGGTGGCCAAATGGTGACACATTTCAAGATCCAGAACACTATAGAATGACTGTACATCTATTCGGCGCAGTCTCGTCACCAAGCTGCGCATCTTATGCACTTAAAAGAACAGCACAAGAACACCAATCAGAGTTCTCAGTCATGGCGGTAGAAACAGTCCAACGAGACTTTTATGTAGATGATTGTCTGAAGAGCACAGCCACTGAAATGGAAGCAACTCTATTGATAAATGAGCTGATGGCACTGTGTGAAAGAGGAGGCTTCATTTTGGAAAAGTGGACCAGTAACAGTCGGGTTGTGCTTCAATCAATCTTAAAAGAGCAAAGGGCAAAGGAATTGAAGATTTTGGACTTAGACATTGACAAGCTTCCCGTCGAAAGGGCTCTTGGTCTTCAGTGGTGCGTGGAAACTGATGCTTTTAAGTTTAAGATGGAGATAAAGCATCAAGCACTGGCGAGGCATGTTATCTGTCAACAGTTCCGTGTATGACCCTTTGGGATTTTTGGCACCAGTGACTCTGCAAGCAAAGATGATGCAACAAGAGTTGTGCAAAAGAGGTTGCAACTGGGATGATCCCTTGCCTCAGGACATCTGGCAGCGGTGGAAGAAATGGTTAGAGGAGCTAGAACTGTTGGCTACATTTGGAGTGGATCGGTGTATCAAGCCACCAGACTTTGGAACTGTGAAACAGGCACAGTTACACCACTTTTCTGATGCCAGTGAAAGAGGCTATGGGACTGTTACATATGTTCGCTTGCAAAACCAGGAACACAACATTCATGTCACCCTTCTCATTGGCAAGGCCAGAGTAGCACCTCTAAAGTCAGTGACTATTCCCCGGCTTGAATTGTCTGCATCTGTCCTTGCTACCAAAATGGACGCCATGATCAAGGCAGAGCTGAGTATGCCCCTTCAAGAAAGTGTATTTTGGACTGATAGTACGTCCGTATTGAAGTATGTAAACAACGAAGACCGCCGGTTTCACACATTTGTAGCTAATAGAGTAGCTACCATCCGAGGGCTGTCTATCCCTGCACAATGGAGACATGTCGGCACAAAGGAAAATCCAGCCGACCACGTGTCTCGAGGGCTGAAGGTTGCAGATTTTCTATGCTCAAAATGGCTGGAAGGGCCGGACTTTTTGTGGAAAGTGGAGGAGAAATGGCCGAAACTCACAGTGGATGTGTCATTGGATGCTGGTGACAAGGAAGTAAGAAGGGAGGTCACAGTGAACGTTGTCTGTCTTGACACTCCAAACCCCACAGATCGATTGCTGACATATTATTCAGACTGGACAAGGCTAAGAAGAGCAGTGGCTTGGTACCTGCGGTGGAAATCTTTGCTGAGAACAAAATGTAAGCACAAGCAAGCAAACGGATTGAACGCAAGTCCTGTGGCGCATAACACCAGATGCCGCCTAAACACAGTGGTTGAGCCCACAAGAGTATGTCTAACATTGGACGAGGTGGATAATGCAGAATTCTCCATTATACGCTATTGTCAGCGACAGAGGTTCAAAGATGAATTTGATGCTCTACAAAGGAACAGCAGAGTAAGTCGCCTGAGTTCCATTTATGCTCTAGATCCTGCTCTACAAGATGGATTGTTGAGAGTGGGTGGCAGGCTAAACAAAAGTGCCATGCCGGAGGAAATTAAACATCCGTTAATCCTTGCCAAGGAACAACATGTAACCAGGCTCATCCTGAAGAGTGCCCATCAAAATCTTGGACATGCAGGACGGATGCATACTCTGTCATCAGTGAGAAGGAAGTACTGGGTCATCAAAGGCAACTCTGCTGTGCGGAAGATTATTGGCGAGTGCAGCATCTGCAGGCGATACACTGCACGACCATTGGAACAGAAAATGGCAGACTTACCTGCAGTCAGAATTCTGCCTGACCAACCTCCATTTACGAACACTGGTGTTGACTATTTTGGTCCAATTGAAGTTAAGCGAGGAAGATCGTTCTGTAGACGTTATGGAGTAATATTTACCTGTATGGCCAGTCGGGCCATTCATTTGGAGGTAGCACCCACTCTTAATACAGATGCTTGTATCAATGCACTGAGAAGATTCATGAGCCGAAGAGGACAAGTAAAGCATCTATGGTCAGATAATGGAACAAACTTTGTAGGTGCAGAACGTGAATTAAAAGAAGCTCTTGCAAATCTGAACCAAGACTCAATAAAAGGACTGTTGGTGCAGGCTGGGGTTCAATGGACATTTAACCCACCTGCAGGCTCCCATTTTGGTGGTGTTTGGGAGAGAATGATCCGCATGGTGAGAAAAATCCTTAATTCCGTGCTAAGACAACAAATGCTGGATGATGATGGGTTGAGTACAGTTCTGTGTGAAGCGGAAGCCATCTTAAATGATAGGCCAATTACGAAGCTGTCAGAGGATCCGCACGACTTGGAACCTCTTACACCCAACCATTTGTTGTTGTTGAGAGGCAAACCCTCCCTTCCTCCTGGAGTTTTCAAACCGGAGGACCAGTATGGACGGAGGAGATGGAAGCAGGTGCAATACCTATCCGACCTGTTCTGGAAGAGATGGATGCGAGAGTATTTACCTTTGCTCCAGAAGCGACAGAAATGGAATGAAAAGAAGAAGAACCTGGCTGTAGGGGATATTGTGGCCATTATGGATCCATCGGCTCCACGAGGATCTTGGCCTCTTGGAAGAGTTTTGGAGGTATTCCCAGACAGTCACGGTCTAGTTCGATCCGTGAAACTCAAAACAAAATCAAACGAAATTGAGAGGCCAATAGCCAAACTGTGTCTGGTACATGGTGTTTGAAATTACAAAATAGAGACATTTTTTGTCTCCTTTCTGTTTTTGAAAATTAATTGCCATGACTGCTTACCATGCCAATTAGGGGCCGGTGTATAGGAGCCAAATATGTATTTTTCTTTGTGTAGTTGTTCTTTGTGTCCATGAGGGGGCGCATTCATCTTTTATATGAATGATGAGCTCAGTTGAGTGCAGGTGTGACCCAGAAGGGCAAATTGGTTTTTGACCGCACAAGCGGAGTTTGTTTTTCACTGTTTCTCGTGTGATACCACTGTGGATCCTTTTAATAGCACTGTTAAATAAATGAAGATTATTGCATCGTACCCTTTGAAGACTTGGAGGATTTTATTGAGCACAACAGAGCAACCACAGCATAGCCGCTTAGCGCGTCATCAACAAGCCTGGGTCTACAGCCTCACACTAGCAGCATTAGGCTGGCTATTATACGGCTAATCTAGAGATGTCATGAAGATGCTTTGATGCTACTCCCGTGGTTTGTCACTACAAACAGAAGAGGACAGACCCTGAGGCAGATTCCCCAGTGAACATAAAAAGCAGGAAAGCAGCATGGTAGCCCAGATGGTCCTTGTTAGCTTGTGTTGGTAGCGGCCTGTTTCGAGTGTACTGTACCAACGATGGATGTTTCCCACCTGTAGATGCTCCTCGCCTCTGATCACATCTTGTGCCCAGACTCTGTCTCCTGCGAAAAGACTTGACCCATCTGGACAAAGAGGAAAACCTGAACACACTGAAAATGAAATAGATGGCTGCAATCTACTCTTGTTTTTCAGAAACCCCTTGTGTTTTTGGAAAATTAATGGACTAAATTCCCATTGCATGTTATAAGCAGAAGCTGTAAAAGGCAGAAAATCTGAGCCGCCACTGTGGGTGTGCTTATAAAATATTCTAAAATGCTATACTGTAATTACGTTTCAATGGCATGAAATCAAACATCTTGCAGAAATTATTCTTGGCATTATTATATTGGAGGTACAGAATAAGAAAACGTATACTTTGTGTTTTACAAATGTTATTGTTTTGAACATTTCAAGAAGAGGACCATAATCATCCAGTTCACTGTTTGAGAAGTGTACTATAGAGTATGTACATGCCATTAAAAAAGCATTTAGGTTTTATCTATAGGTTCACTGTTTCATAAGCAGCATTATTAATAGTGACATTGCAAGTTGAACAAACACTTACTTAGAAATGTTGCCAACATTGTGTAAATTTCTCCTTTGTGAGATCAATAAAGTATATCTTATCTTATCTTTCCATTATTAAAAAAAAAATTGAGAGTTATAATTTGTCTGTATTATTAGACTTTTGTTAAGATACTGTACAGAAGTTATTATTCAGACAGTGATCGAAAATAAATCATATGTCTTTTACTTGGGATATGTGTAATGTATGCTAGCTTTTGGATTCCATTGTATTGTTTCTTACTGATCGTGTCTGCCACCTGCTGTCACAGAGATGGGGATGACTAGTGTCGATAGTATACAGGCTTCTCAACCACTTTGGTGCCCCTTTAATTTAATAATCCTAACATCTCTGGTTGTATTGTTTTCCTGCAGCAGAGGTTTGCCATGCTGTAAATGTGACGGTGACACCGGGCCCTGTTGTCATGGTAACGGAGAGGGACAACTTGACCCTGTCCTGCCTTGTGTCTCAGCGCAAAAGGAGCAACAGTGTCCTCATCCTGCGCTGGTTCTTCTCCCCTCCAGTGTCCCCTCCAGTGTCCCCCACGGACTCAACCCACCATTCTTCCCCGGAGCCAAATCAGTTTCTCATCGCCAAACTGGGAATCAAGAAAATTAAGCTCTATGGAAACTACACGCGCAGTTTCCCCCGGCCCAAGTTTCGCTTGTTCGAGGAGCAGGAGGGCGAGGTATTCCGCCTGTGGATATTGAATGTGTCCAGGACTGACCAAGGACAGTACAGCTGCAGAGTTCAGGAGATCCACAAACTCAGAAACACATGGAGGGCCTCTTCTAATGGCACAAGCAGCACACAACTTCTGGGTAAGCATCCAATGAGAGAGAAAAATATACATTACACAAACATTGTTTTGAGTATGTGTAAAATGAGACCTATTAGATTAGTTACAGATATAGTTCACCTTTTAGGCACCAAAGTAGAAGAATTTCTGAATCCAGGACAACAACAACATGGATTCCCACATGGATTGTTTTACTCTTTTTTTAAATCATTGAGATACACAATTATTATTGAAGAGGGATTTTTTTACTGGACTAGATTGTTTTCCGCAATTCATGAGCCTTGCTTTAAAAATAGGATATTGTTAGACATATTGCATTTTGTATAATACATTTTCACTTTTGTTTGTTTCGTATTTGCTCAAGAGTTAGGCTCACTTGCTCTTTTCATTCTCTTCATCTTTTTATCCTTATACACAAAAGGTGTTTTTTTGTGTTCAGAGACATAAAGAAATGCGGACATTTGCTGATACTTCAGCTCCAAATCCTCTGTGGAATCCCCTCGGCACTCACACCCTGTCAGTGTGCGATCCTATAATGGAAACTCCTGGATAAAGGAAAAACAGCAGCTGATAGTGGAACACAGATGGAACATTCACGACGAGATTTATTTATTCTGTACATGTCTATTTATTGAAGTTAAAAAGCCTTTTGCATGCGCGTGCTTGAGTGTGACCCCAGCACTCTGGCATTTCCATCTCAAAACAATGAGCTCACAGCCGCACACAGTCTCAGTCTGTAGCAGCGCAGAGGGGAAGATGGAGAGTGCTGAGCTGGCTTAGCTTGAACCGAAATATATTACATCAGCATGTTGAGTTTGAGGCCTCTGCAAAACCCCGGAAAAAGTATTGCTGTAGATTTTAAATGTGGTGGAACATTTAGAATCATAATGGCCTGTTTCTCTTTTTTCATAAATAATACTTTTTGTTTGTCCTGAAAGAAAGAGTCTGGAATCTGTTGTGATCGAATCAGACAACAACATGCTGCCTTTATCCTATTCGTAAGTAAGTGAGCAGTACGTTTATTTATTATAAAACATACGTAAGTCACTATATGCCGCTTGGGTTGGGAGCTAAAGGCTGAGCTAGAGTTATCCTCTCTTTCTAAGTTTTCTGTCTGAAAAAGCTGATCTAAAGATGTGACCGAGGCCAAATAATCCATGCATGTGAAGACTAGTGATAAAACTTAACTGTTTAAGAGCCAAATCTGCTTTGACATTTACAATTCTCAAAAATGGTGCGCTTATACACAAACAATATATTAATTAACTGTGAGTAATTGTTTTGTTAAAAAAAAAAAGAAGTCATATTTATGTGACAACGCCCTGACCTAAATTTGGGTCAATGTCCCTCTGTGGAAGCCACAGAACCTCAGGCATCTCCGCCGTGCTTTGCCACAAAGACAGCAACACAAGTGCTGACATTTTGAGGGTAAGCGAAAAGGAAACAAGTTATAGCTTTACACCAGGAATCCCCCTTGTCTGAGTATTTCAACAAAAGCTGGTATCTGCCCTCAACACCACAAAAGGCTCTTGGGAGACTGCTCCAGTTATTTTGAAATCTTCAGCCCACACGTCCCTGTTGTTTCTTCTCTCAAATGCTCTGATAACGTACAGTTTTATTAGCTGAGACTTCAAATTTCACTGCTCCAAGTTCAAACTCTGGTTGGCCTTTTCTTCACAGTTGTGCAGAGGCAAAACACATGGCCCTAATCCGTACCTGATGATTTTTTGAAAGGAAATCTGCGCGGCTCACTTTTTGTTCAGTAGGTGTCCAGGAGGGAGAGAGCGGAGACACGTGTGAACACTGGATTATTGATGCCAGCTGCTGGTTAACCGCAGTGTGAGGCTCTGTTGCCACTCTCATTATCAGCGGCACAGAGCTCCAATAACAGCCTGTCAATTTAACCCTACACAAGTTGGATTACAGAATCGATTAAGACAGACATATCATTTCAGTTGATTTGATGTATACTAAATATCAATATCAACAGCACACAAAACAAAAATGACACTAAGTTCAGTATTTATTCACTGGAGGGGATTTTTTTACTTTGCAATTACTTCATAAAGTTCATTTTTAACCCAAAGTGTTTAGTTTTGTGTCTGAATACAGTTTGTGGACTTCTAATTCTATAAATCAAAAATGTGTCTTTGCAATGAAAAAATAACTATGGTTTTGATGGCTTTAAAACAGTTCTATCAGTAGGGTTTACAAGCATGTATCTTTGGCCTCCGTCACAGATCCACCTTTGCAGACAGAAAGTTGTGAGAAAAAAATGACCACCCTCACTCAACCAATCAGCTCTCTAGGCCCAAGGTGTCAGCAAGTAAAATGAAGACTGCATGTTGTGGTCTGATTTCTTCTCAACATTTGTAGGTCATCGGTTTGGATATTGATTTAAAATAAACATTGTGATTAATTTAGACTTATCGGACATTATTAAAGCCATTATTTCGATGAATTCTGCTATATTGCTCTGCTGCTGTTACCTGCTACCAGCAAATACCAAAATAGTGATTAAACCATGTATTTCCTTCTTGTTTTGTTAGAAGAGAATCACTTTGTATTATTATTCAAGTGAGAGATGGGGAACTCCCAAACACAACCCAGGAACAGGAGTAGCCCACTGGGCCCCTCCTCTGTACAGAGTTTGTGTGGTGGATTTGGCGGATGTCGTAGTCTCTGCTCATGACAGCGGTTTGATATTTCTGGAAACCGCTGTTGGACCAATGCCTCCAGACAACAGCATCTTTATAATAGGCACACTCCTCTGTCCTCCACATGTGGCTTTTGCTGACTTTTCTGTTTCTTCAGTGCATTTTACCCCCGAAGAGAGCACAGGGGAAGGACTGGGGCAGTGGTTTGCAGGTATTCTTTCCAAAATATATTACTAATATATATGTTTTTTCCTGTAATCTAATGTAATCATGTTTTGTGCTCAGATGTGCACTTGGGGGCTGTGCTGATCTGCTGTCTGGGCCTTTTATCCATTTTTCTCTTCACTGTGGTCCTCTCTTGCCAGTACTTTTACCGGAGACACAGACCCAGAAGTAAAATCCTCGCTTTTCATATTGATTATTATTTCACAGAATTTTTCAGTTAATACATTGTATACATTTGCAGACAGCTATCTTTTTGTCAAGTGTCCCGAAAGCAGGTATGTCATGATTAAGCATGATCACATTTGTCAATAGTATCTTGATACATTTTATAGAAAACAAGCGTGTAAAACTATACTTGCAAGTTTTACCTGAGTATAAGTAAGAGAGATTAAAGATTAATGGCTGTTTCAAAATATTTCTCACGTAGGAATACAGGGTAATGGTCCAAAATATTTCTCAAGTTAGAGAGAAAACTACATAGAAGATACCATACTCAATATCTGATTTATAATTTGATTTGAATTATAAAATATTATATAATCCAGTCAAACCCCCCACCTACACTGTTCATGTTTATTTGGATAGTGGATTAATTGGCTTATTTGGTGGTCATCAAGAAAGTAGTAAACGTAACATATCTGCCGCTCCCTCAAAACCAATACTTGTTGAATATTTCTTCTTTGTCCACGTTGGGTTAAACCACATTAACCTTGTGTATTTATTCCCACAGCTCAGGCGAAACTGTGACTAGTTCCAGCAGCTCCTCCAGCTCCTCCCCAAAAGCCCAAAGAAGAGAGACCAGGCCCACGATACCTGCCAGAACAAAAGCACCACCTAAACTTCCGCTGGAGCCTCCACCGCACTCACCACACAAGGGTACCAGTAATGCATGCACTTTTATTGTGAGGAAAAAAGTAATCTAGGGACATTTTTGGCTTCAAATGGTAGGGATTTTTCAGTTTTGGGCTTGCCTCAGAGGGTGGAGGAGTCTTTTCAGTGTCAGTCACTGTTTTCCGAGATGAAGTTTCGACCAGACGTTTACAGAAGACTCCGGCACAGCGTGATCCGCGGAGGATCCATGGGTTAGGAAAACAATAATGATAAAAGAGACTGTATCCAACTGAGACTGAATGGAAAATTGTGAATATCAAGTATCACTGTCAATATTGTTTTGAAGGCGATGTCTTCAATTGTGTTTCATTTAGAAAATAATTCAGATTTTTTTAAATATGACCCTGTAGAATCATTTTATAATATATACATGTAAAGCAATCTCTCCCCTTGGAAAAAGCATCATCAGTAAGATTTGCAGGAGGAGAAGAGTTTGACCAGTGATCAGCGGACTCAGCTGTCTATCAAGGATTTTAATTAATTGCATCCAATCAGGAAGCTGTGGGGGCGGGTCTAACTGGCGCTTGCAACTGGCGCTTGCATTTGAACTTTGATCTCTACATCTTTACAATTTGAAAAGTAACTGACCTTCACTTAAAATCATCTTGCATTGTCAAAAGTAATTAATTGGACCCAGAGCATGCGATAATGAGAGTATCAGTAGAAAATACTTTGAGAATGTTTTGGAGGATCTTCATTAGATGCACTGGACCAGTCTTTTCACGTCAAAATTGATCTTGATACTTTGGTTTTAGTAAATATTCTTATTACATCATTTGAATAGCCCAATCAGGATGTCTGCTTTTCCAATAACAGCACCGATATTGATGGAGCCCAAACGACAGTGCACGACAGAACATGACAGAACATGACAGAACATGACAGTACAAACAGAAAAGGAACAGCTGCATAAGTCTTATTTCCTGGTTTAATGTCATGTGATCGAATGCCCGCAATGTTTCACACTAACAATTAACATATCTATCACTGTGGTGAAAAAGCAGGAAATGCATCAGATCAGAGAGGCAAGTCTTCTCATAAGAACATCTTTCTCGTGTAACTTTTTGCAATAACATACATAAACGTTCCATGCAAAAATAAACTACTGTGGAAGATTCCAGGCAATGCAGTGCCATCATTAGAACAGTGAAATAGTGCTCTTTCAGTTCAGTTAACACAACCACTAAACGAGTTTGAGTTCTAGCAATCGATAAAAGTGGTATTTTTGGTTTTGTTTGACATACATCTTGCATTATTTTTTCTAATCATAAAACTTTGTGCTGTGTTTTTAGCCCCTGTTGCTGCAAAGAGACCCCAAAAGCCAAAAAGGTCAAAGCTTCTGCAACAAAGAGCAGCTAATGTAAGTCCTATCCACTCACCTCACTTTGGCTAAATGAGGGACAACTGGCAACAAGCAAATCTGTCTGGACAGGCAAAGTTCCCATATGATTTCTCTCAATTTGAAATGTTCTGCACCAGACTCTCATTTAGGCTTATGCAAAGGGGAATTTGTTTCACGACTGCATGATTGTCGACTGGAGTTTATTACAGTCTCTTCATTCAGTTATGAGATGGATAATTCTATTTAGCTTTATTGCTTCTCATACACTATTATTTATTTAGAGCGCTTCATTGGTTTTATATCCACAATAAAAGTGCAAAAGACGTGCCAGATAGTTTTGGAAGTCATTTTAATGGCGACATTTTGGAGATTGTACTTTGAAATACTGAATGTGAGGCTTTCTGTTTGTCACAAGGACATGCGGGGTAGATTAGCAAAAAAATGAGAAAGAGCTTTGAAATCTAGTCAACAATGTTCTCTGAGCCAGAATCCAGATGTTTACTGCAACATTTCTGACCACTACTGTTTATAGGGAAAACATAAGCAAACATTCAATCTTTGCACTGATCCCTTTGGGCTAAATTCAGTGCTTGTTTCTAGGACAATTTGACTTATGCAGAGCTGGAGCTGGTCCGACCAAGACCCGACCCGTCGACCGTCGCAACTGTTGAACCTGCATCTTCCGACACAGACACTGTTTACGCTCAGATCCTCTTCCAGGAAAAACAGGTGTAATCTAAAACTTGGACAGTATTTAAACTAACTAATAATTTTGTATGAGAGTTGACTGGTGTACGTAATGCTTCAATTCTAACATGTGTGTTGGGTCGGCGGATCTGTTCAGCAGATGTGTGGGCATGTAAGAGCCATGTTATTCATGTCTGAACTCAGGAGAAGATGTAGACAAAAGTCTGTTATACTGCCGCTTTTGGGAGAACTGTAAATTCTCCTATTCATTATCATTTATAACTTCAAATTAATGTATGTGGTCAATAAATGTGTGTGGGTTTCTAAAGTACATTTCAGAGGTTGTGGGATGAATGTTGGGGCTGGATTTGATTTGTCATTGGTTGGTTGTAATCTATTCAAGCACCACAGCTCTCATGAGAAGACACATTTGGATAACATTAGAATTACAACATATGTTAGTGTTGTCACGATACTAACATTACAAACCCCATTTCAATATGAACAAAAAGATTCAATATTTGATGCCACGTGATGATTCAAGAATGTTTTTTTTGACAAATGTTCACATTATATGGTCCTATTTTTTATTCTAGCTATAATTTAGATCAGAGAACCTCACCTAAGTCCTGTTATGTGAGTTATTTTGTTTCATAACTGATACTGTCTCAAATGAGTATTGAGTTTCTCTTCTATTTTTAGTAGATTAAAAATACTTTTTGGCCCGAAAATGTCAGTGTTGCATCACAGGTGAAAGAACAGGAGGGATGAGGAGCACACAAAATACAGCTCAACTCTATGCTTGAAAAGTCTTTATCTTTAGTCGGATTTCTAACTTTTGATGACACTACTAATATGTTTCATCAAAATGTGTTTGCAACAAAGACAGGAGAAGAAGGTGGCAGAATTCAAGGACAAAACAAATTAAACTCCAGACGTCACACTCAAACAAAGGTGAAGGGTTCAGGCCATTTGTGAAGGTCAGCGTGTGAAAAAGGCAATGAAGACAGAGATGGCGTCTGAAGCAAAATAATGCACCATCAAGAGGGAGAGCTGCAGAGGCCAACATCCCCCACAGTCCACATCCCTGACGAGCTGAACCCGCTAATGACTACATTTATTCAAATTAGACTAATTGTAATCATGGTTAATAATTAGCTTTACAGTGCATTATAATTGGGTTAGGCTACAAGATGGTTCTGCCGAGGTGCAATAATTTATTTGATTTAATTATTCTGAAGAACCCAGTGGTTTGACATTTCATATCATAAAACCAGCGAGGTAGAGAGAATGGAGATGGCCGGTGTCTTTAGAGAAGGTCATTGCTCGCTCCCTGGGAAAATTATGAGCTCTATTTTCCACTCTATTAAGCTACTCCACTTAGCACAATTAGCCACACACATAAAGGTTAAGGAGAGAGACCTCTTTAGTTATGACAGAGGGGAGTGGCTTGAGTGCTTATGAGAGCCGCGCTCAGAATAAAAACAAGCTATCAGCTCTGGCAATGTGCAGGCAACTTCACTAAAGGAAAAGTCATTATCAATGTCTGGAGTATTAATTACTTTATGGTACGCAATAAAAGTTAGAACTGCACAATTCTGACAAAAGATCTATTGTGATTATTCCTGATTTTCTAATTAAGTATAACGCATTTTACTATAGTAAAACTAGTGCTTAAAAATAAGCCTAAATATTAATTTGACTCAAAGAATATTTTATTCGATATGAGTTTTTTTAATTACTTAATGAAATTAAATAATAATTATTAATTTTACTTTTTTTTTTTCATTGAATTATTTTTTTCTACAAGGGACTTAAATAATTGTAGTTCTTACGATTTATTAATTGTGTTGATAAAATGTATTTTTTGACTTGATTGTCATCAATTGTGCAACCATAATAATGTGAGTGTAAGTATATGCGTGTGTGTGTGTGTGTGTGTGTTTGAATGTTCAAGAAGGATAAAAATGTGATGAAAATGATGTGTAGAAGATGAATAAGAAAATTCACATTCCAACTCTGATGGAAAAGTCTGTAGAAAACAAAGAAAATGTTTTCAGTGTTCCCAACCAATGAGAACTCTGAACTGTTGATACCACAAAAATGCACCAGAAAAATACATTACAATGCTTGAAAACCTAAACTGCTGACGGAAGGGAATGTCTGACTTTTTACTGAAACTGACTTTTCCAGAAAAACGCAGAGGCATCAAAAGTGAATGCAGAAAGAAAAAACATGGATTTATCTTTACAATTATACTCACGATGTGTCTGGTACCATTTACTATTGAATATGTGGTTAGTATGATTGGAATACTTTATTAAAACAGATTCTACTTTCCTTCTTGCATTGTACACACACACACATTACAGTAGTTTACAGTTTTAAAAAAGGTCTAAAAATATATGATATGATTTTATTTTGCTTTCACAGTTTATAAATACACAATAAAAAACATGTAACTAATTGGCAAGGATAAAATTAACACTGAGATCATATGCAACAATATTCATAATATTGAGCTGTACCAAATGTGTATAAAATTTGGTAGAACCAAAGAATGTAAAATATCAACGGACCTAGTCACGCATTTGCGCATGCGTTAGCCGGCACCAGCCCCATTCATTTAACGAGTGCCTTCTGAAGTCCACAGCGGCTAACCTAGAATGGTCAAAAAAAACAAAAACTCTCCTAAGCATTGACACACATGTGGAACGTAGCTTTGGGCCAAGAGCTGACTTTTGGAAAGCCGTTTTCGAGAGGAAAAGCATTGGATAATTCTCTTTCTGGGTCCACCCCTACTGGCCCTGGCTGGTATCGCAAGTAAGTCACTTGGTAGAACCCCAAGATTGCGGTTGTTTCACTCACACGTCCAGGTAAACACTCTGCCCCAAGCGTCACCCACGAGCAAAGTGGCATGACTCCTGCACAAGAGCCACAATGTCACAAACTCACACTCTCTGATTGTCATGAAGAGTGTATGTTATTCACTTATTACCTGGACATGGAAAGCGCCGTGACTGCGGGGTTCTTCTTGAAACGTCGCTGTGACACAGGGTGTCCTCTGTTCAGCTCATGACTCAACACAAGACACCGCTCCCATATTTTGACATCAGGTGAACAGCCGACTTACAGAGGAAAACAGAGGAATATGATTCATTAGTACATGTCTTCTTACCGGCAGCATTCCCCAGAGTCATTACTATGGTTAGCTCGGGCAAGTACAAATACAGTACATATACAGTATGATTCTGTTGCATAAACATCAGTCTCAATGTAATTGTCAAAGCATAATACTCCTATGATGTGACAGAGGATGTAACCAACGTAGGCCAAATTGGATCTGGGTATTATTGCTTTTCAAATTATACATGCTCACACACGTCAGCAGAATTACTCATCAGTGTTTACGGCCTCTATGTTTAATAACTTTATAACAACATGATTCCTGCTTGCCCTAACGCAAGTGAGGGATGGGGAAAGCATTGCAAACAGTTACCTGGAAACAGGCTGTACAACTCCTAGATGTGCAGATTAAAAACATTATATCTAATTATCCAGAGATGGGATTCTTACATTCTCTTTGAAGACAGATGTGTGCTATTAGAGGACTGTTTGTTTCTGCTGACACAATGTGCAGGATAGATCACCTCATAGAACCTTAGTTCAAAGTTGAAATGTTTTACAATTTAACCTAGACATTAAGGAAATATATTTTAATTTCTATCATTAAAGCCCCATCAGGAAACGTACGGAGCTTAAGCCCATTTTCTTTTATTTTTCTATGACACTCGTACTTGTAGGAGGGCCTCCTCATGCCTGTTTCCATGGAAATGTTACTTTGACAGTTATCTTCCATAATATGTAATAAAACTGATCTGCTTACCGGAAGCATTCCGTCCATCGGCATGTGGACGGAATGCTTCCGGTAAGCAGTACTGCAGGGCTGCTCTGTGCACCTTTTTAGTAAACTTTTAACAACTTTTTTAGCGCGTTTTTATTGTTCAGTTTTTTAATATATCTGAGTGTTTTATGTTATTAATTCAGTGGTTTCAGCAAATAGCGCTTAGTCCCGACTGAAACCCACTAGTAGCACAGAGGCTAACACAAGCTAACGAGGACATGGAAAGTGACAATGAAATTGGCTCAAACATGCACAATATTAGTCGCCTCACCTTGGAGCTCCGTGAGAGCGACCGTGCCACCATTGCAGAACTACGAAAAGAAGTCCTTCGTCTCACCGCAGAGTTGAATGAGAAACAATCTCTAGTGTCCAAACTTTTTGAAGTCGCTGGTGGGCAGCATTCACGGCTTATGTCACTGAGCGCTGCATATTGTGACACTGTCGTGTGGGAGAGATCCGTCAGCTCCGGACCCTCCTGTTCTACACCTAAGCGCCCGGTTCCGAATAACGAGCCCGCGGATTCCGAGGAGACATCCTGCGCCGTGGCCCATGTCCTGAGTCTGGCAAACCGCTATGCAGCCCTCTCCACTGACATCCCGGCCCCCTCAGCAGAATCCCTGGACACTGCAGCGTACTCTACTGCTCGAGGATCCAAGTCCACTGCGAGGAAAACGCTCCTAAAGGAAGCAGTCCTCAGGCGAAAGAGCGGTCCACCAGCCATGTTGGCCTGTTCCCCTTCTTTGACCCCAGTGCAGCAGCCTCAGACTGGGGTAGCGAGCCATCATTACCACCGCTCACCTCCACCGGGTCAGCAGCAGCGCCCAGAGCCAGCCCCTCTCACCGCTCCAGCGTCCCCGAGCACACAGCGTGGGTCGCCTGTAGCTGAGAGTCAGCACCCCCCGCTCCTCCTCTCCATGTGTTCAGCGGCGCTCAGGCTCGGGTCCTGCTTCGGGTGAACCCGCTGGTTCCGTCCACCGAGCTCCTTCTCCGAGGCCGCGTCCACGTCCACTCTTCGCCCCGACCACTCTGATTATTGGAGATTCCATCGTGAGACACGTCCGCTTCTTCAACGCGGTCACTCGCTGTATTCCCGGAGCTACTGTACCAGACCTGCTCATACGTCTCCCTCCTCTGCTTCAGTCCCTGCCTGATACCGTTTCCAAGGTAGTCGTGCATGTGGGAATTAACGACATGAAACTTCAGCAGTCAGAAGTCACTAAGAAACATTTTTATGGATCTGTTCCACCTCCTTCAATCCACGGGATTATCTGTTTTTATTTCTGGTCCAATCCCGACTGTAAACAGAGGTGACTGCCTCTACAGTCGTGTTGTGGCGCTGCATATGTGGATCCAGGCTACATGCAGCTCTTTTAACTTTGTCTTTGTGAATAACTTTGCCCTTTTCTGGAAACGTTACGAAGCCTATCGTCCAGACGGATTACACCCAAACAGATACGGTAGCAGCCTGTTGATGGGCTACATGCGTTACGTTGTTCAGCGTTCCCCGAGGGGGGCGTGACTGTTTACATCTGAGCCCCCTCGGACCCCACCGCACTCCCCCGCCTCCTGCTCACCAGCACCGGGTGAGTACAACGGTGCAAACACTGCTCCCTGTCCGTCTGGCAGTGCATTACCAGTCCAAACACTGAACTGTGCTGACTCCCTTCTGACTCTGGGAGCTAAAGAACAACAAGGGTTTTCACATTTTAGTCCAATTGAGACTGTGTGTGTTTCCTCGCACCAGCTCAAAAATGTTTTTAAATTCTAAAAAACGAAATCAAAACAGGACAGCAGTTAGACGGTCCAACTCTGCAAATCTAATTTCTGTTCCCTGTAGAAAATCAATCAACCACATTAATCGACTCTGACGTTATTTTTAAACTTGCTATGCTTAATGTCAGATCTCTATGTAACAAATCATTTTTTAATTAATAATTTTATCACTTCTTATGATCTTGATTTTATGCTTATGGCTGAAACATGGCTGGACCAAAATACAGGAAATGCAGTTCTAATAGAAGCAACACCACCCAATTTTAAAATTCGAATCCGAAGTACGAGAAAACAAAAGGGGGGGAGGCATAGCTGCAGTTTTTAGAGAGCACTTTGTCTCCCATAGAATGCCCCTTGGAAATTTTTCATCGTTTGAGTATATTTCTTTTAAAATGGAACAAAAGCAATCTTCTACTCTTTTCATTGTCCTGTACAGGCCACCACAGTCATGTTGCGATTTTATTGACCATTTTACTGAACTACTTTCATTCGTGTGCACAGATTTTGATAGTTTAGTTATTACAGGTGATTTTAATGTACATGTTGATAATGTTGATGACAGAAATGCAAAGGAGCTGGCTTCTGTATTTGAGACCTTTGGTTTCATTCAGCACGTGAGTGGCCCCACCCACAGCAGGGGGCACACTCTTGACCTGCTAATTACAAAGGGGGTTAATGTATCAAATGTTAATGTAGTTGATGTTGCTTTGTCAGATCATTTCTGTGTATTTTTTGACATGTGTTTTGCTAGCAAACCACCAGCTGAATTTACAACTGTTAGAAGAAGACACATACATGAAAACACAAGTGAACTGTTCATGGGAATGCTAAATTTTGAGAAAACTCCATGCTCTACTGTTGATGAATTGTATAACTCTGTCACCACCAGTGTTCTGAATGTTCTGGACGCCATTGCTCCTGTGACGGTTAAATAGTTACCAGTAAGAAAAAGGCCCCATGGACTAAGGCAGACTCGGTCAGGGCACAGAAGCAAGAGTGCCGGAGGGCCGAACGGAAGTGGCGAAAGTCCAATTTCCAGGGCGATTATGAAATCTTTAAAGATGAGTTGGGTGAATTTAACCGGGTTCTACGAAGAACAAGAGAAATGTATTTTTCTGACATTATTGGAGGTTGCAGTAACAATTTTCGTGTTATGTTTTCAACAGTTGGTAGATTAACGAACCCCCCTGTAAAGTTGCCCCTAGAATTTTCCTCTAAATCTAGGTGTAATGAGTTCGCACAGTTTTTCGATGACAAAGTACAAGGAATCAAAAACACTATCACCTCCACAGCACGTATAACAATGCAACAGCCAGAGAAGCTTTTTGAGCTAACTCACTTTGCACCTGTGGATACTGAAACTGTCAAAAAGATAATCATGAGTCTGAGCTCCTCCACATGTAGCCTGGATATATTGCCCTCTAAATTTCTGAAGTCCGTCCTGAGCAGTTTGTTACCTTCACTGACACAAATAGTAAACATGTCTCTGTCGTCAGGAACATTTCCTATGGCCCTAAAAACAGCAGTCATAAGACCTCTCCTAAAAAAGAGCAGTCTGGATCCTGCGGGACTTCAAAATTATCGCCCCATATCGAATCTGCCATTCATTGGAAAAATTCTTGAAAAAGTGGCCTCCCAACAACTTACTGAATTTTTAACAATGAATAATTCTTTTGATATGTTCCAGTCTGGGTTTAGACCCCACCACAGCACTGAGACCGCTCTAGTGAAGGTAATAAACGACATTCGACTTCACACTGATGCAGGTAAAGTCACAGTTTTGGTCATGTTAGATCTTAGTGCCGCGTTCGACACTGTCGACCATGAGATCCTCATGCAGAGACTGGAGGACTGGGTTGGTGTCACTGGCACAGCCCTAGACTGGTTTAGGTCTTACCTGGAGGATAGGAAGTACTTTGTGGAGATTGGAGACTGCGTCTCAGATCATGTGGCCCTGACCTGTGGAGTACCACAGGGGTCGATCCTGGGACCTCTCCTATTTAATCTCTACATGCTGCCGTTAGGTCAGTTAATACAAAGAAACAAAGTGTCCTACCACAATTACGCCGACGACACTCAGATCTATGTCTCACTGACTGCAGGAGAACATGGACCACTGGATTTGCTCCTTCACTGTATCCAACAGATCAGTGAGTGGATGCAAAATAATTTCCTCCAGCTAAATGCAGACAAAACCGAAATCATTGTCTTTGGTCCCCAGAAACAAAGAGAGGGCGTCATCTGTCACCTCCAGTCTCTCTCCCTAAAACCTTCAAACAAGGTCAGAAATTTGGGGGTAATACTGGACTCAGACCTAAATTTCAATAGCCACATAATAAAATCAATAACATCAACAGCTTTTTACCATCTGAAGAACATTGCCAAAGTCAGAAATATAGTGTCCAGGGCAGACTTGGAGATTCTTGTCCACGCATTTGTCTCCAGCAGGCTAGACTACTGCAATGGCCTGCTTACAGGTCTGTCCAAACAGACCTGTAAGCAGCTGCAGTACATCCAAAATGCAGCAGCTAGAGTCCTGACAGGAACCAGGAAGTATGACCATATTAGTCCGGTCCTCAGGTCTCTGCACTGGCTTCCTGTGGCTCAAAGAATAGATTTTAAAACAGCTCTGCTTGTGTACAAGTCTCTCCATGGCCTTGCACCAGAATACATTAGTGACATGTTGGTGTCATATGAACCAGCCCGGACTCTGAGGAGCACAGGGACTGGCCTCCTGTGCTGGTGCCCAGAGTGAGAACCAAACATGGGGAGGCTGCGTTTCAGATCTATGCAGCTAAGATCTGGAACAATCTCCCTGAAAATGTGAGGGAGGCGTCTACTCTGTCAATGTTTAAATCCAGGTTAAAGACTGTTCTGTTTGCCTGTGCATACAACTGAAGGATTTTATCTCCATTTGTAATGCACTGCTGTCATTTATTTATTTATTTTTTTTAAATTTCTTGTGTAACTTTGAAAGTGTTAATGGTTTTATTCTTTTGTGTGATTTTATTGTTTTTATTGTGTTTTAATCTTTTGTGTGATTTTAATGTTTTAATTGTGATTCTGGTGTTTGTTTTATGTGATGATTTGTGATGTGGACTGTGAAGCGCTTTGTGTTGCCCTGTGCATGAAAGGCGCTCTACAAATAAACTTTGATTGATTGATTGATTGATCTGTCTTCGCGGGATGTTTTTCAAAGTTTTTATTTAATCATAGCTTTTCTAGTAGTAGCCTAAAGTTCCTCCTCCTGTGAAATGTATTATATCAGTTATTTTTAAGCAGGGGGCACCACTGCTGGCTGCAGTTTGTAACGCACACTGACTCCAGTCTACTGCAGTCCGGATTTGCCCAAAACCATGGAGGTTCACAGGGATCATCACCAGGAGACCAGAGCAGACCGCTGCAGAGTCCGTCAATAACAGCTGTGCGTAAAGCTTCTACACACCCACATTGTTCACACATTCCTACTCGCAGAGCTCAGAGGTCAGTATCTTATTGGTTTTATACACTTTCTAAGTCCTCCAGGACCCAAGCAGGCCCCAAGTGCACCAAAGGTAGAGTCAGTGTACACATGGTGCTATTAGGAAACAATGTAGTTGATTTCATATCTGTTCAACATTCAAGTATTTTAATTCCAAATCTCAGTTACCAAGAGCTGCATTGGTGTCTGCTGTACGCCCCAGTGCCTGGGACTGGACCTCCTCTGAAGAGAAAGCCAAATGTGCTTGTTTCAGCTCCGCCCTCCAAATCTAAAGTAGATACAGATTACAAACTTTATGTAAACAAAATAAAGACTTCCAAAATGTTGTACTCTGAAGCTCAGAGAATAACTCAATCATAGTATCCACCACTGACTGAACATAATAAACTTTGACTTACCTTGACACTGCCATCAGAGCAGCCGGTCACAATGACATTTCTGGCGTCCCACTCAAGTCTTTGTGAGAAACTGACACAGAGCAGGTTTGCCTGAGGCCCACAGGAGGGCTCTGTGCGGGCCAACAGCTGACCCCTCATGGTCCACAGGTACAGCTGTGAGCCTGCGCATGAGGCTATGTCCCCCTGTTAACAAGGACGGTGGTAAGGGGGTGATTATAGGAACAACAGCTACAAAAATCCACTTTGATCAAAAACATAGCAAAGAGGGAAAGAGACATTTGTTGCTTGACTCACAGTTAGATCATTGATGGCGACGGCCGACACGCTGCTTGTGTGTTCTGTAAGCTGCGTGACATAGCTCAGCTCCTCCAGGTCCCACAGGATACAGGTGAAGTCACGGGACCCACTCACCAGAACATTGTGGACCTCAGACACAGCCAGGCACGTCACTGCATCTATGTGCCCGTATAATGGCTGCCACAACAGTTACATCAATATATAAGCAGAAAATGATTAACATAAAGCAGATATAATTTAAACATTCACCTGTCTAAGTTTCATATGGCCGAGCTTGTCTTTACTGAGAGCCAGGTCCCACACACACACCACTGTGCTGGTCCCCGCTGTGACGACAGTGGTTGGATTTGGACAAACGGCACACAGAGTCTCACCCCAGACACACAGCTCTTCAAACACAGCAAAAGTCTGTAGGAAAATATTCACGTTATTTCTCATTTAACAAAAATCCACAGTTGTCTTCAGAGAAAAGTGGTGAAATGTGCAATATAACAATCTTTACATTTCTACTAATACTTTTTACTCCACTACATTTCAACAATTATCTGTAATGGCGATGGTTTAAGGCAGTGGTATCCAAATTATTTCACTGGGAAAAATTGCAATCCTGAGTCCAAATGTTCTTAGCCCTCAGGCTTGCTCTACTATTAAAACATCAATAATAAACATTGTTGTAGGGTTAGCTCTGATAATAATAATATATGCATATATATATATATATATAACCTCGAACAGGTGACGAGGAAAGCGGCAACTGCCAAATACCTCCAGCGAGTAAGGCAGGTCCTAAGAAGCCGGCTCAATGGCAAGAACGAGGACTAGTGAGTGTGAGAGCCACTGTCCAGGACGAAACATCCAAACTCCATAACTACATCATGGAGAAGGCCAAAACGGATGACGTACTCAGTGAATGTCTCAGGCAGTGGCGAGATGAAGAGGTGCTGGAGGAGAGCCCATCATGGGAGAACAAGCCCCTACACGGCATGTACCACCGGAGCATAACAGAAGTGGCTGATCTCCAGAAGTCCTACCAATGGCTAGAAAGGGCTGGCCTACAGGACAGCACAGAGGCACTCATCATGGCTGCACAGGAACAGGCACTGAGCACCAGAGCGATAGAGGCCCAGATATACCACACCAGACAAGACCCAAGGTGTCGGTTGTGCAAAGAGGCACCTGAGACGATCCAACACATAACTGCAGGGTGCAAGATGCTGGCAGGGAAGGCCTACATGGAACGCCATAACCAAGTGGCTGGCATAGTGTACAGAAACATCTGTGCAGAGTATGGGCTGGAAACCCCAAGGTCTAAGTGGGAAACTCCTCCAAAGGTGGTGGAAAATGAGCGTGCGAAGATCCTGTGGGACTTCCAGATACAGACCGACCGAATGGTAATGGCGAACCAACCTGACATGTGGTGGTAGACAAAGGGCAGAGGACAGCCGTGGTGGTGGACGTGGCAATTCCAAGCGATGTAACATCCGGAAAAAGGAACATGAAAAGCTTGAGAAATACCAAGGTCTCAGAGAGGAGCTGGAGAGGGCCTGGAGGGTAAAGGTAACAGTAGTGCCCGTGGTGATCGGTGCACTAAGGGCAGTGACTCCGAAGCTAGAAGAGTGGTTACAGCGGATCCCCCGAACAACCTCGGACATCTCGGTCCAGAAATGTGCAGTGCTAGGAACAGCAAAGATACTGCGCAGAACCCTCAAGCTCCCAGGCCTCTGGTAGAGGACCCGAGCTTAGAGAGGGATAACCGCCCGCGGAGGGCCAAAGGAGAGAATTTTAATTTTTTTTAATAGAAAATATGAATGTACCTTTCCAGTGGAGTAGTTTCCAAAGGCACAGCTGTTGTCAGGGAAGCCCCAGATGAAGCAGCAGTTCAGTGCTGGTGACAGTAAAATCTTATTTTTCTCCAAAACTACGACTTCTTTATCGCACAGTATCTGCCAAACTGGTCCTCTGGAGAGTTCTGGAAGTTAAAAAGAAAAAAGGAAAAATATCTAATTTGTTTGCAAATGCACCTACTAAAATAAAAAGTGTGACCTCATTCTGCCTGCTGTGCAGGTATACTATTGGCTGACCAAATAAAAGGTAATAGCTCTTCAAAAGCATCATATTAAAGAGTTTGGGACTTTAGTAAACTTGTAGAAGATTTTCATTAAACTGACCGCAGAAAACAAGGCAATTAAAAACTATTCCCAGATTACTACAGGCGAGGCTCAGTCCAACGGGAACACCTTCCTTCTGGACAGGACAAATTGTATGTGTTTTGGCCTGTAATTGTACCAGTAATTGACCTATTCATGTGGCTACAAGCAGAAATCATTACATCCCATCACCAGTTCTGTGTTTAAAACGGCAGAGAGGAGTTACATTAGTCCCGGTTTTCCTCGCTCCTATTCATCTCTATCTGCTTATTGATCATATCAGACACACTGAGATTTAATATGAAGCGTAATATGCAGGAATCTCTCCCTGAGCATTTGTGGACTCATCTCCTCTGCCTCAGTGGGCCTTTAGGGATAGGCTGATTATTAAGTAGAGCTCAGACGTAGAGTCATCTCCATATTGTGGCTCAAACAGATCGCTTCTTCCAGTGTAAATTAATCTATGGATGTGCCCGCTCTCAACAATTCCCACAAGACTTTACCACATCTTTATATGTAATAATTGGCATCAAATTGTAGTGTAAATAAAACAAATACAATGCTGTACAAAACTGTAGAACATGAAAAGAGGTGTAATTGAATGCCCAACAACGATTTTCCCGATAGATTTTTGCACTGCTTATTGAGAATAAAACTTGTATAATGATTTCAATAAAAGTAGTCGATAGTTAATACCTTTGAAAGGCTGTTCTGTGGTCTTAAGTTTGTCCAGCCTGAAGAAGAATGGAGTTGGTAAGGAAAGAGCTGCTGCTTCTTTCTTTGTGCTAATGCGAGCTGGGTGCGGTCTGGTAAAGAGCTGTGGGTAAGAAATAAATATATCAATAAACAATCGAATAACTGTGGATTTGAACTTTGAATACGTTTAAATTGTGTTTTTTAAACAAAAAGCCAAGATGGTTAGATTCGATGACTTCTTGAACAGTGAATAAAAGCCTTTTCTTTTTTGAGTTTGTCTTAAATTTGACTGGCCAAAATCATAAACTTAACTTACCCTTAATTCATAGATGTATTTTTTCGCCCTGGGCAGGGTTCACACTCTACAGTTGTGTACACCCAGAAGTATTAAACATTGCAGAAACTCTTCCACAACAATTAAGATCTGCTCCAACTATCAGCAATTTTGACTCTAGCCATAGAAAAAAACTTTAGTAGATTCCGTTCATGTTCTACTTTATTTCAGTTGGTGAGCAGGAGCCAAAACAAGCATTTTATGAAATGTTGAAAAATAAAAGTGACCAAATATTTTCCCAGATCCTTATTTGATAGTGGTTAGATTAAAACATAAATAAAATACATATTACTCTTAAGTCTGAAAGTCCTCTCTACTGGCAAATGTATTATTTATTTCATGTATGTATTCAAACGTTCATACATTTGACAAACAAAACAATACCTGTTTTGGCACTTGGCCAAAGTTGCTCACATAACCCAACTTTAAATTCTTGATAAGTGGGTCTTTGGAGTCTGCCCGATCCCGCTGGGCGTAGAAATATGGGTGAAACAGGTTTAAACTCTCCTCTGCTGCTGGTCCTTGCTGCTTGTATCCAAAAATCAGATCGATCCACAAATGAAGGCGTGAACTCACAAAGTCGCTCTCCAAGGCCTGGGGACAGAGCAGGAGACTTTCAAACTTAGTAATAATGTAAAACTACTACACCTGCAATAAGGGGACACAATCCAGGGAGAGGATTGTTATTACAGCAAGAGGAAGGCATCAGTCAAATTGGTAATATTTGAGTTTGGAAAGAAAAGTAACTTCTACATAAAAGCGCAAACAATCTCATTTGGGTGTTGTGCGGTATCCTCTACAATTAAATTCTAAAGTCTGAAGCAGCAGAAATGCAGCTGTATTATGAGCTTATCTTCATGTTACAATTAAAGTATGATTTTGGTGGCATTAGGCAAAGATTGTTTTTGAACAGTTAATAAGAGAAAAGTGGGCATTGTGACCACCCATGCTCTGCCCCAATGTTAATAACTCAAAGAATAGAAGCAACAAAAAAATCATTACGAGGAAATATTGTCCTGAGTTAATTTGTCCTTAGAAGAAAAAAACAATCTTCCAGTCACTAATTCTATGACAGTGGTAGGCAATATGAGTATCTCAGTAGATTACAGAGATAATGATCCCCATTGCCCCGGGAACAGAACAAGTGAGGTCAGGCTGCAGGAACCAGGCCTAAATACAACACAGAGAGAAAAGTGACTTTAATAAGAAGAAAAGAGCAGAACAACAACAGGAGACAAACAGAGACAAGAGTGCCACTGTGGTGGCTTTGTGCACTGGGAAAAAGCATCACTGCATAGCACTCTTTGCTCTTTCATTCTTAAACTCTGCTATTATACATAACAAGCAGAAGTTTGTTTGAATTACGATTTTGTTGGGTAATTCTCAAGTATAGTTACTTCTACCAAATGTAAATAGCTACAAAACAAACATGGCAACTCTTATATGACAATATACCCACATTTGACATAATCCTGTATGCATGTCCTAAAATCCTTTGAGAATAGTATCAATTGCACGATCCCTTTGGGGGTCGCTGGTCACTGACCTCTCGATGGACTCTAATGAACTCCTTTGAGTCGCCTTTGGCCCAGGGAGGCAGCTCCACATCTCCTAAAAGAGTTCCATCCTCCATGCAGCCTACGAACAAGATATACAGTAGTGAAATAAATGAAAAGAGTGTATTTGTATCATGTTTTATTTTTTAGTTAATAAATGATCGATTTATTGGCACAAACCCAAGTTGATATGATTGGAATTAAGCAGAAAATCGGGCAGATAAAAGAACTCTGGGATCAGCTCCCGGACGTCCGCCATGTTGTCCCGAGAGGCAGAATGCCACTCCTTCTTCACGCTGTGAAACATGCGCTCTGCGATGTCAAAGCCGCCCTTTCACGCACAAAACAGTGTCAGGTAAAAATGTGCAATATTGTTCTCTGCGCATGAACGACGCCAGCATTTCCTTTTATTTCTGTAAAATTTCATAATCTGTGATAGAGTTCTCATGAGAGAGAATGTAATTTAAACTAAAACAATTACCCAAATGAACAGAAATGGCATATATACTGGTAAAATGAGTTAGAGACGGAAATCAAGTTATGGATATTACTTCACACTCATAATGCGCTTTAGAAGACAAAAAGACGCTGTAATTCACCAGGCAAACCTGTTTATTGCTTTATTCAGACTATCAAATATGCATGGCTTTTTATTATAATCAATTGCATGCTGAATTGTAAATGGGCAACATCTGTGGCTTTGTGCTGACTTCTTTTAGACACTTTCTGTAATTATTTGCATATATATTGAGATCAAGCCACAATGAGTTTGTAAGCCTAAAACAGGAACGTTCGCAAAAGGCATCAGCAGAACTTGTAAGAAAATGCAATTAATGTCTTTGATTAATTTAATTTAATTGAACAAATGCAATAAAGGGTTGATGGTCTCACCTGCAGAGTGTGGAAAGTTTGGGAAAATGGCTCCATTCGAACAAGAAAGGAGGCCACGATGATGGCTGAGGAGTAGTGGGTGCAGTAGTGACACTGCGCAGATAAATCTCCTATAATAATGAAACATGGATAAATACAAGTGTTGAAAATATTAGGATTTACAATAACTGAAAAACATAATGTGGTACCTTCATAGTTATCTCTAAACTTTAACTTACAATATATTATTTAACTATATCCTGGTATCAGCGAGGATAATTCCAACATTTATTTAGACAACATATTTAAAGCAGCAGTAAGCGATTTGGTCGTTTCCGGCAGTTTCTTCTGCCTGAGCGAGTTAGTAGCCCCGCCCCCGTCTCCTCGTCACACCACATGAACGCGCATCGTCTTGGTGATGGCAGCAGCAGATTCATCTCTGTCAGGTCTACTCGTAAGTATATTAACAACAAACTCTGGGAGTGAAATATTAGCATAGAATAGCTCAGTTGTAACCTAGCTATAACACTGGAAGCAGCTTGGTGTTAGCTAGGATAGCATCACTAAGAAAGAGATAAAAACAATCCAGTCTTTTATAGAATAACACTGCTTTTATAGTTGGTACACTGATAACTGTTGTGATAAACATAATGTTGCAGATTGCAGTGTGACGTGTCTCAACATTATGCACAGATGTTAATCTGTTACAGTGCATATGTATTAGATGAATGTAATGCATATACATAACAAAGCTTTACATGAAGGTTATTTAAAGTAATACATTACTGCTACTTATTTCCTCACAATTTGTATATTTGGAGTTCTTTATAGACAACACTGTAGTAATGTATTATGTGAAAGTAAAGCTGCATCTCACTGGAAGCTGCCTTCTCAATGTCACAAAATAAAGATACATTTATTGATGTAATCAACATCTGTATTATGTGCTTATTGTTCAGAGAATGAAGACAAAATCTAAGTGTATCAGAGCTGTACAGTGAGATGTGGGACTGAAAAACAATTCCAGTAAAGCTTGTCCGAAACGCAAAAATACTGTCATAACTAATTACGTTACACTATTACACTGTAAGGAAACTCACCACTTTGAAAGAAAAGCTACAAGTAACAGAATATATAAAGTCATTTGTCATAACGGTTCTTTCAGGAAGCACTGAACGCCCTCTGTCCAGAGAAGCTGATGACCAGATCCTTTCCCTGATGCGTCTGTGAAAGGTGCCAACAGACATTGAAAACGTGCTTTCCTCAGTGGCCCCCATGGTGCACGTCCTCAGCGGCCCCCATGGTGCACGTCCTCAGTGGCCCCCATGGTGCACGTCCACTCTGCAGTTCTGAAATATGTTTGTAGTTGTACTATTTCAAAATAAAAAAAAATACATACACCTCTTTCAATGTGCTTTGTTTTATAGTAGGAAAACAAATACAGTCTGTAACGAGTCTAAGAAACTTTATTATGTAAAAGAAGATTTGAAGTTATAGCCGGAAAAATATACACAATGTCCCTACTAAGACAAATAATTACAAGTGATGGTAAGGCAACGTTTGTGTTATCACTTTTTGCTCAAATGAATAACACTGTTATTATCCAGGTCCTTATCCATCGCTGCTGCAGCGAACACTATCAGAGATATCTAACAAAATGTTAATCTTTATGTTGTAGCTTGTTTGAACACATTTCCTCAAAATAATTCATAAGCAGCCACGCACACACAGCCACAAGCACACACAGCCACAAGCACACACAGCCACAAGCAGCCACAAGCACACACAGCCACAAGCACACACAGCCACAAGCAGCCACAAGCACACACAGCCACAAGCACACACAGCCACAAGCACACACAGCCACAAGCACACACAGCCACAAGCACACACAGCCACAAGCACACACAGACACAAGCACACACAGACACACGCACACACAGACACACGCACACACAGACACACGCACACACAGACACACGCACACACAGACACACGCACACACAGACACACGCACACACAGTCACACGCACACACAGTCACACGCACACACAGTCACACGCACACACAGTCACACGCACACACAGTCACACGCACACACAGTCACACGCACACACAGCCACGCTTCAGGGGCCCAGGTTGAAGGAACTGGAGTCTTCCTCTGGCAGAGATTTTCCTTTGAAACATAATAGAAGAGACATCAGTTTTATCTACTCAAATATGACTTTGATATATTCATCATCAACAACATCAGTATTTATTGATCACCAGGAGTGGCCCCTGATCCACAGGATCCTTGAACATGTTTATTTGGACTGTGCATTGTGAGAGAGAAAGACACTTACATCGGCTGTTTTGGGAGTCGAGTGATTATCTCACTCCTCTTGATTGTTGAAGAAACTCAGCGACAGTTTTGTCAACACTGACTCCTGGAACATGATCGATATTCATTTTGGACCTCAGGGCAGCAACACAACTGTAGGGATGAACGACACACACATCACAACATCATTATCATAATCACTGCGTCCCATATATGCATTCACAACAACCTACATGACAAATGTGGGGTGTAAAGTCTTCCTCAGGAGATGACAATGGCCGATCTTCTAATTCTGGAAGCAAAGTCTTGTCTTCCCAGTCAATACTAGAGAAAGAAGAGGTCAGCAGAAAAGTATCTAGTCGTTATGGCATTGTTTTTTTTTTAATAGTTATTTAACTTGCATTATGGAGGCTTTTGAACTCTTGTACATTGAAGACCTCATTCCAATTGATTTAGGCCATACTGGAAAAGATACAGAGAAAAGAATGCAATGAAGACATGTAAATTATTACAATGTCTATATTATATCATGCTCATAATTTATTTGGTAGTAGTCAGCAAGACTTTTCTTACTTATTCTCAATACATAATAATAAAAATGTATGTAGTGGTCACGGAAGTTAGATTTGAGGTAAAGAGATATTGTTTTTATAACAATAAAACGAATATACAGAGTGCAAGTTGCAAAACTTAGTCATTGAAGAATGAAATGCAGACCTACATATATATATATAGTGCAAGCAACTATGTTTATTGGCAAAAACAAACGATTCATACAGATCAGAAGTGATCGTAGCAGCCACATCATATTCACAACTACAGACAGCTAATGCTAACAGCAAACGCTAATGCTAACAGCAAACGCTAATGCTAACAGCAAACGCTAATGCTAACAGCTAACGCTAATGCTAACAGCAAACGCTAATGCTAACAGCGAACGCTAATGCTAACAGCAAACGCTAATGCTAACAGCGAACGCTAATGCTAACAGCAAACGCTAATGCTAACAGCAAACGCTAATGCTAACAGCTAACGCTAATGCTAACAGCTAACGCTAATGCTAACAGCTAACGCTAATGCTAACAGCGAACGCTAATGCTAACAGCGAACGCTAATGCTAACAGCGAACGCTAATGCTAACAGCAAACGCTAATGCTAACAGCGAACGCTAATGCTAACAGCGAACGCTAATGCTAACAGCGAACGCTAATGCTAACAGCGAACGCTAATGCTAACAGCAAACGCTAATGCTAACAGCGAACGCTAATGCTAACAGCGAACGCTAATGCTAACAGCGAACGCTAATGCTAACAGCGAACGCTAATGCTAACAGCGAACGCTAATGCTAACAGCTAACGCTAATGCTAACAGCGAACGCTAATGCTAACAGCGAACGCTAATGCTAACAGCGAACGCTAATGCTAACAGCGAACGCTAATGCTAACAGCGAACGCTAATGCTAACAGCGAACGCTAATGCTAACAGCGAACGCTAATGCTAACAGCGAACGCTAATGCTAACAGCGAACGCTAATGCTAACAGCGAACGCTAATGCTAACAGCGAACGCTAATGCTAACAGCGAACGCTAATGCTAACACCATTTCACGGGGGAACTCTGGTGATATGGTCATTTAATGTTGTACATGTGGGGAACTAATAATTGACCGGAGTTTATGGATGGCTGAGGCTGGGCTAAGGCTTCGATGTTGTGTTGTCTGTTGTTGTTTCTCAAAGCTAAGAATCAGAATCATTTTTATTGCCAACGTAAGTAACGGGAGGTCACAGACTTGGAAATTGCTTTGGCTCAGTGCAACAGTCAAAAAGAGATAATAAGCCAAGGTAATGCGCAGTTATTGCCACAAAATGCGGCCGTATTTCTACAACAGCTGGGGATTTTTAACTAGCTAACTTGGTGAAAACCTGCATTACAGTCTCAGGCAACAATATGTATAAATAATACAACTACTACTGCCACTACTGAGTAACATGCTCACCTGTTCAGTCGGAGAGAGGAATCCACGGAGCTAGAGGTCGCCAACATGAATGCAGCTGGTCACCATGTTGCTCCTACTTTTTGTCGTTCCTCTGTTTCTGGCGTTTTGCCTGTATTTAATAAATCCATGCCATGGTATTTCGTCTGCAGCAGCGCTGGAGGCGGCTTTTCCTTCTCCGCCATGTTTGTTTTGAAGAGTGCGCGTGCACACACGGGAGAAACCCCTTATAAGGCGTGCTCTCTCGTCATTGGATAAGCGCATAGGATGTGAGGTTTTTTTATTAAATAGGTGGGAGAAGACTGGAAGGACTGAGAGATCCGTGTTTAGGTACAAACACTCTATATAAGTGATGGCTATTGGAATATATCAATATTTAAGACGTATATTAACACCCAAAAATCGCTTACTGCTGCTTTAAATATACACACGACTCCCTACCTTGTCCGAATTATATTAATTACATATATCCTGTGATTAAAGACTTCTCATTTAAATTAATTGTAAATTCCCGAACAAAAAGCAGCATAACATTCTAAACCGGACATGCAAAGAAGCTTTCTCTTGTATGTACCTTCTTCTTCATTGCCATCGACTTCCTTGTACCTCTGGATAAACATCTGCCTCCTCTTCTCTGTCTGCGCTCCCATTGGTTTAGAAAGATCACGGAAAGATGCAGCGTTGGCCAAATCAAGAGTCTATTCAGCAGACAGACATGACTTACACTTCACTTGGATAGAGCAGAAAAGTTAAATATAAGAATGAAAGATACCTCAGACTCGTAGTCGGCTAAAATCCATGGGAAGACTGGATATTGCATCAGGTCATTGTATGTTCTACCAGCCAACGTGTTCAGATGCATTAAATACTCAAAATTACTCATCTCTCCTCGCTGTGGACAGTGTAAAAATTGAGGAGTATTTTGTAAGAATTCAATGTTTATTTTTACTTAAAAGAAGGTGATATGAAGAAATAACAAAAGGGTACCTGCCACTTGAGGAGAGCAGACTTTTCAATGACAGGTGTCTTTCTGAAAAACAAATAATACCACATTTTATTTGGAGTTCAATGAGGAATTTATTTACATTTGGTTGGGCTTTCTGTTATCTGCAACAGTTTCAGAAAATGTTTTGTCAGATTTTGCTTTGAATTGTATAGCAACAGTTCAAATTTGCTATCATTCAGAATTGTTTCAGTCGTGGTTGTCTCTTTTGTAATGCAGCTTATTAAGACCTATCCTTTATTAGTCCTGTTTAGTCTATGTATTTTATCTATGCTTATGTTTTTGCTAAAGTCAATACTGGTGATGGAAAAAGTTGTAAAACTAATTTGTAAAATCTCCTGGTAAACTTCCCGTGACTCCTCCCGGCTGTTGCTTAGTAACCGCTGTTTAAACTTAACACAGTCCTGTGTGCACAGCTGCAGGAGCCGTTAGCAACTACGTTCGGAGCAAAACTGAAGATTCAATATCAGACGCCTCTGTAGACTGTGAGTGGACTGCATGTTGTTGTTTTACTTTATATCAGACACACAGAACAGGCACACCATTGATTGGTTAAAGCATAGTTTAAAGTGTTTGCAAAGGTACAAGGCTCAAATCGTCAAAGGAAAAGGTGCTTTCCATATTCATTAGCGTCAGCCATAATTAACTTTACAGCTGTTTGTGTTTAAATGGTCTGTTGTAAGATGATGTTGAAGGAACTACCCTGTCTAAGAATGGCTCTAAAAAGTACCATACAAAGGGGACACTATTTGATAAACAACTTTTTGTGAAAATCTGTTGATTTCAATTGGGAGGAGGCCCATTGGCTAGATAAATGTCGTTTCCCTCTGTGAGCTTTTAACATGGCAATAAAATGCTGGCGCCAGGCTCCTCAGTTGCTAAGTAACATTGTAAAACAACTTAACTTTTATAAGTGTGTAATTGTTAACATTAGAGTTATTCTAAAGGAGTTATTGTCGGGTACAAAAGCATTCTCACCAATCGGTCTGTACATTATACACTGATCAAAAATGTATACAGTGCATTATTGCATTTTTTTTAAAACAGCTTAATAAAATATTCAAAATTATTTTTCAGCTAATGAAGAAAACATTGCAATTGTAGTATGTTGTAGTGTTATAGCAAATTCTGTCTGATGTTTAGGACTTAAGAAGATTCCATGAATTGTTGAAGTAAAAGACATCAGAAGAGCCAGAGATCAGGTAGGTAATATTCATGCTTTTACATTTGAAAAATAGTGAATATCTGATACAAATAGGACCATGTGCAAACACTGTTCATGAATCTACACTAAACCAATCATCAAATTTAGCCCACTATTTGTGATCTAATTGCAGGCAATAATTTCATGCAATAGTTTTCTATAGGAGGTTATAATGGGAACAAGCAGTGCTGAATAACCTCTCTCATCCTGAGGATGATGAATGAGGCGAGAGAGGGCCTTGGGGTGTAACACCGACTCCAACAGACAAATAACTTGCTCTTTTAGACAGCGGAGAGTCCCCATCACCCTCCAACACTCCCCAATTTATCAAAGTCCTGCTTTGATTTTACACACGCAATCCTGTTTCAGGCTCCGTCTACGTCAGCTCACAGAGGCTGTCCTGTTTATGACGGAGCTCTCAAACCAGTGAATGAAGAGAACGCTTCAGCTCTCATTTATTGTTGCTGTATTACCTTGTGTCGCCTCTCTCCTTTTGTTCCCCTGCATTAGCCTTAATTAGAGAGTCATGCTCTCAAATACCCCCATGGGCTACACAGGGCAAACAAGCGCACACTTACAGAGACACACAGCGTTGGCACTTTCATTCCTCCCGCTGCCCCAGGCCATACATACGCCTTTATATCTGAATAAATCCCATCAGCTTTACACACATAGCTACATGCAGACATACACAATCCACATTTTATGTGTTGAGCTAAAATGAAATAAATCAAAGCACTCGCAAAAGAATCGGACTTTGAACCTAACCTTGATTTCTTTTCTTTTTTTCAGAACAATGCCGAAAAGAAAAGGCAACAAAGGGACTAAGGTGACACTGAAAATGACCAAAAAGGCAATAAGAACTACGCTAGAGGGACACCGCAAGCTCACTCTGACCAACATGGGAATTGTTGTTTTTCCAAAATGTATCATAAAAATTGGAATCATTGATGAACTGGATCTGAGCAGAAACCAAATAGAGAAGCTTCCAAATAATATTGGAGATTTACGGACACTCAAAGCGTTGGACCTACACAGCAACAAACTGGAGTCAGTTCCAGATACAATTGGAAATCTGAGGAATTTAGAACACCTCAACCTCTCAAACAACGTTATACATTCTCTACCATCAACTCTGGGGTATCTCAGCCAACTCAAAATTTTAAACATTGGAATAAACAATTTGGATGATCTCCCTACATCTATGCAGGAACTGGAAAACCTGGAGGAGTTAGGCCTATTTGACAATCAATTCAAAACACTACCTCAGTTTGTGAACAATCTCCCGAGCCTACGCAAGTTAAACCTCAGGAGGAACCCAGTCTCGTACTCACAAGGAGACGGCACAACCAAGCCAGAGAGCAGAAAGGTGTATTTAGTTCATGAGAATAGCCTATGCAAGACCTGCCAAAGGAAGTGTCAACAACATAAGGAGAAACGTTTCACACGAGCAGGTGGAAGTGATGTAACTCCACAAGATGACGAGGAGAGCAAACGTCCAAAAAGGTTCGCTGGACTCCTGACACCAAACTCCGTGGCGAAAGTGAACCAGAATGCATGGAGGATCAGACAGATTATCTGATTGCGTAAGATGTTTGTTTTTTCTTACACGGCTGATAAAGAAAAATCTATATCACTCTGTATTAATGTTACTGAACCGTGTTTTAAAGATGAATGTTCTGTGCCACAAGTCAATAGTATAAAAAGTATTACAGTGATTAGTTTGTATGTGTCTTTGTAGTTTGATTGTGTCAAATAACTCACCGTGCATTAGCAATAACCTCGGTCACACCTCTACCCTTTAAGGATGGAACTGCCAGACACAACCTTTACATAAAGAGATACATTTTGACATCACATAGTGTTAGATTTCACAAATAGATAAAACATGATGTACTTCTTAAAAGCATTGACATGGTCTCTGTTGAGGAAAACCATAAAGGCTGAATGTCCAGTTTTCATAGAGATCTCCAAAGCATTGTCCTTAAACACAAAGAGAGGAACATACACACACATCACACGTGATCTAGACTTAAGTTCTTATGTTTTGTTATATTATGTTTTGTACCTCTAATAAGTATCGCATAAAACGTGCATCTTTTATATCCTGGTAGAGCCAGCGCCTGCAACTGGACACTGGCAGATCTTTACTCAACATGGATGCAACATAGGAATTTCTCACTCTGACAGAAAAGAACCACACAATATGAATTTTGACTTATGACAATAAATGTGTGTTCCTACTTTACCTGCTGGGATGGTGACTTATACAACAGACCTCTCCTGTAGAACTCAAAGTGAAGCCTTCACACAAGTACACACTGTCTTTTCCAAAGAGCAGCACTCCTTCTGTCACACTCAGGCCTCTCACAGTCACTATGCACATTTTGGTTTTGACCTGAAACAGTTATGTCAGTTTAATCGCACATTCCAAAGGGCAATAATAGCCCTTTGGTAGAGACAATAAAAAATAATCAATATACTGTATGCATTGTAGTGTAGTGTATGTGCACATCGGCACAAGGGAAGGACAGAGGGTTTTGTCACCCATGAAACATGGAACATACATGAGGCTCTGTGAGAGGCACCTTACACCTCTCCAGAGACATGACAACAGCCACTTCAGACTTTACATGATTGATCATTTTAATCACATATTGTAATCATTATTAAAAAGACACAGTTGAACATTTCATTATATGGATTGATTGATGGACAGAGAAGAAGTCGTTTTCAGCTGTGTAACTAAGGTCCCAAAGGTGCTTCTCAGGCCGCTTTCAGCAGTCATTGTGGCTAATGCTAACTGCATTGTGATAATGTGCAGTTAATTCTATTGTCTCCCTTCATTTCACACAGAGTGCGTGCACCTGGCTGTGATCCTGGGCTGGCCCTTCTTGCAGCCCCTGGGACACAGCACCCAAAAACCATATGGGACCCTCACAGAGCCCCAGGCCCCTCACAATTTATACTAATCTAATCAGAGCTCCAGTGCAGACACAGTTGGTGGAGTAGAAGGGCTGGCCATTATTAGACAAATTAATCACTGACACATGCACAATGGCAGACCTGCTAAGTGATCAGACCTCTGTTTTCACACTTAACAAGATGCTACAATGATAATAATAGTCAACATATAACTTAATTTAAGAGACAAGAGAAGATAGGAGCATTAACTCTACAGTTACCCAGGACTGTTTCAATGTCTGATTTAATATCAGAACATCTAAATATGTCCAAATCCAACCAGCTAAAATTAGTTGAATTGATTTTTGGCACAGATTGAGTATAAAACAATAAGCTTGACTTTATCTCACAACTGTGCTGCACAGATATCCGTTATCACTCTCCAAGTGATTTAGCCGATGATGGGAAGTAGGAGGAAAGAAGGACTTTTATTGACTGAGCGCCTAATGTCAGACCATTGATTTCTCCCCGCACACATTACTGTCATAATCACACTATTGGCGCTGGCAAGCTAATTATGAGCTGCGCTCCCTTTGTGTGTTACAGAGAATTCATGTTAGCTGAGTGAGTGTGTGCATTTTTTACAGCTAATGACTGAGTTCATTTGACAGGAAGCTCAGCAGGACTCACACTCTGAACCACAGTAAGACACCAGGACGCACTCACTCAGAACACACACTTACTAAGTGAATGTTAGACAGCTTGTAACACCTCCCACTGTTTTTATTAATACTTCTGTCAGAAACATTAAAAGCCGCCGCTGGTTGCCGCAGTGAAGAGAGCCCCTGTCAACATGTATCTTGCTTTCTAACTGATTAGAAGAATGAGAAGAACTGGACAGAGCCTCCGCATTAAAATAATAAAGAGATGATCAAACATGTAATTTATAGCCACTGAGGAAATGAGGGTAAGTTGTGCTTAAGTCAGTGTCAGTACCTCCTCTCCATCTTGCAGCTCTTGTAGAATGATGCGGACAGATGAGCAGTCTGTGGGGCAGGAGCAATGGGAGGCACTGGGGTCAGTGGCCTCAAAACTCAAAGCCGCTTCATTCAGAACGGGGAAGAAGGTCAACTGAACACTGTCCTGCTCCTGATCTGCCGCGGTTTCTTCCACCTCCGCTCCCACCTCACATAGGATCTTGGCTTCTGGATAGTAATAATAGCTTGAATGTAAATATAAATGATACAGTCTCAATAAACATATTTGTTGTATTTTGTTAACCTGTTTCAACGTCAGCTCTTTCTGATCCCAAACACATCATCTGCTGACACACAAAAGACTGGTTTTATTCACATTTTTTCTTATTTAAGAACATTTAACGTTATACCTTGTTTGATTGTCTTTGAGTTTTTCTGCGAATGTGAGGTTTCGTTCTGTTTGGACCTTCTGCAGCCCCTTGTACCCAGTCTCTGCTCAGGAGAACTCCAGGTCCAGGCCCAAAAACAGCCCTCTCCCTCATTAGTTCAGCCTCCACATCCAGCCACTTAGAAGACAAACACTCCCACTCACTGGTCTTTAGCTGTAGAAGAAAGAAAAGAGAAATCAGGAGCTCACTTCATGTTCAATGACTTCAAACTGATGGGTCGCAACATGGAAACTAATACTATGACATTGTTTTGTTAGAGAGTACACATTTCTTAATCTCAAAATGATAAAAAGTAGGTTAATTGTGTCTACTTTACACTATGCATATAGCTTGTGTCAACCCACAGAGACTTATACTTAATACAAGGATATAATGCAGATGGTTACAATAGTTTTTTAGGTGCTGTGAATTAACAGTTTACCAGTGAAAACCCAAAGATAGTCCCACAAACCCTTATTTTTCACTCCAAATGCTCTATGGTAAACATGTGTCAAACCTGTATGTGGTCCATCCTCATGCGTTCAAACGTCTCTTGACCACTCCGTCGAATCAGCTCCATAGAAACCAGAAACTCCTGGAATAGACAGGAAAACCCTTGAAGTAATAACCGTACGTGAAGATAGTAATATTTCCAACACGTGCCAAGACAACACATGTTGACAAAGATCCTATTTTCATAATGGTATTGTTTTTTTCCTCATGCAATTACAACATTCAAATAATTATGTTTGTGGTAAATTACATTCAGTGGGCAAAATAAGCTAGTGGCTACAGTCTTACAATAACCCTGTCAACATATGTAATCATTTGTTTATGTGATCTAATAAGCGTGAACATTAATATTACGGGGCTACAGAAATAGAAATAAAACCAGCAGAGACACGGCAGGATGTTCATGTTGGGCGAACACACTGGGATCGTATCTGAGCGTTAACAGCGTCATTAAGCCCATCATCACAGTAGTGCTCGCTCTGAGTCTAGTGAAACAACATGTGTCCATCCTTCAGCTGACCCAGAAAAGCTGTTTAATTTACTAAATCTAACCATTTTTAACAAGTCTTAGTTACAGATGTTGAAAGTAGAAATTCAAAGAAAGCATTGCTCTTTAAAAACTCACATTGCAGCACAGTAGGAATAAAAGCACTAAAACAAGGTAAGCAAACATCAAAATAAAGTTAACAAATAATAAACTCTTGTCTCTCAATCTTAACATAAAATCTTACCTAGTCATGTAATAGGAGTTTAGCTATAAATGCACTTGGGAGATAGAGGCCTGTATACCGGCCAAAAACAGCTAATTATATTTGCAACATTTTGGCCTTTTTCCCTTTCTCTTTAGGACCAGTGGGATTTACTCAAAAATACTCCTTTGGGTCATAGTATATTTCTATACTGTAATAATAATTTTAGTATAATTCCTTGTATTTATTATAGTATTATAATTATTACATTACGTCCCCTTATCAAATACTTTCCATTTATCCTGGTTGGGGAACAGCACTGTACTATTATGATCCTATTTAACAATGGTAACAGCAAAGGCCTTTGAAAAAGTTACAAACTTGTTTATTGCAGAGAATTGCAGTGGTTTGTCGGAATGAGTGTCTGTCTATCTGTATCCAAATTCTGAAAAGCGAATTAAATAAGGCAGTAATTTGAGGAAAGATTAGGAAAACATTACAGAAAGAAAGAGTGTAATAATGAAGTTTGTGGGCGGCAGTTGTTTTGTGGCAGATAAACTGAGTGCTGGCATCATAATTTTCTAATTTCATTCCTTCATTTGGACAAACATAAGTAATATATAGCATTAATTACCCATTTAGCAGATAGGAACCTCGTTGGCTTTAAAAATCCTGCATTAAATACATAACTCATCTCTTCCTTCTGCAATTAACATCAGAACATCACACTCATTTCCATTTTAATGGCTTCCCAACAATACCCAACCTTTGATGATAAGGCAACATAATGTCAACTTCATTGTGGGCTGGAAGAGAATGTGTAATGGACTTAACGTAATCATTAGTGCTGTTAATTATCTTTCTAATACGAGGACACAGATATGATTATGGAAAACTGCCTTCGTTGATGAAATAAATCTCTTGAAGCATTGCACTGAAGCTTGACTTAGGACAGACACAGCAATCAGACAAAGTAATGCCGCTTATTACCTATAAAGAATGAGATGCCCAATTTCTTCACTATAGTAAACAATGAAGTTAATGTTGTCCAAATGCATTCCATCCAATTCAGTAAAAAGAGACTAGTTCAATAAGTTGATGATACAGGATTTAATGACCTGCAGGGTTCTTACTCATCAGGACAGATAAAAGAACTTAAGTGTGGAACATAAATCATATTGTACTTTTGACTTCGATTTTTTGGGAGCAACAGTCTGTAGTGTAGAAGTAACAGTAGTTTTCTCATCTCGCCTGCGTCTGTGATGGAAAAACAATTCATCACCCACTCTGATAGCCTGTCAAAGACTGATATGATAAAATATAACATCAAATGAATAATGTTTTCATCAGATTGCTACAGCTATAATTGCCAACGTGATTTCTATCAGCGAGAGATGTGCACAAACAAGAACGCACATAGACTTTATGGAGGTGAGACAGACACACAGACGCGGTAATTTCATGCCTGTGTGCCTGAGTAATATGTCCCCGCTCCCTGCTCCAGATGGCTCAGCGTCTTAAGCGTTGTGGGGGAACTAATGATGTGGGCCACGTGTTTCAGGGGGAAAAACAACAATAACTGTGTCCTTAACCTTCAGCTGCAAACTGTGTGTTGTAGCAAGCGTTCCCATGGATAGGCCTAACAGATATCAATTACTCTGCCCACTCAGGGGCGATCAGCTGTGATAATCCAAATCCATTTAAAGAAATAATCAAACATCCCCACAGGGCTGCAAACTCAACTGCCCAAAAATTGCATTGACTTTGGGACAAGAGGTCTGAAGAGTCTGAACAGCACTTACTTCGACGGTTGAGGACTCTTTGCTCGATTTGCTCAGAACAGATGAAACGACGTTACTAATGCGGTCAAAGGTGTTTGGGGAACTGCTTAACAGCATTTTCCTCAATGAGTCTGCAAAGAAAAGTGAATCATTTTATTGTAGCATGTAATTATTTGATGTAGTTGGCATCACCTGTGACATCACCTGTGTACAGTTTCCAGCCTTTTTGGAGAATCTCTTCCCACAGAGGGCTGATTTCAGTCATAAGGACAGGATGTGTTTTGGGTGTGTGGCCAGCTGAAATATCAGTCTTAAAACTTTCCTCAAGATTATACTGCCTCTCCTTCATGAGCCGCGACCAACATGCATCCACGAGAGATTCAAGTCTTTGATCATCTGTGTTACACATATAATTACATGATTGTATGCCATATTGTATCGTGTCTAATAATAAACACAAAATACCTGAAATGGAACTGTTGCTACGGGATTTGACGTTGTTGTGTCGATTTTTCACTGGGAATATTAGGGATGACATATTTCTGTAGTACATTTTTCCAGACGTACACTCAAATCCTTCTGGATACCTACAATAAAAGCACAATATTACAACACTGTCCCTGGATGCAGAATTCACATAAACGATGTGATGTGTGTATTAAAAATATATGAAAACCTTTTGGATCGTGTTATTATCAGACAATAGAGAAAACACGTCATAAAGTTCACATTGGCATTGTAAGTGGCCATGACAACATCCCAGCGGTCCAGCACTGTCTCCAATGTTTGAATCAACACGTCTTGGTATTTTTGTTGGGATTGAGACAGGAAGAAAAGCATCACTCTGTTTATAGAGGAATACAACTCAGATAAGATCTTGTCTTTCTGAGCTTGTCCATTTTCTAAGACCTAAAATACACAGGTTCATAGTTAATGTGCACGTTTATATAGTAAATATATACAACTATTCATCAAAATGTTATATAGTCTCCATGTTGGAAATGATCTCACCATAACAATCTGGTCAGCAAGGAAATGGAGCAAACTTCTACAGTCGCCCATAATTGTCCCATTGTAAAGTTTCTGCACCATTGTCTTTGTGAAAAGCACCACATTTTCCATCAAGGTGAAAAAAGGCATTTGGCTGTTTCCATCTTGAGACAAGAGCACTTTAGCATAAAGAAGAATGACAAACTACAACATCTTAGTCAAATTATAGAGTTTTACCTTGTGAATTTAAGTGAGTATGACTTTCTTCTTCACCACTGAGCACATAAATGATATCAATGACAAATTCAACCAACTCTGTTTGGAAAAGCAGAGACTGTTCCGCTGAAGCGTCGTTTGGGGAAAACTGTGGCACATGGGATCCAAATATGGAAAATAGGAAAAACAAAAATAAGTTAATTACAAAAAAAATGAGTGACCTCTTGAGCCGCTACCACTGGATTATGTTTTTCTACTTGTCGATAAACTTCAAGTCAGTCACTGAATTGACTTACGTTGCTTTGTAAAGAAAGCAAAGAGCGACATCTATTGGTGAAAAGATGGTACAGCAACAGCACAGCAGAGTGCTTAGAAAGTCTCCCTCTGAATGTTCTTATTACCTGATGTATGGCTAAAATGTAAATATATTCTGGTTAAAATCACCTCCATTAGGATCAGGAGAGGGTGGCTGCTGCTGGGGGAAACATTGAGTAGGCTATCCATTAGAAGAATGCGGAAAAAATCACACACTGGCTTTTGCAGGTCTGCTTCACCTCCGTCTCCCAGGACCTGAAATAATGACAAAATCACTATCTCTACTAAGAAACATTACATTACAACTGCACATTTCAGTTGGATGCATGATGACAAACTTGTGAGGGATGCACAACACTGGCGAGTGTGTGGAGAAACAATGGCAAAGTCCAAAGTGGGTCTTTGGGTCGAAGGTTGTGAAGGAGACACAGGAACTGCAGCAAACTTGATACAAGAGCGGATCTTGAAATTGAAGCACTTGGTGTTTGTTCTGCTCCAATCGACTGTTAAAAACGAGGAAACAGGTCATGTAGTGAATAAAAACACATGAAACAACATGTATTACTACATACTGGGTGTATGGTGACTTTTATCAGCTCAAGAAGGATAGTTGCAGCTCCAACACAAAGTTGTTCAGCGGGATTGCTTTGTTCAGTCTTAATATACAACTGCAAAAATTCATCCAAAGGCGTCTACAAAAGAAGTAAAAAGTTCATGTTGAAATGATGGTCGTTTATTTAATTTATTTAGTTGTTGTTGTTTGTTTTTTTTGCCTTTAGAGTTCAATTGTTCAAAATGTCATAATTGAAAAACATAACAAAGCAACAATTATAATGCAAAGGAAAAGAATACATAACAATCACAAGAATAACAAAAAAAAAATGGAGGTCACAGATCAGAATTGCAGTACGTTCATGGATCTACGTTGGACTCACGTGCTCCTTTGTTTCCTGGTTTAACTTTTTCCGTAGTAAAAGTGCTGCTATGAAGTCATACACTTCGAACAGGCAAAAGTGTGTGACTAGAAGCTCTTTCAGAACATCAAAGCCTGGACAAGTGGTGCTAGAACACTCTTGTGAAACTGACCGGCCCCTCAGGTTGTCTAGTAATACAAAAAAGACATGGTAGTGGGTTAAGTCATCAAATACATTTCATCTTACAAGATTCTCAATAAAAGTTTACCCAAAGCAGTTGAAGGTTGTTTCATCAAAGAACATGTTGAAACTCCCTCACTGAAACTGTCCAGGAGAGTTTGGCTCAACAGAAAGTGATTCAATAAGACAAGTGTCAGTTTTATGGTGGAAGGGTGAAGATGAGACTGAAGGAAGAGCAGAAACCAACCACATCCCAGCGTTTCAAATAGAACCTGTCGCCTGTCGAGAAACAGACATAATCACTTCATATCTCTGCACCTGATGTACGTAAACAAGCGATAAAGTATGTTGTGTTCATACTCCTTCTCTTGAAGATCGTCCGAGTTCAGGATTTTGACAAAAACACATAGGATCTGATTTCTAATATATACGTGACTGACGGGACCAGAGTGCTCCACTGCAACACAGACACAAAAATGATCTAAAAGCACTCAGATAACAAACCAAATATAATGTTAATAGTTGATGAGATAAAATACCACTTGTATTGTGATGGCTGTCTAAAAGTTCATGGCTCTCAGCTGCTTCCATTTGTGACGGGAGTGTAAAAACTAGAAAAAGGCCAATTCTTGAAAATCAAAATAGTTTTTTATTAGCAAATGAAAAAGATAAAAAAATAACTAGAACACATAGATACAACAGATGATGTTCTTGCTATACCTGCTTATGTCCAGAGGGTTGAAGAATTCTTTCAACAGTAAAGTGATGATGGAAGTAATAGCCTCAACTCTCCGGGGGGTCATAGAAGGACTGGTGAGCGCGAACAACATCTTTGGTAAAATATCAATTTTGCGCATGATTTCTGCATTCCTGCTGTCGTCACTGAGGTGATGTGAGAGACATGACAAAAATAGAGGAAGTTTATGGATGCATGCATTCTCTCAGTCATGCACATTGTGTGAAACTGTGGCCAATCCTGCAGAATGTTTCTGAAGTCTAGTCAGAGTTTATCTCTGGTCATGTGGACTGTCCAGTGTAGATGATGGGCCAGATGAGGTCTGTCATAATGGTTGAACAAGACTTTCTTTGATAGATAGAATGTTATGTAATGAGCAGGCCATGTGCGTAAATAGAAAGTCACTAATGCAGTAGTATTGTTATGTTCCAGTCATGGATGAATACCTGAAGGATTTCAAGATTTCAGCAAAGTGGTTGAGAACAGTCAGGTCCAGATTATCAGAAGTCTGCCACATCTGAAATAATAAATATTAGCTTCCAAAAGGCAATGCAACAGAAGATTTATTCATCCATGAGCCATTTCTAATTATGTTTCAACAAGATATACTCACATCCAGGTCAGAAATCAGTGCCTTGAATGCTGAAATGTTTAGTTGGTGAATTGAGCTGAAGTTTGCCTCTGTGGAGTCAGACATGCACAACACCAACTGTAAGGTCCTGTTACTGACTACACTGCTCTTACTCTTCAGAAGAAAAGCCAAAAGCTGGGAATTCCAAAACAAAGTTTTAATAATCCGTATACAAAATGATATTATATATATTTGATGTAACAAACCTTAAAGCCATCAATGCGTGCCATTTCTTGCTGCATAGTCTGGTTGGTCTCCAACACAGAAAGAAGAACTTTGACCGCTGCATAAAGGGAGCTATCGTCAGGGGCCATTGCAATTAGACTCAGAACAACTGCAGGCCCACCAGCACACAGAAATCCATAGGCTGCTCCTCTTGGTGTGAAGGTACGAACACCTAAGAAGACAAGAACTAGTGTCTACAATTTCTGAAGAGAAAGAAGATAACTGGTGTGCGTAATGAGACATATCTACCAAAATGACCAACAAGCGCTGCTCCAATGGTTCGAGCTGTACCACTTAAGTGTTGACTGATGTTATGTGCAAGAAACACAGGGGTGAGATTATCTCGTGAAGTTATGCCCATCTGTAATGACAAACAAGAACCACAATAAACACTCCTAATTCAATGTAAAAACAACAACTCACCTCTTTAGCAATAAGCCGACAGTCCACCTCATTATAATCCTCCCTTATTTGAGCAACTGTTGTCACTGTTGAAACTCCTGGATTGATGCCAAATGAGATCCTCTCTTCAGGAACCAGCCGCGCAGGGTTAGACTCAAAATCTGAATTGTGACAAGGAATATTTAAGCATTTTCAATTTCTCACTGGTTAAACTGCTTAATGCCTGGTAAAATTAGCAATTACCTTTATGTAGTTATTAAACAAAACAATCAATAATAATTAGCAATGAATGTTATCAAAAAACAACAATAACTGACCTGATACAGACAGGAAGTTGCCGAGGTAAGCAGTGCCTTTAGAGTATAGAAGGCAGATGCCGTCATGGGTCAGTGGTTCTTCAAACAGGTAAGTGGTGCCCACTTTCCAAATTAAAGCAGCATAGTCTTTCCAGAGAGGAGGCGTCCCGATCACTGCGTACACATCTATGACGGCTGATGGCTCCATAGAGACATACGAGCCTGGAAATGGCTGTATGTATCTCATCTGGTGGAAGGGGACAAAATAATTACACACACAGTGGCAGCAGTGGTCACTTCTAACATACCTTTCCAGTTCCCAAAGCTTTTCCATTTAAATATGCAGAAGCCAGGCAGCTCTTCTTCATTTCCTTGGATAAAACCACAACTAAATGATGCCACTGTCCCGGGATCAGCAGACTGGAGCAGCGAAACCGCAGGGATGTGGCTAAAGAAGTTGGGCTGGAAAACTCTGGCTCCATCATATCTGTCAATGAAGACATTTCGTAAATACACTTGTATCCTGAATCAACACAATGTATCCATAATCAATCTAACCCAGGTATGTGAGAGCCTCCTCCTCTGTAGAGATGACCAAACAGCCATCGCAGGCTGAGAGAGAAACGGACAGACAGATGAACTGCTGCTCAGTGCGAGACATATGACGAACCACTGACAGGAAACGAATGGGGTGAGATTCACAAGCAGAAGTGAACCTGTTGATCTGGAACCAGCACGAGAACGTGAGACCAGAACTTGGAGGAAACCCTCTGCTATCTAAACATTTCAAAATAAAAAATTGTTAAATCTTTGATGTCACTAGATTTAACACATTTATAAAAATCATCATAATAAATCATGCCTCCTCCAGTTCCACCAATGGGAATCGAGTCTGCAGTGACCCCCTTCACTGTGGCCAAAGACGGAAGGAAAAGACACCTGAAATGCAAAGGTCAAACATGTTGAACTTGTTACTTTGTGCTAAATGTATGCAATCTTCCTGAAAATGTGAGGCAGGTGTCTACAGTTATGTTTAGCTGTACGTACAACTGAAGGATTTTATCTTTACTCTTTTTTGTGATTTTATTCTCTATGTTTTTAATATTTCTTGTGATTCTAAATTTTGTTTTTAATAGTATTTTTTAGATTACAATATTTATGATTTATGCTTGATGTGATATGGGTTGTGAGGCGCTTTGTGTTGTGTAGGAAAGGCGCTCTACAAATAAAAGCTGATTGATTTATTAAAATATACATGCACTTACCCATATCCACTTTCACTCATATCAAACTCAACAAAAGCGGGAGTGGTGGAGATTCTTTGCGGCCTGTAAGTTCGAGGTGACGTCATCGATACCAGACTGACGATTTGGTGAGCAGGAATCGCAGATCCAGCAGAGCATTTTGAGTTTAAAAGGCTAAATGTTCTCTTTGTGATCTTTCTTGAAAATTCCGGTAACTTGTTTCCATCTAAATAAGTGTAGGAAAACAAAAACAGAATAAAATAATCCACCGGGAAATTACTGATGACATACAGTAAATACAAATGACATAAATAAAAACATTACCACTATTGTCAATGGGTTTGTCATTCTCGGACACTTTGCCAGACAAACACATGAGAGGGTCCCCAAGACAAAGAAAATTCCTGTAATAAAAAACTAAATTAATTTTTTTCCATAAATAAGACTATAATAGAAAACGGAACATTACCTAAAGTCTTTCAGTGTTATTGACTGAGAGGAGAGCTTTTCGAAAATGCGAGTGACCGGGAGATGCAAAGGGTGTTTTGGTTCCATCAACATTTTACCACAATGAGCCAATAGGGTTGCAGTCAGCCCACCCTCACACATGATCTGCCTGTTTCTCTCTGATTTAACCATAACTTGGATGTGGTGCACCAGAGAGTGTTGTACATCCATGGAAAGCTGAAAAAGATTGGTTAAACTTTAAATTTGTCACAGCATTAGTCCATAGACAGCATTATCATTATTTCCCCCATGGAGTACCTGTGGGTCCTCAAAAGTAAAAACCAATGGAAAAAGAGTCATCATAGCTCTAATTGCGCCAGGATGAAGAATGACATTTTCACAGCTAAATCTGCAGAAGAAACATAAGTCTCAGTGAATGTAATACACATATCATATTATTTTAAGGAATAGGGAGAATGAGTTAAGGAATCATATATACCTGTGGTGAGAATCAGAACTGACAATAGAGGCACTGGGCGCAGCTTTTCGGCTTTGCCCATGTATGTCCTCCGCCTCATCAAGCACAGATGGATAATTCGTTTTTTGATGATCACAGTTTATGTCCAAGTTCAGCTCAAGAGAAGAGAAGGTCCCTGTGGAAAACTTACTAAGATAGGACATGAGTATTATGCATGTTCGGAGAGTATCTGGAATCATGAATTGTTGAGATTTGGGCAATTTAGAGGTAAGAGAGGACTCTGCGAAACAAACAAACTCCTCAAATGTCTTCCCTGGCGACTGGGTGTCCTCAGCGATCAGGGGGCTGCAATCTTTTCTCAAGTCCATATCTGTGAATGTTTCCTCAGATGTTTTATTGTGAAAGCAGCCCAACTGGAGTAGTGCCTCTACCACTCTTTCATAATAGCCCTCCGTCTCAAAAGAGTGTGCGTTTATTTTGTGTACGTGGACAGCCAGGGCTATTGTGTGCAACGCAAGCAGAAGAATCTCTAAAAGAGGTGCATGTCCAATAGACTTGAATGCCTCTGCCTGGGGTGGAACAGCAAAAGCTCCTTCCATGTCAGTCACGAGTGAGAGCAGACCAGTGAAGCCCCCAGCCTTCCTGAAGGCATCCCAGCTGTTCGGACTCTCCAACACTTTCAATACCGACTGAAATACAAAGTCAAACATTGAAAGTCAAACAATGCACATGTTTAAATTACTAATTTATGTTGAATGTAGTGTTAACCCGACAAATGCTTGACAAAATGCAAAGGTTTCTGGGAAAGCATTTTATGGTCAATTAAGGCATTACAATAAAAAATTGATGAAACATAAAGATATATCATAAATCATGGTGTGTAACTAGTTTTCGGGGGTGAACAAATCGCATTAGCTTTATTCAATTTGGACAGATAATCCATCAGAAAGGTAATGTGTGAGGCAGAACGCAAAGGGGAATGTGATTAACTGAAAGTGGAGTAATCACAATAGCTCTCAACACTTGCCAACCCAGGTCGGACCCAATCTGATTGTCACCTGCGTTAACTGTGTTAGCACGAAGAACACACATTGATACACAAACACACGCCTGCACATACTGAATACAAAGTATGTGATAGTAAGTGCTCTATCCGCTGCCATCTATAAAATGGACACTACACTAGGTGCGTAACTTATTTAACTTTAATCAAATCTGTCCGATTCACTGATGTCAGAGAGAGCGCCACAGCAGAATCTGCCACCATAATCACATCAGCTCAGAGTTAACAACTAAACCTATTTGAGCAAATCAATCTGCTTTATCTTTAACACAATCACAGTCCCACATGCTAAGAAAATAAATTCATTGACCCATTATGTTATAAGCGCATTAGGAATTGTTACTATTTGATGTAGAGGCCATAGTTACGGCTGAGCTCCCTGCTGCTCAGTGTGAACGACTGTATGGGATGTACCTGTAAGAGATCTTTCTTCAGTTTGATTTCCAGATGAGTGGAAGAGCAGAGAGCTCCGATGGCGATACTCATAAACTCCTCAGGGTTGATCTCAGCTAACTGCTCCAAAATACTCAAAGTACACATTCGATATTGATCCTCATTCACGAAGATCTTGATATAGGGAATCATGCCAAGTTCACGAACTGTAACTAAGAGAGATTCTGGATTAGCAGGATTAGAAATGTACACTGTACAACAACATCAGTTGTATTTACTCACCAATGTTTTTTATTGAGCGCAAAGTAAATGTCGAAACCACTTGAAGAATGTAGTTGGTGAGGAGCCTTTCATTGTCGTTTATGTGTGAAAGTCGTGAAGACTCTGAGATTTATAATATATATAATATAAATAAAATAATATAAACAACTGTCACAGAAGATCAACATTGTGTTTGTTAAATTGTTACCTGTGGTGACAGCTACAGCTTTAATTAGGATTTTAGCTCTTCTGCGGAGCTCACCAAGTAGTAACTTCAGCAGGCCATAGTCACATAATACCTCTGTTAAAAGACCACTGTGCACTGTAATCCTAGGAAACATGTAAATTATCTTGGATTGTATCATCTTAATATTTGAAGTGTCCTGATTAATGCAGTTTACTTACCTATGGAAACCCTTGACAGCTGAAACTCCAAACTCCAATTCACTCATTTTTGGTAAAGTTGCTCCCGTCCATGTCTGTTTCAGAGCAGTGAGCAATGCTCGCAAGGTCTCATGAGGAATGAAGTTTAATTTGAAGATGATCTACCAAAATGCACACAAAAATGAAATTCTAACTGTAGATATAACTGCTGTGAAAACAATTTAGAGGTGTGTTTACCATTTCTAACATTGAGAAAAAGAGATTATGTACAGCCGATGGTTTAGACAACAAACAAGTGGCCAGCTGAGTCAGGGTTTGAGTTGACCACTCCAAAAGGAAAAAGTTGGACATGTCTTTCTCCCAGATTCTCTGCATGGTTTGGAGGATCTGGCAACACAATCTTGAGTCCTGAGATCGCAGCAGTGACCCCTGTAGAAGGCGGAAGGCTGGGAGGTTTTTTACAAGAGAACCTATAAACGGAGGTCATAAAAGATTGTCAATACTAATATTTAAATTAAATAATGTTACTAAAACTATTTTGATGGAGGATCTGTCATAACAAACAATAATGCTGAATCAATATACATTTGATTGTATATTTTATATATATATATACAGATTCTATTCTTGTATAATTCCTGAAAGTTACATTAATATTCATATTTTATATTACCATGAATAATCTTTTGGTCTTTGTTTGATAAATGCTTGTTGATGTGAATGTATTATGGACACCTTGCTCATGAGTGTGGGACAGAAAAGTGCATGTCTGTGATAGATGGCTGGTTGTTGTCGGCCAGTGGTGAATGGATGTGAGGCATGTTAACAGAGTTAGTGCAGAAGGCTCCACTTCATCATCCCAGACATAATCATCTCAGCTTCCTGTTAACCTGAGGGGTGTAGTCCGCTGCCATAGGGCCGAGCTGGGAAAGGAGTCAGGCAACCTGGGAAATAAGCTGTTAGGGGGTGCACTGGGGGGGTCATCAGAGGGCGGATGTGCAAATAAACTGTGAACTGATTCGGCATTTGGGGGATCAAACCATGCTTTCTCTAAATAAATTAATGCACAGGTTTACAAAGCTATTTATGGACAGCCTTATTGTAGAGAAAAGCTACAACATAAGAAGTGACCAGCAACAGTGACAGACCTACCTGTGGCTTGAGGAAAATCAAATTTAAATCCTGGAGGTTGAGGGTTGCTCACACAAAGAGCAACTTTCAGCTCAGTTTTTCCAAACATGATAAATGTTTCAATTAGTTGTATTAATTCCTCCACAGGAGAAAACTGGTCATCAGACACACCGTCTTCACAACTTCAAATAGCAACATAAAAACAAACAATTAATATAAGTACAAAAATATTGATGCTTTCAAAACATGGGATTTTCCCTCTTACCATATCAAGATGTTCTCAAGCACTTTGTAGCCATTGCTGGAGTTAAATACTTCAAAAAGTGCAGGATTGAGGTCATAAGTGTCTTTTATAAAACTAAATACAGCAACGGCTACTTCGGCTAATAATGGTCCAGATACATCTGTCCGGATGTGCAACAAGTTTTGGATGCAGATACGTACACAATGCTTTCCTGGTAAGTCAAAATATAAATATTAGGATATGATAGAACTAATACTATTCACCATCACCATACCTAGCAAACTTGGGATCACATTTTCGGTTGCAGAAGCAGAAATAGTTTTTAGAATTTGTGACGCTTTGTGTCTCCACAAAGTACTTGTCTGGTCCCACAGTGATGTGAGGCCAATGATTAAACACTGAAGAGCTTCAGTCTCAACCATCTTCTCCACATTCACCGGGAGCCGACACAGGTGGAGAACAACCTGAGAGGACAATACACACTAAAGTTTAGTTACTGTGGTTAAAATGATTCAGAAATTAATATGTTTCTTTACATAGAAACAAATGTAAAGTAATCTATGACTAACCTGTGTAAGTGTCTCCTGAAATGACTGCTCAAAGACTATGTTTTCTTTGCTGGGAGGCAAGCACACCAGCAAGTAAAGGCATTTCACCAACACTGTAGGGAGCTCAAGGTTTAAACTGGAGAGTAGATCCTAACAGATGTTATCAGAGTGGTTAAAAACAGAACAAATGACCTGCACTATTTCAATTCAATTCAACTTTATTACAGACTCTAGGTCCAATTTGTAACTAGCACATAGAACATTGTATTTCACTACTGAAGCATCTCTTACTGGGCCAGCGTTCGTGAGCAGAGCCAAGGATTTCAACAGCAACCATCCAGAACAACAACCATTTTCAGACGTTGTGCTTGTATCTTCGCTCTGGAAGAACAGCACCACCTCACTGCGAGCTTCATCTGAAAAAAACAAAACATGGCTCGATGTATTTTGAAATGCAAATTCAACATTAATGTTTATGACCCAAGGAAGAAAAAATATCTAATTCGCACAACCTCTCTGTTGGAGCTAACAGCATTATAGTCAAACTCATTTGAGTCAGGGGGAAAATAAAAAATGAATAGAGCTGGTCTCACTTTTATACCAATGTTTGAATAGTGTCAAATTCTCCATATTTGATTTTTTCATTAGAAAACATGCATTTATTAATACAAATTTGAAGTGAAGACAAAATATGAAATAATATTATTGTATTTCTGTCTTCATTACATATTTAATTAAAAACAAAGTGTACTGGGGGCGTACAACGGCGACAGTGGCTCAGTTGGTAGATCATTGGCCTTTGAGCCTGAAGGTTGTGGGTTCCAGCCCACCATAAGACCTACTTCAAGACTCCCACCTATGTCTGCTGTCGTTGTGTCCTTCGGCAAGACACTTAACCCCACTTTGCCTGAAGCCCCCGCTGAAAGATCAAGGCAGCTCAGACTAGAGCAGCCGTCCTCCTGTGGACTTTCCCCTGCAGGAGGATCAGTGAGGGGCTGGTGCTATGTGTACTGGGCGCAGCTCTGACCCAGAAATGTATTAACCGGAAGAAAATGGATGGAAGGATTTAAGATGATTTATTCAATTCCTTGAGAAACATTTAAACATAAAAATTATTTTAATGAAACAGTATTTGAAGGACTTAAACCCAGGGCTCTACGGACTCAGCAGCTGGGTGTCTGACTCAGGGACAGCACGGTGGCTGAGTGGATAGCACTCTCGCCTCTCAGCAAGAAGGTTCGGGGTTCGAATCCTGGTCGGAACAGGGCCTTTCTGAGTGGAGTTTGCATGTTCTCCCCGTGTCTGCATTGGTTTCTCCTGCCACTAAAAACATGTTTAATAGTTCAGGGTGAATGAGTGTGTGTTTGTGAATGTGGGACAACGGATGCAAATTATGTACTGTCCCAACCAAATAAACAATAAATAAATAAAGTTGACTGTTCTGTAAGAAATGCTTGCCATGCCATTCCAGCCCACTCATTGTTTTCAGTAAGATTTTGGTTGTTCAGCGAGAAGAGGACCTCTCAATGTAATGTCACAGTATTCAGTAATATCATTAGTCATAAAACATAGTTTCCTTTGAACACCACTGCAGTGTTGTCTGATAAATATGTACCCTGAGTCAATGTGTCTGATCTTTATTTAAACTAATTACTGCAGTTTCAGGCTCAAGGAACAACAATGAAATCATCTTCAGATTAGATTGTCAAATCTTTTGTGGCCGGTTTGTAAACTCAAGCAGTTTACTTCTTCAGTGTGGGCAGGTTCATGTCATTTGTTTCCACTTTAACCAAAATAATCTTTGCGCCAATAATGTAATATGACATACAACAAAAATTTGGAGTTTGGTAATATAACAGCAGTCAGTTTCAAATAATATGTAGCAATTAGCGGATCGGGTTTGAATCTTGGGTACGCTTTTTAACGTTTTGAAAAGCAGTTACCTTTTTTCCTCACTGAAAAGTTGTCTTAAACGTTGTAATATGAAACTATGGGTTCTTAATAATAATTAATAATCTCCCGCAGGCTGCATGTTTGATACAAACGGAGAAGGGAAAAAAAGAGCTTTTGAAGTGGTAAAGCCAAAAGTCCCCAATAACAGCTTTGGAGGGACACAGTGTAATGTTGCATAATATAATACATCCATAGATATACCTGCTGGCTTGTCTTTAAGTGTCTTGTTGATGATGTGAATCACTGTGTCGGACGTAAGAGCTGCAAGCCCCTTCAAATTGACAGCATCGACTGTGCCCCCATCCTCACAAATCTAGAAAAGGAACCCCATTTACATAACATGAATTATATACCTATGACATATTAATAACATGTCAATTAATCAACAGAGTCAAAAAAATTAACCTCAAACAGTTACACAAAAATTGCAGCTACTTGGGATAATGCAGGTCACCAGTAAGAATAGAAATGGGCTTTCTGTTGCATTAGAGGAAATCATATTTTCCTGAGTTGGCCGTTTTCATAAGCATGGCTTTATGTTCTGGTCAAATCTCTAGTCATGAGGTCTACATACACTACATTTCTAAGCCTGGCTATTGAGGGATGTAAGTTTTTACTCAACAAGTTCATTCAGTCGCTTGACGCCTGAGGTACAGTGTTGGCTCAGGTATCATAAAAACCTTTAGGACAATTACAGAATCTCCTGTGAAGAAGTGAGACATTATAGAAAGTGTAATGTGCAGTTTGATATTAACATTTAAACTGTACCTGTATATAAAGACAGAGGACTTTAGCGAGTGCTTCTTTTGGGACAAGAGGAGATCTGTCATTCTTCTGCTCCAAATATGAGTATATCCCCAGATCATGTAACTGTCTTATGAGCACATCCTGAGACTGGGGATCTTTGGGGGTCTCGCATTTCTCCACAGAGACCGATAACTCTCCAGAGGCACTGAGCTCCCCAGTCTCTTTATTGATCCTCACCCCTTTAGCAGGCGGCTCCTGTGATGTACATTTTCACATAACATAAATATGCAACGTAAGACTTTGTAAACATTAAGTCAATGAAATAATTTGTTTTGTTAGAAAAAACACAACACTTTTCAAAATGGTTGAAAACAAATGTCAATGGAAAAATGTTTTTGACCAACAAGCGTACACACAAGAGCTTCTGCTTTCTTTTCAAACGAAACAGTTGATAGGACAGAACTATGGTCAAAAATGTGTAATTTGTTTCCACATTTACGTTTTTCCCTGTCATGTCTTTTAAATCATATACATATTTAGATTTTTTTTTAGCTTTACTTTTACCAAACATTACTAATAATTAATCATAATTATACAATACAAAATGTCTGTGAATGAGTTTTAAGAATGTTTCAAAGCAAATGAGAATCGAGTGATGTGTTTTCTACAACTATATTGGACAGCAATGAACACATACCTGTATTTGTACAAGAGCCATCCTGTAAATTTCCTAGGCAGAGGAGTTAAGTTGTTTTGTAAAGTTTTTCCATGGAAAGAGTGTGTCCATGTTGTGGGAGACAAGCAGCCACTTGCTCAGGCATGAGCTCCTTCCCCACAGACTGTGGAAGGTCCTTGTGTGAAAGCTCCTTCTCTTCAATAATCTGACACAAAGTGACTGAACTTTGAACAGTGAGTAACTCACATCAGCTGGTTCAAGTCATGTGCTCTTTGACTTCCTTAAAGAAGGAGAAGTGAAAAACTGTGGTCTAGCTGGTTGGATTGGGTCCTCCCACAGCTATATTCTTTTAAAAGACTCCACTATCAACATATGAATCTAAATGACAACATCACATGCTTCACAATGATGAAATATAACATTGTTATTACCCTGCATAAAACAGTTTATGCAACGTAATAACAAACCAAACAATATTTGCACTTAAAGTACAATGGAAGTTATCTCCCGTTATCATAAAACAATATAGATTACCAACATAACAACACAACTATATCTGGAGTAGGCTAAAGATAAATATGGAACTTTGAAGGACATGAACATGAGCCATAGCTAAACGGTGCCCTCTTGTGTAGGTTCATGGTAATGCAAACCGAGTCATTTTATCGTGAACAATCTCTTCTACAAAAAACACTTATGTTTTCACAAAACTCTCCAAACGCTTCAGTGTTGTGTAATGCAATACCTGCTAAATTAATTATTCAAAGTACTTGCAATGAATGTAACGTTACATTCATTCACTGGGAAAAGCGCAGACAAAAATAAAAAAAACTTAAAATAGGTCTATGTGTATGACGGTCAATCCTTATCATGTGAGGTCAATCAGCAGTAGCGTGCATGCGTAAACTATAATTATAACAGATTCATGGCGTAAACAAACTTGCTGTGAATGTCCGGTCACGTGACTTGTTGTGTCCAATGGCCGCTCAGGGCGTGTTATTATGGCTGCTGCAAAGAATGAGGGAACACCGTTATATGGCCGCAAAATGCAGTTTTACATCTTTAGTGCTCAATAGTGGCACTTGTTAGACTTCTGTTGCACTTTGGTGTTTCTAGTAGCTCCTTTATCATAATGCATCCGATGCCTGTTTGTAGCGTTAGTGGTGGAGACATATTTGACTGTATACAGAGGGGGAATTTAGAACAGTGCATACACTTTATCCAAAATGACCGATCAATCTTGAAACAGAAAGGTAAGCCACATAAATGTCCTTTCAAATCAGACAATATATTGTAATTTATTCTTATTACTGTATGAGTGCCCTAGTGCATAGGCCTATAATAATGCATGATTTTGAGAACGTCATACGAATGTCTTGCTTTACAATTTGGCTTGTGTTGTGGCATTTCTGTAAGATTAGAAACTTTGAAGCTGCATTAAACACTGTAGTCAATGTAGTTACAACTACCTTAGAGGAAGAAAGGCTGACTGACAATATCGTAATTGAATGATCACACTAGGTTGGGGTGGTTTCACCCCTCTCCACTATGCTGCTCTCCATGGGAGTCGTTCAATGGTGGATCTCTTCTTGAGCAATGGAGCCGATCCTAACCTCACGTCTGATGCTGGACAGACAACTTTTCACTTTGCCTGCAGGTAAATCATCTCTTTATTTTTTCACAGTTTGTTGTTAAAGCAATCCTAAAAGTCTAACTTTACTTTTTTCTTCCAGACAGGGAAACATTTATATAATGCATCAAATGATGCAATATGGGGCTGATTTACGAATCATAGACTTGCAAGGAAAGACATCACTGCATCATGCTGTCACTGGTGGCAACATGTAATATCAATAATAATTACAATATTATTATTAATGATCATATATGATTATACATGTAATGTATTTTTCTTCTGTTCAGTGTTGCTGTGCACTTTCTATGGGAGACTGGAATGTTCAGATTTTCTGACACAGATATGTACAAGGTGACACCTCTTCACCTGGCCGCATCCACAGGCAACACAGAGGTGGTGCGATACCTGCTTCGAGAGCAGGTGGATTACGTCACATTATTGACTTGTATTACTATAGTAGTTCTATCTATACTATAGTAATACTATAGTATTTTTATTGTTTGTAGAAATAAAATAATAGGTTTTTTCAGAGATGTGCAGTAGGCGCTGTTGACCAGCAGGGAGCGACAGCGCTTCATGTCGCAGCAGAGCGTGGGGGAGTGGAGGTGTGCTGGACTCTGCTGCAAAGAGCAGGCTGCAGGATGCTCCATCAGAAAAACCACGTTGGCCTCACGCCATTGGATCTCTGCAAACAAGGGAAGACTTTCAGGTAAAGTTGTCTTTCTAATATAAGCGGTTGGGGAATCTCCAGCTGTTGGCAGTTCTCAATTACATTTTTCTCTAGGGATTCTTGTGCTGATTAATACTTGCTGTGCTCTTTTATTTCTAGACATCAGCAACTCACCAAACTACTGAGTCGGTACATTAATGAGCCCTTGTACCACATGCCTAGAGAGTCGCATGGTAGTTGTCTACACTAAAAATGAGAATCAAATATTAACTGATTGACATATAAGTGTATTCTTGTGTGTATTTTCAGTGTTGTATTACTGGACGCTGCTTTTCCCTTTGTTGAGTGGGGCTGTCATTCTACTCATAGCTGCCATGTTGGGTGTATATGGTGGTCTTATATGTGCTATGCTGTTCCCCTGGCTTGCTAGAAGTATATTTACTCAATATCACAGAATGACAACATACCAAAGGTTTGGTGGAAAATGCAGTATGACATTTGTGGAAACAGACTCATTTGACCAAACATGTCTTCTTTGCAGGCTGCCAAATCCAGTCTACTTGGGAACACTCATAGCTGGTTTGTTCCATTCGCTGCTCTGCTTCTATCAGAGGATTATGCCTAATATCCTTGAAAACAGATGCACAGCTAAACTAGCTGAGTTTAGTTTTTTAAGTTAGAGAATAATTAATACATTAAGATTAAGAGATCTTTTATTCATCCCACAGCAGGGAAAGGTCAGTGTTGCATCACAAGTTATAGAACAGTAGGAATGCGGAGCACACAAACACAAAAGCACACAAACACAAATGCACACAAACACAAACACAAAATAAGATACGTGAATATAAAGTATAGCATAACTCTATACTTGAAAAGTTAAAAGTTTAATAAATGTTTTTCCTTAATGTTACGAATGTGTTTGGCCAGCCACTCCATTGGTCCAAGTGTCAATGATCCACTTCTCCATAGTTTTGTGCTTGTTCTGTAAAGTTCTAGTCCAGGATCCCGGGAGACTGAAGAGGGACGAGGCAAATCCTAACTTTTCCTGTATTGCTGATTTGGTCGAGAATAATCAAAGCCATCATCGATTCTGCCCATATTGTGAGGTAAGCTATGGTGTTGTGTTTGAATAGTACAACGTAATTGATATATGACTTAAGTTTATCCAGAAAAGTGAAATAACTTAGACACTTTATAACATTTACAGCTGTTTCTCCCGGACAACACAAAACACTGTAAGCTCTGCGACATCTGCATTAAGGACTATGACCATCACTGCCTTTTCTTGAACCGGTGCATTGGCCGGCACAATCATCGGGTCTTTCTCCTTTTTATTCTGTCCATGGCTGCAGCTCATATTCTCTTCGGAGCAACAGCGATCAGTTATTTGTACAACAAGAGGCCAGCAAGCAGCCACTCTCTCTCAGTGTGTCTAGCACTGATTGGAGAGGAGTTCTGGGTAGTGGTCCTGCTGGTGATGAATATGTTGACTTTCCTTTGGGAAGTATGGCTACTGACAGAGCAGTTTGAAGCTATAGCCAATGGTACGACCACCTACTTCAGGCAGTGTGAGACCAAGTCCAGACACAGGTCCACTGTACAACGCTGGGCGACTGTTCTCAGCTTTATTTTGGAGGGACAAACGCGGGTCACTACTGGACCTACACAAGAGAACAAGTCTGCCATAGATATCTAGCACTTTTCCAATCTTTTCTGTGATAATGGCCACGTATGTGTAAGTTTCAGTTTATACTGTATTAAGTGTGCTATTGTGATGTATAGTTACTTTTGTCTAACAAGATGTATACTTGAACCTTGCCATAGCTTCTAGCATACTGTGCTTTTTAATGCTGAAGACTTTCAGAAAGAACATGTTTTATATTATATCATTGTTTGAGAGGCTATACTGATTGTCACTAATAAAGACTAATCCTGTTTTTATATATATATTAAAAAAAGTTCAGAATCCTGCCAAGAACAGTTTACATGTGAGTAAGTCCTATAATATATATTGATATGTTTTAGTACATTTTCCATGTTCAGACTCAGCTTAAGTAATGTTCAATGTCAGGTTGATCTTGTGTATCATGTGGATTTGTTGTTGTTGTAACTTATTACTGATCATGTTTATTAGCACTGAATCATTACCTGCTCCCTGTTGTGTGCAGAGCAAATTCCCGACTGTCATTATGGGACATGCTTTTTCCAGTTACACATTCCCATTTCCTGTGTGTCGCTCAAGAACAGTCTTGATGATAACACACCCTCTGCTCTGTCTGAATGACTTTCTCCTGGTGTGGTTTAAATATGCACTCGCACTTACTTTATGTAATGATTTTACTGTGAAACATATATTTGTGAATTGCTTATGCCTAAGTGTTGATATTAAAGAAAATATCTATTTTATCATTTGAGTCAACCATCATTGACAATGTTAAAAAGTAAAGTCTTGTGGGACTTTGGCCCAACAATAACTATAATTGAAAAGATGTACTGTCTGCCTGATTGGTCAGCAGTTTTCACTTCTTCATAGAACTTCCTGGGAAAGAAACATACAGAAATGGTCTTACTGGTATTATGATTATTTTTGTTCTTGATCGGAAAAGTGTTTTGTTTTTCTTAATCCATAGATAGAATTGTCAGAACTTATACTTAAATCAGTATTCTGTGTTGATGTTGGTAAGTATAGAAGCCTTGGAACCTTCTCTAATTTCTCAGAGCTACAAATTAAGCCTCAATATCACTATTGTTAGGCCTCTCGGGCTGCTGCAGTGTTTGCCTGGATTTCCAGATCCAGAAATGGCTCCAGTGGAGGAGAAAGTTGACTGTGGAGACCAGTTTAATAAGAGCTGTTCAACAAAGAGAAAGACGAGTTAGCAGGTAAAGAACAATCTTTATATACATTCATTAATGTGATATGGTGTAATTAGATCCTCAATATTAATGATAATGTATGACATACATAAGCAGTGAGGATAGTTTGATTTTCTGACTGTCTAATTGCAGAGCTGTAGGAGAGCAGTGTGGATTCATAAAAGTAATGCTAATAAATATTTTTCATAGAGCTCGGGTGCTTAATTTTTAAATCACAAGTTCACAAAACAGTTTGTTTCTATGACTAGTTTTCTACATTATACTATTTTTGGCACTGCTTTTTTGACTGAACATTTAGAAAGAGAGGACCAGATCTCAGCGTCAAAGTGACTCACGGTGTGACGAAGAAAACATGTTTTGGCTTGGGACAAAAAACAGTAATTATCAATAAAAATAAAACGTTCAGATTATTCAAACCATGCACATTTAAACCTGATCTTCCCCCACATGCCGCAGTGGGGCAAACTCTTGTTGTGTCCTTAGGCAAGATACTTCTCCCACATTGCCTAGAATGAGTCTGGTGTGTGTGTGTGAATGGTTGGTGACGGTCGGAGGGGCTGATGGCACATACTGGTTGCCTCGCTTCTGTCAGTGTGCCCCAGGGCAGCTTCGGCTACAGTAGTAATTTATCACCCCCATCTGAAAAGCCAATGCATTATTATATTTTTTTTTATTAAATTAATTGCTATAGCCTCTCCCTCAGTGCAGTAGTGATGCAGTCTACAAAGTACAAGTCAAATAACCTCAGGACACACACAGACGTATTTATAGACGTGAGAAACTGATATTGTGGAGTGCAGCAGCAGCAGCAGCAGCAGCAGCAGGGGCATCAGCTGAGGAGAGGAGAGGGGGAGTGGGCAGTGGGCAGTGGGCAGGGCTCTGAGAACAACAGGGAGAAGAGGGACGCGTCATCGGGAGGGAAGGCGTGGAAACCGGCGACAGTGGTGGTTGTAAGTGCATGCAAATGTGTGTGTATGCGAGTGTGTGTGAGCCGGCGGCCAGTGGAGGATGCGCAGGGATGAGAGGAGCAGGGCGAGGCACCGGCGCTGATGTGTGAACGCCTGGATGCGGTCATGTCTGTGTAGGAGAGCACCACACACACCGTATAACCATGCTGAGCCCCAAGATCAAACAGGCACGCCGGGGTAAGCACTGCATCTACCTATTTTCTCATATGCATCTGTCTGTAGTGTCTGTAGTAAATGACATTATTGTGTTATTTCACCAAATCCTATTGAAACAGTGAGTATTTCTATGGGTGCATTGATATGGGCATTTAGCAGTTGTAGCACCTGGTTATGAATGTCTGGGACGTACCTTTTCATATAGTCCATATTTGCTTTGTTCACATGTTAAACCTCCAGTCACTACGGGGTGATGTCATCCAAATTCATGATCCCTCCATATTCCTAGAATGCTTGGACCATCATGAGGAGACACTGGGCTGTAGTAGTAAAACATGGCTGCTGTCTCCTGCAAGGGTTTGGTCACACCTGCAGTCCTCCTGTTGAAGATTTCATTCATTGCTTATAGTGTTGTTGTGTGTAGATGGTTTGAAGATTGATTACGATTGATTGTAAACCACAACAGCTGACCAGCAAACATAGTTCCTCTGACTAGGGTTAAATCCACTTGACTGAGGACAGGACATCTCCTAGACAGGCCATGCTTCTCTCATGACAGGGAAACTGAAAATACCATGATGTTGGTTAGCATATAATTATCCTATAGACCAGGAATAGACTGATTCAAATGGATTCATATGGAGGCTTACATTCATCTACAAAGCTATTTGAAGCAGTTGATCATAATGTGGAGGTGGTTTCTAAAACATGCTTTGTGGTTCTGTCTTAAGTGCAAGCTGTTGGTCTGGAGATAGGCCTCATCTGTCTCTACCATGAGCACAATTGGAGAGTGCAGTGATTTTCAGTTTGCTCTCTTGCACGTCATCTCTCATTTGCTGTGTGGTATTCTTCTTTGATTAGATTTGCAGCTCTGCTCTTCCTGACCCCTCCATCATTCATACAAAATAGAGCATCAGCGAAGATGATGTTGGCGATAGAAAGCAAGAATACTTTATTATAGTTGTATTGTATAATCTCGAACACAACAAAGCAATAATAATAATAATAAGCTTTGGAACTCCCTCTCACTAGTCCTCCGCAACACAGACGCCTGTCCCTTGTTCAAATCCAGACTCAAAACTCCCCTGTTCAGATGTTTCTACCCTATATGTCCAGTCACCCCCATGCCATCCTTCAGTTTGTTCATTTTTTATTACTTATTTTTACTGTTGTAACCCTATAATGTACAGTGTCATTTGGTAGTGAAGATTGACAGAAAAATATTGTTGATACAGTGGTTGAAATAAGGTGCATGGTAAGGTATACTTAATTGTTCCTGTAAATAAATGTGTTTTTTGCATTTGCCCCATCCTTCTAATGCCTCTGTCAGGGGGAGTGGTCGCTACAGTGCACTGGGTCTCGTCTCTAGATGTTGATGTGTGATATGTTTCCACCACAGAATGGATGGAGTCCCTCAGAGATAGAGTAACTCAGTTCCACAGCAGGAGCACGGAGTAGAGTCAGAGCTCCTCAAGTCAAGAGCCAAGTCAAGAGTGGCTCAGGCATGAGTTTTGGACGCCTGCTGGACACCTCAGTAGCGAGGTGTTCTGGACGCTTCACCCCACGTGGAAAGCCAGGGGTGACGTCTGGGCATCTCAGTGTCTCTGACTGCCTGCTCTGTGACCCGGCAACAAATAAATCAGAAAAAAATGATGGAAGTATGGAGATGATTTCATTTACATTTCATTAATTGGTCTTATTTACTGAAGATTAAACTTGAACATATTACATAATTATTTTGCAGTGATGGTGCAGTAATGAATTATAGAATCAGGCCTATTGTAACATTTCAGCTGGCAGATATTGGTGATGTCTGTGTTATAAATAGCCCCAAAGAAGGTCATGTGTGAAGTTCAACATCTGGAGATGGGTCCTTGGTGCTGCCATTATATCACAACTGCAAGTTACTTTCCAAAGTTGAATCTATATTCTATTGCCTCAATTCAATTTGACTAATTTTACACATAATAACAAAAAGGAAGAACTACAATAACAATAGTAAAAATAAAACTTTAAAGATACCTTATTATTGGTAAGAGATGAAACATGAACTATCTATTGGCTGAGTGGATAGCACTCTTGATCCTCAGCAAGACGGTCCTGGATTCAAATCCCAGTCGAATCAGGGCCTTTCTGTGTGTAGTTTGCATGTGCCCCCCGTGTCTGCGTAGGTTTCCTCCAGGTGCTCCAGCTTCCCCTACCTCTAAAAACATGCTCAATAAGTAAAATCCTCCAGCTGCAGTAGTCCTGACCAAGCCGAGTACCAACATCTGGAAATAGGTTCCCGGACGCTGTAGCAACCACTGCTCCTGACGGCAGCCTTAGTGGCATCAGGATGGGTCAAATGTAGAGGACAAATTTCCCTATGGGGACAATCAAGTGCACATTAAATTACTGAAAACATTCTATGGCAAAAAGCGAAGACACCTTTTGTGAGTACGTTATTACTGTTCTCATTTGTTCCTTATGATTCCATTCACATTCTTGAGTATGGCTACAATTATTCATTCAATATGATCAATGCAGGTTTGAAATGCATACATTGCATACGACAGTAGCTCAGTTGGGAGAGCGTTGGCCTTTGAGCCAGAAGATCGTGGGTTCAAGCCCACCTCAAGACTCACCATCGACTCCCACTGTCTCCTGTCGTTGTGTCCTTGGCAAGACACTTAACCTGTGGGAACACCTGATGCCACAGTGGGGCGGCTGCGGCTGTAAAGTGCCAAACTGCTGTTGTGTCCTTAGGCAAGACACTTCACCCCCATTACCTAGAATGAGTCTGGTGTGTGAGTGAATGGTTGGTGGTGGTCGAAGGGGCTGATAGCACATACTGGTTGCTTCGCTTCTGTCAGTGTGCCCCAGGGCAGCTGTGGCTACAGTAGTAGTTTATCACCACTGAGTATGGGGTGAAAGAATAATGACATGTAAAGCATCTTTGAGTGCCCAAAAAAGCATGATATAAAACCAATGCATTATTATTATTATTTTTGTCGTTTCTGTTTCAGTGTATGATAAAGCCTAATTTCACCATGAAGACTGTAAATGGGATACATAGACAGAGATTTCAGGTCTATGCAGATACTGTACCTTCACTGCTGTTCTCAGCAAAAAGCCAGATGCAATTAACAAGGAAAGAAACACCATTGATTCCTCTCTTCTCTCACTCCCTTCTGAAAATCTCTCTTTCTTTGTCTCTCGGGAATGCCTCACTCTGTCACTGCCTTTTCTCCATACCATTGGCATGCATATGCTAATTTAGAATCTATTCTAATAATCGGCTTGGAGACATTAAAGTATTGCTGATTTGAAGCAAAACTCTTCTCTATGCAAGCTAATGAAGAAATAGTCTAGTAGTAGCAGTACACAGCCTCTGTAACCTACAATTCCATGGTGCAATACCGTAGACTGACTAAACAGGTTATTCAACGATTACCTGATGACTTGGGTGAGACTACTGAATGTTAATTTGGATTCTCCCGAACACACCCTCGCTGTATGAATGAAATTGTTTCAGTATTATTTTAACAAATAGCATATCCAAATGGCAGAATCCAAACCTTTTGGCCTGTGTTGTTTATGTTTGCAGCGCGGTCAAAGAGCATGGTGCTTGGGGAGCTGTCGCGGGTTTCTCGGCCCTGCTCCCCTCTGGACCAGGAGAAGGCTCTGAAGGCAGGATGGCTCAAGAGGCAACGCAGCATCATGAAGAACTGGCAGCTGCGCTGGTTTGTTCTGAGGACTGAAGCTCTGTACTTTTACAAGGACCAAGAGGAGACCAAAGCGCAGGTAAAGCGCTTTCATTACTTTCATTAATTTCAGAATCAACAACATTTTGCACATTGTGGACAGAGTATTTTTAAGATGAGTGTAATTCCATAATACATAAAATGATTATGTAATTAAGAGATGGTTTATTCATCCCACAACAGGGAAATGTCATTTAATTCCATTAATGTATGATGTACATTATCATGAGGTGCATGGTCATCACTGTAGAGGCTACATAGTTAGAACAATAAGCCGTTTGCTGGTGTCCATTTGGACGTCCATTATTACCCACTTGCCTTTAAATTCTTAAGTGTGTTGTTAGCATTGTCCGGAGACAGTTGCTGCTGCACAATAACTGCCTGCCCTGTGGTGCTCGTACAGGCACTTAGCCAGTGACCTATGGCATCTTGTATGGTGAGGTTATTCAGAGTGTAAACCAGGAAGTAAATATGGATAAATAGATGAAGAGAGGTTTCCCTGAGTCATCCCTGCTGCTATCATCATTATCTTACGTGCTTGGATGGCAGCCCAGAACGCTCTGTCTGAAAGTGCACTTCTGTTTAGTATTCACTACACGTCTGAGTCCAATACCACCGATTGATTTCAGGTGAATATCACTGGTGTGATGTGTTCTGCCTGGTTCCATCCCTCTGTCGGCCTGTCTTTCTCATGTCTGCCTGGGTTTCTCTTGTAGGGATGTATTCCTCTTCAGGGCAGTCAGGTCAATGAGCTGCCCGCCACTCAAGATGACCCTGGCCGCCACCTCTTTGAAATAGTGCCAGGTGCGTGTGTTCTGAGATCTGTTCAATTCAGTCCTCAAAGAAGAGGGTGAGGGTTATATTATGTTTGACTGTGAAAGTGAATAGTGCACAAAATCTTGAAAGGCACTAACTATGCAGTTGTAGAGTTAGAGCCATGGTGCAGTTGCTGGTGTCCACTGGGAATTGTATCCTTTCTGGGTCATTTAATCCACATACAGCAGTGCACACCACATTGAAGGACACAGCCACAACTGCTGAGGCCGGGAAAATGCAGAGATGTTTTGTAACTGTATAGTCACATGATCAGCAAATTACATAATAATAATAACGTCAATAATGCATCAGACTCGGAATATTCTTTTCAGTGCTTAATTTATAGCACATGGTAAGCTCCTCCGACCATCACCAATCACACACCAGATTCATGTTAAACCATGTGGACGAAGTGTCTTGCCTATTACGGTCATAAACCATTTATACAATATTTTATGTTTTATTTATATTATTCTATTCTGTATTATATTACATTGTCTACATATAATATGTTTCTAGGGACCAATGGGGACAAGGAGAAGCCTGGAATAAGCCATGAGTCTTATTTACTTATGGCAAACTCTCAGAGCGATATGGAAGAATGGGTCAGAGCTATACGCAAAGCTATATGGGCCCCGCTAGGAGGAGGTGGGATGCTTTTACTGACCTATTATTTAGTCTTTGACCTTGAATATTATTTCATACATGCCCAGAACCCTGTCAAATATTAAAAGTGATGGGTTTTTTCCCCCATTGTTCATGTTCTTTGTGTTCAGGTATCTTTGGGCAGCATTTAGAGGAGACGATGCTGTACGAGGCCCAGTCCACACAGCGACAGGTGCCGGTGCTGGTGGAGCAGTGTGTGAGTTTCATTCGAGAACATGGGCTAAAAGAAGAGGGTCTATTCAGGGCTCCAGGACAGACCAATCATGTGCGAGAGCTGCAGGATGCTTTTGACCGAGGAGAAAAGCCAGTATTTGATAGGTAACACAAGAGTGTGCAGTGCTGTACTGTATTTTATATATCTTATTATGTGTGTAATCATCTTTGTAATTAACATTAATTACATTTGTTTAACAGTACCACCGATGTCCACACAGTGGCATCACTGCTGAAGCTGTACATCAGAGAGCTGCCTGAGCCTGTGATACCATTTGCCAAATACACACAGTTCCTGTCTTGTGCTCAAATTATTACCAAGGATCGAGAAATGGTAAAAACATACAGAAAGGTAAATATATATTAATATATGTACTAAATCAAATATGCTTATTTCAGGCTGTTGTAGAGCTTTGCAAACAGGTTAAGTCCCTTCCTCAGGTCAACTACAATCTCCTTTGTTACATCTGCAGGTACGTGTATTACAAACAATGATACACACTGTTTTGTTTTTTTTCCTTAAATGGAGACTTTCCCTATTTCCTAATTTTTGTGGTCTCCTTTGAATTTATTGTACAAAGATTACATCAAACAGCAAAAGACCAGCATGAAAATATGACTCTTTATCTGTCATTTGAAGGTTTATCAGCAAATGAATGAATGTAAATAGAGTTATAAAAACCATGAAATCAGCGATAAACATTCTATTTCTCAGGTTCTTGGATGAAGTTCAGAGTCATTCAAATGAGAATAAGATGAGTGTTCAGAACTTGGCCACGGTGTTTGGTCCCAACGTCCTTCGCCCCAGAATGGAGGATCCCGTCACAATGATGGAGGGTTAGTAAGATTCACTGCATTGATCGTAGTCCATTTAGTGAATAAACAGCACAGAGTTAGGGGAGTGAGCGGTGCAGGGTCCACGGGGCTAAAACGTGTAAACTTACAGGTATCTCCAGGATAAGACCAAACGCAATGAAACAAAAAAAGCTAAAAAAGTGAAAAATAAAAGTAATTAATTAACTGTACATGCAGAAACTTGTGTTTTGTTGCAGTAAATATGTTGGATTGACAATTTATAACTTGGAATTGAAATAGTTTTGTGTTTATTTTAGAAGGCCAAAAGTTCAGAGAATATGAGCCACCAAAGCACATCCCTCGTTTGTGAAGTGTGTTCAATTATAAAATACTATGTCTTCTCTCTGTTACACTGTTATAAGTTAATATGATTATTTACCAATATTGGCAATGTTGCTATTCTTGTCAAAAAAACTGAACTTGTCAAGAAAAAAAGTTAAGTATCATTTAGTACCTGGATACATTTTTCACATCCCTTTTTGCCATTTGCCACAAAGTGCTTGTCTTCTATCTATTCCTTGTTCCTTTCAAAATCAACTTAAATGGTTTGTGTGTGCGACAGGAAGCTCTCAGGTCCAGCTCCTCATGACTGTTCTGATCAGCGAACATTCTCGGCTTTACCAAAGAGACCAGCCTGAAGCGGACACTCAAACACCTTCACAACCTCAAAAGACTCCTCCAGTCCAACGTGGGAAAGTTGAGTGGCTTCCCCAAGAAGACAAAGCCACGCCCTTCTCTTTGCAACCAGACTGCAGTAATAAAGAACTGCCCCAGAGTGCAACAGGCAAGGAACTTCAAGATGGAGACAGGTGTAAAAAGGAAGACAACGCAGAGGATAAAGCAGAAAGCAAACCTGATGTGATGGATTTGAATGTGAGTCCGAGCAAACAGTCCAAGCCGCTACCCACGTGGAAATCCTCACTGAAGGGTGGAGCAGCATCCGGAGGTCCAAGGGGTAAACTAGGTGGGTCGGCAGGAGATGTATCTGCAGCTGGGGGTAGTAACTGGCTGATGAATGGCCTGTCGTCTCTACGATCTCACAGGCGAACTACGTCGTCTGGAGAGAGACTAAAAGACTCAACTCTTTCACTAAAGGATTCAGAGGAGGATTCTAGGACAAATCCATCCTCCCTCAGCCACAGAGCCCTACAAACCCACAGACTGTCGGCCTATGACAACGTAGCACCGTCCAGTCTTAGCCTCCCCGCAGACACCTCCCTGTGGACCTCATATGAGATCTCAATAGAAGAACCCAAGGGCAGTGATAAAGACGTGCAGATGGAGCATGATCAAGACAAGTGCACAGAGGTGAAGGACGCTGACAATGTCGAAGTTACAACTGTGAGTATTATTGTGAATGAACCGGAGGAGACGGACACAGAGACACAGGAGAGCTGCAACGAAGCAGTGAGCGAACTCAAGCAGGAGCTGAAGAACCAGAGGAAGAACTACGAAACACGCATCCGCAAGTATGAACTTACTATTTGAATGTACGTTCTCCTTTTTTTTTTGTGTGACAAAAAACATGTGTTATATAATGACGTTTGAAACTGGGATACCTTTTGAAAAAAAAATCTAATTTAAATAACACATTTATGTAAACGTAAAATGTTGTGAAAAAAATCAGACCACAACATGCTGTCTTCATTAGAAATCATGTTATGTTTACATATTTGTAAGCAATATCCCTGTGAGTCACCTACAACTGTAGCAATCAATTAATCACAGCTAAACTATTATTGAAATAGTTAAAGTTATAGTAAAGCAGAGTTTTAAACCTTACATAGAATAGAAACATGCTGAGAAAAGCTTTTAGGAGTTAGATGATTCTTTAACAACTGTTCAAGTATTTATATTAAACAAGTCATCTCTATGAAGATGGGCATCACTTGAAGCCTTTGGTCAATTGTATTCACTTAGCTTCAGCAGGGTTCTAAACAACTAATCGACAAGTTGAAAGAATAATCTTCCAACTTATCAATTATCAATATAACTATTAATTACTGCTATAGAGTCAACATTTGACTCTTTGGGCTGAGAGCTGAGTGAGTGGTCCTTCCTTTTTACTTATTAAGACTGAAAGAGCTGATCTACAGTAATGATGTGGCCAAAAACACATGTGAAAAGTAGGGATTGAATTGAAGAGAGCGAGGAACTAAAATACATACATGGATAACTTTTTTCCTATAAACGTGAGGTATATTTTTAAGAAAATGCAAATGTGGACATAGAGATTGTGTGATTTTATTTGTTTCTTTCTAACCCAGGTTGGAGGAGTCCTGCTCTAAATACCAGTCGCAGGTGAGTCTGCTCGAGGAGGAGCTGGACCAGGAGAAGAAGCAGCTCCATATGTTGTTGATTCGACTCAGGAATTCAGAAAGGGCTCATGAAGATGCAGAAAAACGCAACGTCCTTCTTCAAAAGGAGATGGAAGACTTTTTTAAAACACTTGGGGACCTGACCACTGGAACAACGAGGAAAAACTAAGCTGATCGGTCTAAAATTTTCAGGAGGTCTAAAAGAACAAAGATAGCCCTGTTCTGCTGTACTACTTGCCTTTGTGTCCACTAAGCGGCCATCTTGTGCCTACACTGACCAAGTCTGGTGCCAAGTTGTACCAAGCATTTGTATTAATGTGTTTTTAACTTATTAACTTAAGTTTTAAATATCACAGAAAGCCTTGATAAGAGGTCAAATGTGTGTGTTTGTCCAATAGCTGAAAGAAAAACCTTAGACATTGTAATTGTAGTTATTTATTTGTTGGGAGTTAAAGGTGACAGACTGCATTTCTAATGCAAGGGACATTGTTGTTCTGTTAGTGGGACACAGGTGGCCTTGGTAAAATACAGGTTATCTTTGTTGTCAGTGTTGGGCTCATTCCTAATTTACACAAAGTGGACTTCCTTAATACCTCCTCATGTGACACAGGAGCTGTGTTTAAAATGTAAAAGGGGCAAAAGGAAGCCTTTACAATTCCCAGATTCAACTGGGTTCTGGTCATGGTCGCTCCTGATCGAGCATGCTGACTGTCTGAGCCAAAGGAGATTATGGCAAATGTCTGTTTCCTACTTCTCAGAAAACATATGTACTGTACATCTACGTAAGCCTATTGTAAATTTGTACATATTCACTATTCTAAAAAATTATATTGCACAGGATACTGTAGAACAACAAATGCATATAAATAGTACATACATACAAATGGACATCTTGTAGCCTGAAATAAATAAATACATAAATAAATACCAATGTTGTTGTTTGATTTTACAGTACCGACTGTAACTTCATGTGTGTGAGAGGTAGAACTAATAAAAGGTGCAACAAAACAAAATGACTGAAGGATTAAGGACACTTAAATGAATAAAAAAAAAAACAAGTGTTGAAATGAAATCTGCCAAAACATAACATGTTTGGTTCAGATTCAAATTTTATAACAATCTTTAGTTCAGTCATTCAAGAAGTGGTCTGTATTAGTGTCATAGCGTAATGTCATTCAACATACATTCACCCTGTTCTTCCTGACAGTAAGACTCCTCAACAAGCTGTTACAACATGCAAGCAAACGAGTGCCAGAATGCACAAGCACAATCCAAAGGTTTGGAGTCTTCGAGGAAAAATGCCCTAATCTATTTGCATCTGACTGTGACATGAAATGTGCTTTGTCTAATTTACTAAAATAAAAACTAGGTTCATTCAACCGTCATAGAAATAATACAAAAAGCAAAACATAAGAATTTGGATCAATACTCAAAAACGAATATTGCAGTAACAGCAGGATGTGATGTACCCACTGTGCAGTTGTACCTTAAAAACAGCATGTAATTTATACACATTTTTTTCTCTTTCAAAACATCACAGTTCACATTAAAACCTATTGTGATTCTTCTTTGCAGCAAAAATACAATCATAATTATACATTTTAAAACCACATCATACAGCAGTGGGAAAAAAGTTCAAGACAAACTGTACATCAACAGCGCACCTCTACGGACTAAAAAAAACACATTTTTGGCGTAACCCGTGCCCCATCATATATACATGTGCACTACATGCATACGCTTGGACAGGGTTTGTGTTCATGTGAGGGGAAACTATACGTGCGTATTATCTGCAGCAGGCCAGAGCTCCCAGTGAAGTGTGACTGTCCAAACTGCTCTCTGTCTCGGACGTCATGGTGGGATCACTGCTGGGGTCTGACGGCTCCGTGGACATGGAGGACACATCGTTGACTGAGGAGGAGGAGGAGGCGGGCTGAGGGGGGCTGTCCACTACTGCTGCACCTGTGCTGCGAAAAATACATGTCAACATATGCTTTTATTAAAACGCAAAGGAAGGGTTCTCATTTCAAAACAGAATACTTTACATTTACATTAATGAGGCAAGAGAACTTTTGCATATTTTGTCCACAAACATAAAGATTGAATTTTTGATTGATATTGATTCTACGAAGAAGCAGATAACTGCTAAGCGAAAGAAAAAAGTATTTTGGGTATGGTTGTGTCCACTAAGTATGGTGGATATTGGTGAGTAAAGCCAAAAGAGGCAAGAAAAAAGTAAGCATTTTCATAAACTTTAAAAAGAGCTAGAACCAGTTAATTAAGTTATTCCCAAAGTCTTTTGGATATGACTCTACAAGCGTTGCACATCTAGAGACTGAAGGTTTTGCCGATTTGCCCATTTGGATTTTCAGAAGTGCTATTTGCTTTCCATTTCTGAATAATGGAGCAGCATTTGCCTGAGAGATGTTCAAAAGGTTAGAACATTTTCAAGAGCAATGTAAGGCAACACACTTGTCTGTCACTTAAACTTAATATAAACTGTATGTTTATGGAACTTGTCTGCTCAAATAAATAAATAAATTAATGGTGCAAAACAGGACAACATGTGAAAAACATACATATTAAATATAGTATACCAATGTGATAATAATGACATACCTAAAGGAGACGGCTGACCTCTTATAACTCCATTTCTATGCCATTCTTCCCAGTCATATACTTCTTTATAAATCAACTCTGGAAACAAGGTAGGAGAAAGGTAGGACGTTATTTCATTTGAATGCAATCAGAAATTCCAGCCAATGAAAATACATTTATTTAGGAAGCTCTAAAATCCATTTGTTTTCAAAATATTCCTCATTTATTTTATTTGTTTAATTAATTCACAGTTAACACAAGAGGATAGAGTTAAATACCAACGTTTTCTGACCTCATGTGAGACAGTGACCCTGAACCACAAGAAATGAATGAAATACTTTATTTATAGTTATTTATATAGTAGTCAAATAATTAATTAATTAATGCACTTTACGAGAGAGATATAACTATACATCAAAGCACTGAAAAAAGGTCAAAAACTGACCTTTCCACTCTTCCACTGTGTGCTCTCTCTCATCCAGCTGTTTGTCTGGGATTTTTGGAGGTGGCTGTGGAAGTGAAAAAGTGAGAATAATGAAAACAGACTGCTGAATACAAAAACTAATATTATAGTATATTGATATTATATACTATTATTATTATATTATGATACGTAGTTCATTGTGCGTACCGCTTCAACTTCAGCTGGATCATACCAAACATTGATATAGGGATGCTTTAGGGCCTCATCCACAGAAATGCGTTTGGAGGCATCAATCACCAACATCTTGGACAGAAGATCTCTTGCTTGGCTCGCTAAAGAGAAAAAGTGATGTACTGTTAAAGATCCTTGACAGCAATGAGATTATATAATATTAAGATAATATTTACCTTTTAGCTTGTTGTGATCAGAATCAGCTGGGAAGAGTACATCTGGGAAGAGCTTTTCGAAGGTGTACCCAGCGTAGCGAGGTCTGTTTTCCACATACGTCCTCACGGATTGATTCAGCTTCATCATGAACTCCTGGGTCGGGGTGCCGAGCTGCTCGATTACCTTGTTCCACTGGTCAATATCTGTGTAACTGTTAAGGCATCATCTTGCAAAAACACCTCTTTCAAACTGTGTAACATTTAATAGTAATAATAATAAATCGGTTTTATATAGCGCTTTTTTGGACACTCAAAGACGCTTTACATGTCATTATTCTTTCACTCCATACACGGTATTTGTCTTTACCTGCTCAGACTGAAGAAAACGGCACCATCCCAAAGCCACATGCCTGACTTTGTAAAGGACATTCACAGATGATTTGAGCATTTTCTTAAGTTACTGCTGTTATTAATCACCGGAAACTAATCTGTATTATTGTATACTGCTCTCATAACAGTAACATTTCAATGATCAAGGACATTTTAAGGAGACGGCAAAATGAGGAGGCAAACAATATCAACGATGGATTACATTTGAGGGAATGAAATAATGATACAATGATCAATCAATGATGGGAAGGATACGGTCGGTACCAGGGAACAACACACTTCCCCTGATCATCTCGGCCACTATGCAGCCGACAGACCACACATCCACTGGGATGTCACATGACATGGAGGTGAACGCCATGCAAACAGAAGTAGAAAAAAAACAACTCATAAAATAATGAAACAATGAAGAAATAAAAGTGTTTAGTGAAGTGATCATGCAGAAGCAATGAAGGTGGTGAAGGTCATATGGTACATGCATGGCACTCCATCGAGAACACACGTCAATGCCACTATGTATTCAAATACACAAGGATACAGTCCCTTCCTGGGAATAGGATTTTATGACGGACCATTTCAGCCAAAATGCAGCCCACAGACCATATGTCCACTATGTATGGTGGATATTGGTAAGTAAAGCCAAGAGGCAGGAAAAAATGCATATCATGTTAGTTCTTTAGTTAGTAGGCATTTTCATAAACTTTAAAAAGAACAAGAAACAGTGGCACTCCATGTTAGAGACATAAATGATCACTGACCATTGGCCTGATATCCCATGCCCAGGATGACCTCTGGTGCTCTGTAGTAACGCGTCACCACATACGGAGTCATCAAAAGGCCTGTCGCTGCTGTCCGAGCCAGGCCGAAATCCAGAATCTTCAGTGTGCAATCAGATTTCACGACTATGTTACTGGGCTTCAGATCCTGAAGGAACAGAATAAAGGCTATTAACTTCGTAACCACATGATGTTTATGCTGTGGTTTATTCATTTATGTTACTGTCTTTAAAACTATTTGACAACCCACTGCAACAAGTACTTTATCAGTTTCTTCTTGATCCTAGGCAGTTACCAGAGTTTAAAAATCCCCCCAGTAGTGTTGACAACTTAATATACATCAAATTCAAAATTGACTTGACAAGGATGTTTGTAATGTTTAAGAACAAAATGTGCTATTTTTACAAAATAGAGAACTAACGAGGGTTGCTTGCAGAGGTGACAAAAAAGCAATTAGGTATCTCCATGACAACCAGGTCTATGTAATGACAGCCAATGCACTGACAATGCAAATTACAGCAGATGATGAAGTTGAAAATATGTATAATGCCAGAAATATAGTTTAAACTCCCAAATCCTCCTCCTCATTTCTGCTACTTTCATTATAAAGCAATCACTGGAGTAGGGACTCGCACATCAATACCTACAGATCGGGTGCGTAGGAGGAGAGGCCTGTATAGCCTAATGTCATAGAGAGAAGAATCCCGCACACCGTCTTACTTGCAAATTAAAAATTATTTAAATTGCGACGTTTCGGCGTTATGCCTTCATCAAGCAAATATCAGGCGAAATGTCGCAATTTAAATAAATAATTTTTAATTTGCAAGTAAGACGGTGTGCGGGATTCTTCTCTCTATTATAAATCAATCAAAAATTGTCTTAGTTTTTTGGGCTCCAACAACAATAATAGCAGCACATTAATACTACTTAATTTCCTACTGATAAATGGCTATTACAAAGCACAATGTGTCAAATATACAGTATGTGTGTTTTTCTGCCAGAATTGTTACCAATTCAAAATGAGTAACTAACTTTAATATGAGTTAACTGAAAATGATGTTACAATTTGTAAAATAAAAAAATAAAACGTTTTTTGGGTCAATCTTAAAACAAGTCCAATGTATTCAAATCCGAATAGCTACTGCTACATTTGAGCATCTATTAAAAGGTGCATTGCGCCACTTTCTCATGTGGTTTGTGACCCGCTCGCTTCCATGATGGTGTTATTTATCTGCTTGGAACGTGGACAGTGAAAGAATACAGGCAAATCTACAACAGATGATGGACCCAAGCAAAAAGCAGACCCTCCACCAGGAATGTTTCAAAGTCCACAGTTATTTGTATGTGTTTACTGTGACAGCTTGCCCCTTCGGACAAAGACTATCCCTTCTTACCCTGTGGATGATTCCAGCAGCGTGAAGGTGTTTAATACCACACAACATCTGATAGAGCAGATAGGAGAGCCGTTCATGGTCCAACTCCATCTGAATGACTTGACAGAGGTTTGCATCCATCAGCTCCATCACCAAATATCTGCACACATTATCCACATGTGAGCCAATGCCTCCACACAAATGAAAAGACCACAACATAGCAGGTGTTACTTACACGTCTTGAAATTCTTCTAAAGATTTTTGTGGTGTGAATACATTTAATAGGCCAATAATCTGTAACCAAAACAATCAAAATTAAACATGACCTTCTCTCTCATTGAACAAGAATCAATATTACTTACATTTTTGTGATTGACGTATTTCATGAGCACTAGTTCTCTGTATGCACGTTTGGCATGAGTCTGATTCTGAAAGGGTCGACTCAGCTTCTTGATGGCAACATTTCTCTCGAGTACCTGGTCGTAGGCAGAGCTAAAAGGAAAGATATGTCAGCTATGGTAATATTCAAGCTAGGGTTACATGTCAGATGGAATTGTGAAATAAACATACCAGACAATCCCTTGTGCTCCTGAGCCGATGGGCCTTAAATTCTGGTATCTCTTTAGTACTATGAATGTTGAATCGCCAACATCAACACTGTAAAACTCTTTTTCCCTCTTATTTTTGTTCATTGTGAATTCTTCAAATGCAGCTTTCTGAGCATCAAAAAAGGTCCTCTGTGAATACAAACATGGACGGCTGGTGAGTGAAGCAGGTGAGTGAGAAATCTGAGTGACAATTTGAGAGCAGATTAGAGAGAGCGAAGACACAGCTGAATTTCACACTTGGTTTAAAAACAGCACAATTCCTAAACTCAGCAACTCAATGGAAGATTTGATACAATCAGCAGTGGTGGAAGCAGCAGCCTGTACAGTTTCTGCATTATGAAAAAGGCTAAGAAATGTTCACCATCACAGAAATATGAATACGGTATGATAGATACTTCACTCAGATCGGTGCTGAATAATAGGACATTCCAAATACACTCTCTTCATTTCCGTTTTCCAGCTCTCGACCATATGAGGGCTATGATGGCCAGAACTAAATGAGTCAAGAGTCGTGTCTGCTGCTTCAGCGTCACTAAGACGCAAACAGCATCTCCTCTCACATCACCAAAATAGACTTGACACTTTTCAATAGAAGGGAATGTCAATGACGGGTTGACAATTGGACATGTTTTGGGTAAAACTATTGGTTGATTAAAGATATGTCCAGCTGATAAATCATCAAACCTGCAAAACTAAAATGTATTTTTCTGATCCAAGGATGTGCGACTGAGCAAAAATGCAAATGAAAATAAATACAGGAAACACAGAAACAAAATGACAGATCGTATGATCATCTTTTCTGATTGTCCATAGAAACCCTGTGCCAAAACAAGTAAGGACCTACAACTGGGAATAAAGTAGTTTGGGCTTGTTTAAAGTCAAAACACAATTTAGTGCATGAGTATTGTATTTAGCATAATTTAGAACCACAATTACTATACCACATATTGCTCAATTAATTATAGATAGGTGTGAGGCTCAGCGTGAGTGAGTGTACATTATTGCTGTAAAAGACTTATGTGGTTCAGGATTCCTCTGTTATTTTATGTTACACATTTTAGCTCAAGTCTGATAAAAAATCCATTACAAATTATTTGTACGGCATTTCCCTCCTATTTTAAAGTGATAGCGTCAAAGGTCAAAGGTGTCAAAAGTAGTAAATATAATAGTTTATTAAACATACAAAATGTCTTGTGACATGCCAAAATAAAACCTGTAATGTCAAATTCAACCCAAAATTATAGCAGTGTGTTGGTGTGCAAAGGCCCTTTTCAATCTAGACGCACTGTGCAGCTTTGGTCTTTATTAGTTGAAATACTGATTGAAACATTGTCCTGCGAAGGCAATACTCGCAGCCACTCTAATGAATACGCATATGCCTCAGACTGTGTAGCCCACTGCACCCAGAAACAAATCCAATGTCAACATGCCTGCACTGTCTCCGACTGCCCCAATACTAATGTACAGGCACCATCCAGGCCACCATGTGTAGCTTCTGACGAACCATTATCTGCAACAAACGTGTCATAATGGACGAGACACGCTGTCAGACGAGTTGCTCTAGCAGCATTCACGAAGGATCTCAGATACTCGGCGACAGCAAAGGCTACAGCCACAATCCTGAGAGTCGTCGTACATGGGATGGCCTAGCGCAACATCAGCACTGGTGCGCAATTGGCGTGCCCTTCTAAAGCCGCACCAACACACGCTTTTTAACGCATAACCAACCTGGGAACATACATACATCGAGTTACACTATCCAGACACGAAATAAGCTCATGGCTAGCGTGCACGGACAGGAAAAGACACGACCCTCCCCCACGGCCAAACAATAAGCACGTCTCAGGAGCAGAGGTGCGAATGCTCATCTTACCTCAATCACAAAATCCAACTATCGATCGGTTAACCGGCGTGAGTGCTCCGAAACGTTACAAAGCACCGCACTACGTGTAAAACCCGATCCTGGATGATGAGTTATTCCTTTCTGCAGCTTAAAAATACATGACCTCACCAAATTTACTTGCCTACGTTTCCATCTGGCTGCTACTGACAGGCCGGGGACTGCACCGCGCATGCGTGGTCCCAGCACACGTCACTGCGCTCAGGAAACACACCCACCACACCACCCACAGTTCACACAGCACCCACCAGGGCCATATATCCTCCTTCCGCTCCTACAGTCTGCTGGACCTGCACTAAATCACTGCAGACTTAATTGGAAACTCATAGAGACTGAAGTCTGACTACACAACTATATTCACCGCTCAGGAGTGGCAACATTGTATCCACATCGACCCGTCATGTGTTTGGTTTATGTCACGGGACAAGGATGGGATTCATGTATGATGTCTTTGTTGAGTGACATGGCTAAATAAAATTAAATATCTATGATTTTGTATTGAAATAATAAAATAATGATAATAATAATAATAATAAACACACAAACAGCAAAAATAAATCTATAATGAAAACTAAGTAATAACTGAGGGCTCTGTAAATGAGGTTGTGAATGTTTTAACAGCTTGTGTGCAGAGTAGCACACTTCTGAACCCTGGAGGATTTGAAGGAAGTGTCTATGCAGAATGTTGTAAATGTTTTATGTTTGTATGTTGTTTGTCTGCACTTTGATGTCTGCTTGTTAATGCATGATGTAGACCATTTATGTGTTGGAATCCAAGATAAATTGAATAATCACTCTCACAACCCTATAATAGCAATAATAGCAGCAACAATATGAACGTTGTCTTACTTGTGCTGTATGAAACTTTCACTTATTAAAAAACTTTTGTATTCACCTATTTATCTTATGATGTCATTTTCCGCACCTTATCCACAATATCGCAAATATCCAGTTTTCAGATGAACAAGATGTATATATTGTTTGTGTTGTATAGGTGTTCAAACAAATACACATAATAGAAAAACTATTAAAACAATATTTTCTATGATTCCATAATTCCAGATATTTGTGAGTATTCCCAAAGTCATGCCCCCCACTGTAAACACACAGTACAAGGTTGTATCGTCATTGTCCAGACCCACGTGTAAGTGTATAGGCTTACAGTGGACCATGACATGCACTGGGCGCTGCACGCATCCCCCTGTGCAGTGGTTGTATACTATCTCGCCATTCAGTCCATCCTGCTCTATACGCTACAACAGCAGCAGCAGCAGCAGCAGCGCCGTATGCGGACAGACGTACTGCGAAGACATGTGACAGTGGAAGGACATAAGGTAGAATTACATTAAGTTAGAGCTGAGTTGTTTACATTTTTCACCGCAGCCTCCTGACAAGCCTGGATTACTGTTATCCATCCGTGTCCCACCGCAGAGATAAGAGGGCCTGCACAAAGGTAAGCGTGCAGGATCGTCCCAGCATAGACTCCCGCAGCGAGGCACCTACTATTCTCCTTACCCCTTGGTCGAGGAGAGCCCGCAGTGTTATGATCATGATGGGGGAGCAGCCTTTGCAGCAGCTGGCCACACTTCTGCACCGCGCAAGCCCTTCCTCCTTTTCGGGGCTCTGGGTATAGTGCACCGGGGAAGAAGCTCCACCACACCTTTGGGCGTCAGGACACACGGATTACTTCAAAGCAGTGTGGCTGATCTCACCCGCTATTGGCAGCGTTGAACTGTCGCTGCCAAACAGCAACGCAAATCCTATTATGTGTTTAAAGAGAAGTGACTAAGAATAGAGCCAATCACACGGGGGGAAAAGTTTGCAATGTTTAACCTGGCTGTGGGTGCCATGGTTTGTTAATGTCATCCATGGATTGATTATCACAGACCAGCAGTGTGTGTGTGTTTTTTTTATTTTCTTCCTCTGGAGCACGTCAAAACACCGTCCCAATGCTCAGGATTACTATGGAACCGAGGAGGGATCACTAAAGAGAACACAAAGGATCAGACTGCAGCCATTGATTACATATGTGACCAGGTAATTCTTAAGATATTTCATTTTTTCTTCAAAGAGACATTTATGTTATTAACACCTTAATATGACATGTGTGATCTAGTGAAAACTGTTTATGCGCATCCACATGGATCATATTAAAGGCAATATAGTATAGAACAAAGTCTGACAGAGTATGGCATCAATATAATGAGACCCGTGAAAAAGGGCTGTTGAATGCTTATGTTTGTTTGTTGTGTCGCATGAACTCTGTGCAGACATGAATTTTTATACAGTTTGGAACATAGTGATATAAATTAAGCATGGCCATTTATATAAAGCTAAACACGGCGAAGACTGTACCTTACATTTTACAGATTTGTGTTGTGTATCTGTAACTACCCCCTTAGAGGATTGTTTCATATGGACCTTTTTATGTCTCTGAATTAAAGATGAAATTTAAAAAAATCCCAGTGGTGGGAAGCATCAAAAGGAGTCACTTAAATTCAGTACAGTGATAGAAAGCAATCTGATGCTGCGTGTGAAAGATGAATCAGGAAAGGTCAGACTGCGCCATGTGGGTATAATAGGACCACGAGCCTTCAGTGACAGAGGAGAATGTGTGGACAGCTTTCTGCTTTTTTCTAGATTATAATTATAATTATAATGTCATGACGGTATTATGAAATCTTTTAATTTTACTGACAAGTCGCCCATATTCTTGATAAATGAAGTCATGAATCTTTCCTTTACAGCTCAGTTCTAACCATGAACCAGGCTATATTAAAGCAACACATGTAACCTTTAAAGGTGGTACATCACCTCCATGTTTACAATGATTACAGGGGAATAGATCACTGTTTGGAACAAAAGGAGAAATGTATTTTTATTGTCCCACTATGGTAGATTTTCCAAACAGGAGGAGGCACAGTAATAACCAGGGCTGTGGAGAAGGACACACTCAGAGTACATTACTATCTCCTTTTTGTAAACATACAACTTGTAATCTTGGGGGGAGCTATACATAAAGATTACTTACTACTTACATTTTCAGAGTATTAAACATCTAAATTGCAAACTCATTGTGTTTAATTAGTTGTTTAACAGCAGACCACAACACAAGACACTTTGACCGGTCACAGGTGAGATTAAAGCCTATTACAAAGTGGGAGGGTCTGAAAAAAGACCCTAATGAACACAGATAATCTACTCAGAGTCTGGGGCAAAGAAAGTCTCCTGGAAAATCTCCTGGCGTAACTATGTATATATATATTATACGATATACAAATAGTTAAGATATATTATATCGTAATATATATATATGTATATATGTGTATATATATATATATACACATATATATATATACACATATATATATATATATATGTGTGTATCTATATATATATACACACACATACATATATATATATTACGATATAATATATCTTAACTATTCGTATATCGTATAATATATATACATAGTTACGCCAGGAGATTTTCCAGGAGACTTTCTTTGCCGAATATGGACCAATTTTATCTTGAGTCTGAAATAAAGATTAATAATAATAATAATAATAATAATAATAATAATATATATATATATATATATATACACATGATACATACATGATGACGATATACATGATACATACATGATAACAAAAACAAATTATGTTAATATAACACTTTTCAAATGTGTGTATCACATGTAATTTTGTATCAATAATAGTTGTAAAGAATATTGTACAACGTAAATTGTATATTAGTTGTAAGTTTCGAAAAGGATTTTTTAAACCTGCCTGTTTTACAGATCATATTTGGCACAGGCTGGACATGTGTACAGGATGAGCAGTACTTTTGTGACATTAGCCGAAGTATTAGAGGCTCGAGGGGGCCCTCTTCTGGAGGAAGAGGTCTGGTCCCTCCTGCTGGCTACTGCAGAGTCTTTAGTGGATGTCGCTTATAAAGGTAAATGAGTGTATACATATTTACCTTTATTTTTATGTGTGTGTGTGTGTATTAATATAAATCAATACATACATGTGGCAGTTGTTGAACCAAGAGCTTCAGTGAATGTCCAAATGTTGTTCATTTTGCAGGTCACAACAACATGTGTACCATTATAAGTCCCACCTCGTTACTGTTGTCGGCCTCTGGTACTTTGGCCTTTAAGAACTGTGGGCTCTCAGAAGAAGTATCCACCTTCACCGCTCCAGAGATGCTCCAGAGCCGAGCTGGTGCCAAACCTGCCACAGAGAGGGTCAGCGAGTGCACACCTTAGCTTTCGAGTTGAATATGATTAAAATACATCAACATTTGTAGATTATGAACACGGCAAAAAATACGTGACACATTTAGGTTGGGGGTAGTGCACACTGATGCCATCTAGTGGCGGGAAAATGATATGTATTCAAATGATTATTGGTTTCGAAGAGGTTGATGAAATACCAAAAAGCCAATCATAGACGAAAAGATTTGTATTTAACTTGTGAAATATGGCACAACAAACAACCCTAGAATTAAGTTGTGGCTGAGACATGTTAATGCAATGTATCTTGTCCCTATCTCGACCTATGTACAACAGATGCTAGTCTACTCACTGGGCATGACTCTCTACTGGTCAGTTGATTTTCACCTACCTCAAAATCAGGTAAGAATTTATAACATATGTCTTTTGCAATTTATAAACTGGTTTTAATATTGAAATGTTTTGTTTTTTGTTCAGCCAGTCCAGTTGAGTGACCACCTAAACAGCCTGCTCCTCAGCATGTGTGAGGACCTGTCCCATCGCAGGATTAATCTAAACTCCATCCTAGAGGCATGTGAATCACAACATAAAAACTCCATCTTGCCATCCCCCACACAAGTGATAAGACAGCTGGTGGAGGAGGTCTTTCATGACTCGGTAAGTTTCCAAACTGCATGTGCCCCTTGCATGGACGCATCACACGCCCCTCAACAGGTGTTTGTACTAATCTGTATAAAACAATGACACAAATGTGCTCCCTGCAGGACAATGGCTCTCTGACAGACAGTAATGTCCCCCTCAGCGGCCGCAGCCAAATGATCAGAGAAAGACTTCATGGTGAGTTGTCGCAATTTAAGAATGTCACAAAAGGTTGACAGAATGTGCATTTGCTGTTCTTTTGATTCAAGACAATGTGCAAGTCAACAGGATTAAGATCTTAGCCTTAAAGCAAGTTGAGGATTAAGGTGCTACAAGAGCCAATGTGCTGAGCCTGGGCTCTCTAAGCTAAACAGTCTGACGGAGTGGTCACCATCTCTACGGAGCAGGACCAAATTAACAAATGCTGCTCTGTTTCACAGGAAAGAGAGGGAATTTAGCCGACTTTAATGACAGCTCGGCGGGAGAAGGGAGAAGATACTCAACTGACTCAGACTCAAAGTCAAGTAAGATGATATACTGTATCTCCAAATACAGTATATGGTATTGACAATAAAGCTAGTATTTGCATTGACTAATTATACTGATTGTATTATTTGTAATATTTTTATAAAAAGTCCTAATTTCTTTCTCAGGTAGTTTACCACACAGACCTTGGAGAAAAAGACCGAGAAGTTCTCCAGCACCTCTTTATCACTCTTCGCTAGACAGGTTTGTACACAGAATTGTGCAGGATTTTTATATCTCGGTGATAAAAAAATGTCTTTACCTGAACTCACCTGTGTTGCAGACTGCACCGCGGAGTTCGGTACAGGGAGAGCAACAGCAGCTGGATCGGCAGAAGTCCACATCACGACATTTCTCCTAAAACGCCAGGACGGTCTAACAGTCCCTCCATCACCTTCAGTGAGTCCTCCATAAGCCTCAGCCAGAGGAAAAACAAGGTATCATCCAAATATGCAATAACTATTCATAAAACATACAATACTGGGGTTGATCTCATGCATGCTTTTGGTCTTGTTTGAATCACTAGTCTCTAGGTCCCGAGTTCATAAGAATGTCAGATGAGCAACAAGTCGTTCTAGAGCTTCCAGGGTCTATTGTGGTAAGAATATCATAGCTTGTGTTGGTAAAAGCATTAAATGTGTTTTATTCATTATTGTGTGTTTTTTTGTGTACAGTCAAGAAAAGGCCGCTCCTGTTCCTCTCAGAGAGAAGTGAGTGTGGTGCTTCCCTGTGGACACTATGTGGTGGTTCGCTGTGACATCAAGTCCAAAGCCAGAGACGTGTTTGATATGGTCGTGGCCCATGCAAATTTAGTGGAACATTTCTATTTTGGTCTTGCATTTATAGATGGTAAGAAGAGATCTGTTGTATGTCTAATGCACCAATACAAACTGCTTCCACATTTATATTTCTGCAGATGATGAATACTTCTTTTTGGACCATGAAACTAAAATCTCTAAAGTAGCTCCTGATAGTTGGAAAAAAGGGCAGATTTCTTCTTTTCTGGTATTTTTAAGAGTAAAGTTTTTTGTTGATGACATCAGTTTCATTTTGTAAGTAAATTTTATTTGTGCGTATTACTTACATTTCTAACATTAATAATATCTAATCCATTATGTGGTCTTTCAGGCACAAACTGACACGTCACCAATACTACTTGCAGATGCGTAAAGATATTTTGGAGGACAGACTTTATTGTAATGAGGAGACAGGCCTGTTCCTGGCTGCTCTGGCTTTGCAAGCAGAGTTTGGGGATTACATGCCAGAGGTGCAAGATACAGAGAGGCATAGAAAAGCTTTTGTTGAACCTCGGCACCTAGGGCTAAATATATGTACTTGCTTTTGTGTTTACAGTTGTATGGAAAGAATTATTATCAACCTGAACATTATGTGTCCAAAAGAATGCTAGAAAAGCTTGCGCTGCCCAGTATCAGAGAAGAGCTGCCAAGACTTCATGCAAGTCATTCTCAGATGCTGCCAGAGGAGGCTGAGACGGAATATCTAAAGGTACAAAAGAACTGAAAACAAATATTCTGTTTTTGTTGTTGTAGGAATTATCTGTCGTTACTGGTGGAAAATGTCTTATACCCCGAAATGTAGACAGTGATTACAAATCCCATTCTGTGCCTTTACTAATATGTACTTTATTGTTTTATCAATCAAGCCCATGTGTGTATGTTTTAGATTTGCCAGCAGCTTCCAGAGTACGGTGTCATGTTTCACCGCGTGGGCAGAGAAAAGCGGCCTGTGGTGGGAGAGTTGGTTTTAGGCGTCTGTGCTCAAGGAGTTATTGTTTATGAAATGAAAAACCACCTGCGTATTGTCACCAGACGTTTTCTTTGGAGGGAGACAGACTCAATATCCACTGGGGTAATGCAGTGTAATTGTAAATTACATGTGTAATTAAATAATAACATTTAAAAACAAATATGTAATCATATGTGTGTCGTGTGTGTGCTTTCTAGCGCCGTAAACTCATTATTGAGTGCGGAGGACCTAGTGGTAAAAAACATGGCTTTGTGACTGAGAGCTCTAAAATAGCTCAGTACCTTCTGAGCCTTTGCTCAGCTCAACATAAGTTTCACAGTGAGATGACATCACGGCAGCTTAACCACAGTCTAATTCCAGGTACAGTAACAAAACCCTTCTGTATATTCATTTACACAACTGAATGACTAATTATTCTGTGTTCCTGCAGATGAAAGTATAGACAAGTACATGTCAATTTACCAAGCACGCAACTTAAGACTGAAGCAGATCTCGTGCTCCGAGGGCATGTTGAACCATGTGGGATTGACTCCAGGCCAAGAAGACTCTATGTCCAAGTCCTGCGACGACATCACTGCCAAACTGGAGGCCCGACTCCGACAGCAGAGGGCCATGAGGCGAGAGATGAGCCGCGAGCTCAACAAAGATCACAGCGAGATTGGAGACGCCAGGGATGTGAAAGAAATGACCTGGAGGTATATCAATGTTTCTTGATAAACAACGGGATATTTATCACAGAGGGCCAGATCGACCATGTTTTTGTTACAGCATTACAGAACCCAGGCGGATGTCAATTGTCTCCTTGCAAAAACAAGACTCAGAAGCATCTTCTATACGAGGTTAATTGCTTACGCTACTTTTCCATCTTTGTAAAGTAAATTAATATGAAAATGTTCTCCTATGTCCAGTTGACACGCCCACAAGAAGCACACCAGAACGAGAGATAGTGTGTGTAGCCCTGAAAAAGGATCCTAAACTTGGCTTTGGTGAGTTTTTACTCGTAATTACTATTAACACATGAAATATTCATGAGTGGAGTGTAATCTTGTCAAATTGTTTCACATTGTCTCACCTCTGTGGTCCTGTTTCAGGCTTTGTGATTGTGGGAGAGGATAATACTGGTAAACTTGACCTCGGGATCTTTATCGCTTCTATTGTACCTGATGGACCTGCGGACAAAGATGGGCGGATAAAACCTGGTAACTAACTAACAACAACATTTCAATATTAGGCAACTACCAAATATCAAAACCCTCTATGGTTTAATTAGTTTTGAATAAATAATGGGTCATATTTTTGTTTGCAATTACAGGTGGTCGCTTAATTTCCTTGAACAAAATCAGTCTTGAAGGAGTAACGTTTAGCGATGCAGCAGCCATCTTACAAAATAGTCCTGATGAAGTTGAGCTAATTGTCTCTCAGCCAAAACGTGAGTTCCTTGGATTCCCTTTGAGCAAGTTCACAGAGTCATATAAGTGTTAATAAATCCTTGTCAAGCTTTTGCTATGTATAGTAATGATCCTGTCATGTCCTGTATGCCTTTTCCTGGTACTTCATCAGAAACCCTCAAGGACAGGACCAGCTCCCTGAGCCAGAGCAGCCTGGGTCTGGCTCTAGAGAGGAACTTTGGCTCTCAGACCACTCTGAGCGGGACAGAGTACCGTCCGGCTGTGGAGGAGCTGGAGGAGGCCATGACTCTCTCCAACATGGCAACGCCTAAGCATAACAAACGGCTGCACATTCCTGTGGTGCGCATCCATGACGCCCAGGTCAGTGTGATTTTAAGCATGTCAAGAGTTCATCCGTATGCATCTGTTTTCAATATACACCACCAAGGATAAAATCTGTTGGAAAAAAGGCTTTTTGAAGTGGTGGAACTCGGAAGGCCACATTATGTGAAATAAAAAATCACTGATCTAGTTCCGTTTCTTCAGGACGTGTGTTCACGCTCGCCATCAATCATCAGTCTAAAAGGTGGTGAAAAGTTTATAGTTGAGCTGAAGAAAGTCAATGGAAGTCTTGGCATAAGTGTTGCGGTGAGTATGATTCATTGGTGCAGTCTGTGTTGAAGAAAACTATATTCAGTGCATTTTAAATGTCTCTCATAAGGGAGGAGTAAACACCAACGTCCGCTTTGGAGGCATCTACATCAAGACTCTGGTCCCTGGAGGAGCTGCAGAAAGAGATGGACGAATTCAAATAGGTCATCTTATTAACTTAAATCTAACTGATCTATGAGTCACAAAACTGCACATCACAGAGGTCCTATGGCATATCACTTTGTCTCCTTGGTTTATGCCTCGGCAAGCAGGAGTGATTTTTATTCATGTTGACATCACCATCATCACTGACAGACACAAAGTGGTTCTGTATTGATGTTGCTAATGAAGATGTGATCTGTATTTGTAAATGTGACAGGTGACAGACTGCTGGAGGTTGACGGGTCGAACCTTAGGGGCGTGACTCACCAACAGGCTGTGGAGTGCCTGAAGAGAACTGCAGAGGTGAAAACACAACTAAACACTCCGATGTGCAATACGCTATCATGTCATTTGTAATACGTAATGTTGACTTAATAGTGTGGTTGAGGTTTAACATACTATAGAGTGACCAACCCTCCAAATTAAGACAGCAACTTACAATTACTTTTGGTTCAATTTCAAGACGAAGTTTACTAAAGATGGATACAGAGGACAGGGGTTGTCAGTCTTATTATTTTAGACATTAGACCATAGACAAGAAAGCCAAACATTGCATATAAGAGTTGAAGAAGAGATTTGCTGAAGAAAAGCAAAAATTGGGCCAAACATGTCTACACATTAGTCCATGGGAGAGTTACCTACTACAATGTTAATCAAAATATAATGAAAATACTGTCTGTAGTTAGCCTTGTGTTATTATTGTTATCTAATTCAAATAGTATAAAGTTAATCCATCTGGGATTCGGGGGGATTTTCAGAGTCCGGCTCTTAATGCGTCGTGATCTGCACCCTTAACGTGCATAGATTCCATACATCCTGGATTGTACACTGATTTGTTTGCTTCACTGCAGGTTGTGAGTCTGTTGTTGGAGCGAGAACCCACCATAGTCCTGGAGTCTAAACCGGACCCACCCTGCCCCCCCTCAGTGCAGACACAGCCCCCCAGGACCGAAGTCTCCATGGAAACAACCTTGAGCGGACGAGCGAAGGACTACAGCTTTGTGACTGATGGTGAGAGGAAACGGCGAGGGACACATATGCTCGCAATAACATCAGCCAGTGTTAGTCGCACACAGCGAACAGTTTTGCCCAGAGGAGCCTGAGTCATCTGACAGCTACATTGTGCTCGCTGTCAGACACGTCCAGAGCTGACGCTGCCGCTGTCCCCTGGAACCACGCGCTAAAAACCTCCAAGCCGCTGTTTATTGCCTCTGCCAAAAGGGACACGCTGCCACCTCAACAACCAGCCTTTTTGTTCTCTGCAAGTCACAATGCTCGTTTTGTATTTACACGGAACAAACGGAATACTGTGATGTCCAAATGCTGGTGTTGAATAGGTTTACAAATCTTTATTAGCTTTAGTTTAATCAAGGCTTTGACTCAGCATTCACAATGATCCTTTTAAATATGTGTGCAAGCCTTATCATTAACATCTCCAATAAAAAAAACAAGATAATAGATTATAGAACATGATACCAGGGCTAAACCAGGGGCCCCGCCTATGTAGGCCTCTTCATAGTTTTTAATGTCAAAAATTATAATCAAACATTTTCACGATAGTTTCAAGCGATTATCGAGCCTTGGTGCAGCCGAACTTTAGTCCCGCCTACAGACAATTTCAGCGGACAGTTCACATTCTGATCAGAATCGTGAGGAAGTCCTAGTCAGGCTGTTGTCAAAATTAACTTATAGCAAAAGAAGAGGTCTAATAAATGTGGAACTTGTTAGTTATAATTTTGTTGATTATGGCTTACAGTCCAATTTGAAAATATTTATAAAAAGTATTTTACTTTGGATTTTTACAAACTGCAAGCCAATCATCAACATCATAACAAATAAAGGCTTGATATATCTCACTTTGCGTGTAACAAGAGTACAAATGATTTGTAGTATTTTGTGACACTTCTCAATTTAGAACATTTATATAACAATAGCACAGTATCCCAAACAGATGATAGTGATTGATTAGATTTCTTAGAGACAATCTATGAAATTCTGTTTACAAGTCCAAATCATTCTGCAAACCCTCGTTGCCCATTTGTACGATTTAACGTTTATGTGGGATATTACGTTTCACATGATTTTTTATTGTCATTTGATGATATGAAATTCTGTGGTTTGTAGATAACACTCATGAGGTGGTTCTGAGGAAGAGTGTGACCGGCCTGGGCTTCAGCTTCTACATCTCACAGTTGAACTCGGTGTCGGACAGAGGAAGTCTCGTCCGAATAAAACGGCTGTTTCCTGGGCAACCGGCCCTGGAGAGCGGTCTGCTGCGTGAAGGAGACGTGATCCTGTCCGTTAACAATGAGCCAGTCAAGGACCTTTCCTATCAGGTAAACTATATGTCTCTTGTCTATTTATTTATTTAGTCTTTTGGCTAACATTGCTTTTAGTGTTAGTCAAATCAAGATTTAGTCCAGTTTTTGTTGAGGGAAATTTCAATGTTGATTTTGTGGTTTCTATCAACCATATTGTCACATATCAACCATTCAATGTCCTGTGGCATTGAATGGTTGATAGTGACAATAAATTTAACAGCATTCACTTGTTTAAACAGCTATTCATTCGCTCATAATGGATTATTTTATTGTTTTGTCTTAGAGAGTTTTGTTTCTGCTTCGTGGTGCACCATCTGAAGTTCACCTACAGATCTGCAGACCTGGAGCTGGGGCACTGTGCGACATAGATGACAACACACTGGTGAGTTTGTTGGAATAGACATGAAATAAACTGTATATCTATCTATACCTATTCTTCCGTCTTTTTAGAGTCCGGCCCCCAAACGAGAGGTTCGGTCACGCTCTTTGGATCTTCGCTTAGGAGAAGACTACAACCACATTTTGAAATTTAACTTTGATGCCAATATTCCTGCACTCACACAGCCTGTCTGCGCAAACCAAGAGCAAAATACAAACAACCAATCAGAGAAAATACGGTGCCGGAGCCCAGTATCAGGAAATCCCAGTGTGCCATCACCTCCACGATCTCCCCCAAAATGCCCAGCCTCCCCTCCTTCTCCCATCACTCCCCCCTCACCTCCTTCACCCCCCTCCCCTGTGGATACTGAACCCAAACCAGCGACAGCACCAAGAGACCAGCACCCAGAGGAGCCCACAGAAGAGCACAGTGTGGCCGTGATCAAGAGGGATGTGAGAAAAGCAGGATCTCATGTAACAATCATGGATGTCTGTTCAAAAAGCTCCAATGACTCTACCATGTACACCAGGTAATATGCCCTGTATGCTATTATTCATGACGACTAAATAATGTCAAAGTATCAAAGGTGTTTATGATTACCAAACGCCAGTGGAAAAACACAATTCCTGGGCATACAATTTACAATTGCTCTCCCTATGACGAAACAACACTGAAATCTTTAGTTCACTTCACCTCTAATAGAAGACATTTGAATAGAATAGAAATCTAATTTATGAAGTCAATCTTTCTCACGGGTAAAGTTAACGTGGCATTTATTGCCTGATCACCTGTCACTATACATTTAGAGGCACTGGCTTCCTGTGGCTCAGAGAATAGACTTTAAAACAGCTCTGCTTGTGTACAAATCTCTCAATGGCCTCGCACCAAAATATATTAGTGACATGTTAGTCCCATATGAACCAGCCCGGACTCTGAGAAGCACAGGGACTGGACTCCTGTTAGTGCCCAGAGTCAGAACTAAACATGGGGAGGCTGCTTTTCAGATTCATGCTGCTAAAATCTGGAACAGTCTTCCTGAAGATGTGAGACAGGCCTCCTCTCTGACAATGTTTAAAACCAAGTTAAAAACAGTTCTGTTTAACTGTGCATACAACTGAGGGATTTTATATTTTTATCTTTCTTTTTAATGTTCTGTGATTATTTATGATTTTAATGCTTTCTTGTTTTGTTCAGCACTTTGAATTGCCTTGCGTATGAATTGTGCTATATAAATAAACTTGCCTTGCCTTGCCTTGAGGTCAACTCATCAGTTTTCTTCATGGCAATAAGCTTTCCAAATATCTCTATGGCTTATATTTTGGACCATGAATGTACATTTACTACTTACTGTTTTGTGTGACCCTGCTGTATATCTCATGGATGTGTAAAATATAACAAAGAAATTAACAATTTATTGGCCCAAACTAAATATTGGCCTCTACTTTGTTAACTTCCTCGTAAGAGTGCATGAAACATTCAATTTATGACTGGGTTTAAGTTTGTTCTTGTGTTTCCCTGTGATTTTGCAGTGGTATCAGAGAGGAGGCGGACGGCAGCGTCACATACTGTCTTGTTGGAAATGGCCTGACAATAATGGCAGATGAGGAGTATTTGACCATCAGCTCGACCCTGGAGCCATACCACAAATCCAGCCTTTCCCTTTACCCAGACCTTCCAGCACAAAGTTCTAAAAAGCCAGATTCTACCTCTCATCAAAGCGTGCCCAACCCAAGCATAGTTTCTCATAAGTCTGGAAGAACTATCTCACCCCTGAACCTTTCATCTGACACTCCAACCACATGTCCTCTATCCCATCCAGCGCAGCCTCTCACAACACAACCTCCCAAAGCCAAACACCACCCGGTTCAACAAGGGCTACTTACAAGTCACCAAAAAGGCACACGCAAAAATAGCAGACCGCTGGTACCACCGCCTCGGCCTCCAGCTCCGACTGTTACCCCCATCACTGCTCAGGTCAGCCCTATAGCCCCACCCAGCGCTACCTCCCCAATGCCTCCACTGCTTCCTCCGCTTCCACTGCCAATCCAAAGAGAGGGGGGGGAGAAAAGAGAAAAGAACTACAAGAACTATGATGATGATGATGATGAATATGACGAGGAGGAAGAGGAGAGTCGAAGAAAGGTATGTACTCTAGACTGTGTGGATATAAGAATGTTTGTGTTGATGTGCTTATCATTTCTTCACATATATTATGATTTAATTTTAGTTTAAAATGATATGGAGAAAGCAATACTTTTCCCAACATTCTTTCCTTTAATAATGCTTGCTCTAACAGAAAAATCTCATAATTAGAAAATAATTATGAACAAATCAGACAACAACATGCATTTAAAAACATGCCTTTTACTCCGTGAGACACTCTTTGGGCTGTCAGGGTGGGTCTTTTTCTCTTTTCTGTCTGAAAAAGCTGATCCAAAGATGTGGCACAAGCCAGAAAAACACATTTGGAACAGAATAACTGTAAATTCAACAAATATTTCAAATGTAGAAGAATTGGCGTGCCACAAACGAGAATCAGATATTAATGAATGACACTGGTGAATTATTATGAGAAATCCCTGTGAATCTAAAATATTAATAATTGTCGACGTTCCAATAACATTCAATCTGTACTCTCTTAGGGAATTATTAAAGAGTTTGAACTCTCCGTGCTTCTCACAAAATCTCGAAACGGCAGCTTTGGATTCACAATCACACGAAGCAAACTGGACAACTGCTACTACATACAAGAAATCCTGGATAACCCCGCCAAAGCCGACGGCCGCCTCAGAGCTGGAGACCGCCTTGTTGTGGTAAACTAACACGGCACTATTTAAATATTAACATTTACTTAACATGTGTAAATCCTGTTATTGTCCTTTCAGGTTAACGGGCACGATGTGACCAGTGTATCAGATGAATTTGCTATGTCGATACTCAGATCTTCTCCAAGACGTCTCAGTATGATTATTGGTAGAGCGGTGACCAACCTGGTAGCTCCCCCTTCGTGTGACAACCTGCCAGACATCATTCTGTATAAAACTCCTTCCGGACAGCTAGGTCAGCCCTCAACACTAGCACAAGAGGTGGCAAGTTACTATGTATCTATTTGACCTGGTATCTGTACTTTACTTTACTGCTATCCGCTCAGCGGCACGGTGGCTGAGTGGATAGCACTCTCGCCTCTCAGCAAGAAGGTCCTGGGTTCGAATCCCGGTTAGACCAAGGCCTTTCTGAGTGGAGTTTGCATGTTCTCCCCGTGTCTGTGTAGGTTTCCTCCGGGTGCTCCGGTTTCCCCTACCACTAAAAATATGTACAATAGTTCTGGCATGTGCCTCCTGTACTGGCACCCCCACTCCCAAAAATAACAATTGTAAACCGCTTTGAGACTCCGATGTGCAGTGAAAAGGCGGTATATAAATAAAGATTACTACTACTACTACTTGACCTGTTTTTCCTGACAACTTTTTAATTTTACATAGTTTATCCAAACTTTCTTGTCTTACGTGGAGTTATTTGCAAATGACGACAAAGTAAAGATGAGAAAGCGTGCTAAAGAATAAATCTAAATGAATTAATTAGATGTATTCCAAAGAACCATAAAACATATTTTCCATTATTATTCGCCTTATGCATTATACTTTTTTTTAACGTACGTACAATAAAAGTGGATACTTACTTAAGGGAATTACTTCGAACAGTTTATTTTTTATTATTAGAAATTCCTAAAACTAGTACTTTTGCCACCTCTGGTTAGCACATAAAGCATAAAATGTACACCGTCTAAATATGTATCTTTCTGTGGCAGGCATTAAGTTGACTGGTGGTATTGGTAGTAAATGGCAGGGAATTTACTGCCTTGAGGTGGTACCAGGGTCGCCGGCGAGTGAAGAGGGCAGTGTTCAACCTAATGACAAGATTCTCTACATCTGTGGAAAGTGCACGCTGGGAATGACACTGGAGGATGCAGTGAAAGCATGTGAGAACGCGCCACGAAAAGTGAAGCTGAAAATTATCAGGTGTGTGGACACTGGTTTAATTCACTCAACAATTGGAAATAGAATTAATTATTATTGTGCTGTTGTTTAGAGACGAACAACCGGTGACCCCCAAGGCTAAATGGAATGGTGAGAGAACCATTTGATGGTAGATTTAGCTTCAGCAACAGTCTGGTTTGATGCGCACTGATGACTACTCCATGGAGACCGAATATACCCATAATGCACGCTCAATGATTGTCTCCAGTATATTAACTGTGGTTGTTGATTACATGAACTCCAATTGATTGTATTCCATTCTCTAGGACTATTTGATTGGAAAAAGGACAAAAAGTTCTTTGCCCGTTTTGAAGACCCTGTCTCCCCAGAGAGAGACGCTCCCTCTGATGAAGGTAAGAACATTATAATTTCTGTTACTGAATGGGAAGTGATGTTGAAGAAGAAATATTATGCCATTAAAAATGATAATGAGACCCTATGTCATCTCCTGTTTTAGAGTATGAAATAATATATATTAGAATGGTCAATAATATCTTATATAAGTAGAAAATGTATCATAGGGAAGAGTTATATTTATATTGTTTATTTCCAAATTCCAATATTGTCAATGTTAAAACATAATTTCACTTGAGACTCTTCCGAAATTATTATGGGGCACAACTTTTGTCTTAAAAGTCTGAAAACTGTTCCAACGCGGATGTCATAGTGGTACAATGACATCATTCTAATACTAGACTGAGACAGGAGCTTTGACAACATAAGTTGGTAGAGCATTGGCCTTTGGGCCTGAAGGTCGTGGGTTCAAGCCCACCATAAGACCTACTTCACGACTCCCACTGATGACTGCTGTCGTTGTGTCCTTGGGCAAGACACTTAAACCCACTTTGCCTGAAGCTCCCACTGAAAGATCTCAGCTCCTGTGCACTCACCACCTGCAGGAGGATCAGTGAGGGGCTGGTGCTAAGTGTACTGGGTGCAGCTCTGACTGCCACCCCCCCGACCCAGAAATGGATTAAGGGGAAGAAAATTGATGGATGGATGGGTCAGTTTTTTATGTTAAAGTTGCAATATGTAAAATGTCAAGTCATCATTAAATGGCGCTATATGTCAAAAGGTATTAATAAATCATGCTATTTTCCAATACTTCTTTAACTGATAACAGTAGTTCAGCCAAGATATTTTCATTTCAATGTCCCACCCACCTCCTCCGTTTTACCAATCATAAAGTCCGTTGTCCGGGTTGCCCGAACTCACTGCTCCGAGCTAATCTTACTGGTTAAGTAACATATGACTGCAGTCTTATGACAAAACAAGGAATAAAACGATGATTTCTATCAGGGATGTCTTTGTGAAAACAATGTTGGTTATAGATTTGTTGTTGACATAACTCTTGTCTATTCAAAAATTATGTCTCCAGCTGGATTCGTCTGCATATCTGGCAACCTGAGTCAGGGAGAGTGGGAGAGGTTGCAGTACCACTTTTGGCCAGATTTTTACATACTGCTCCTTTAACATAATTAAAATCTCAAAGAAAACAATTTTGGAAACTATCTCCTTTAAAGTGACCAATGTATTGAGAATCCACATTGTTGTTCTATACCATTGTATTTCTACTGATTCATATCGGTTTGAGTATCTCTCCCTACTCCATATGTCAGCCCACGTCTATGTGATGAAAATGTAATGTAAAAAACACAAACTATACAATCAGCATACAATTAATTCTGTGCACAATGTCGCCTTAATGCAGACTAAGCAGTTGTGTTCATACAAATATTGCGGTGATTCTGATCCTGGGCTCCAACAGCAGGATTAATAATTAGCAAGTCCCGACCTCCAGTGGTGTATTAGACTGCGAGGCTGTAGGCTCCACAGACAGCTGAGTGCAGGTAGTTCAGCAAGTTCAGTGACAGTAGAAAGACCATTTGTCTGGTACATCAAGAGGGAGGTCAGTTTGTGATGTTTGGTTTGAGGTTAACCTGATAGTGTACTCTATTTTCATTTTGTCAACATTATTCACTTTCAAAAATGGAAACTTTTGTCTCCTTCGCAGAGGCTGTATCTCGGACAGCGGATCGATTTAGATGCCTCTCATTGAACCAAGAACAAGATGTAAGTAAATTGTATTTTTTTTCTAACTATAGTTTTTGTTTCATAAATACAAATTGTTTGTCTTAACAGTCCTGATTTAGTATCACTTTGTGATCCACAACATGCTCTTTTTATCTTATTGGAAACATATATTTTACAAACTGAGGATGAGTCAGGGCTGGAACTTTTTTGCTCAATGATAAAAACCTGATTATGTGACGGAACTAGGGATAGAACCAAAAGAGAGCGAGGAGCTGGTCACATGGATTTTATTACATTTCTTTTTTCTTGTTTGTGGTTTCAAAGTTCAGCTTTAATGGAGATATTCTAATGGCTGATAATCCATTGTTGGGTTTTACAAATAATTGCTGTAGCTTTTTAAATGGTCACTTGTCTCTGAGCTGCTGGTCTTTTGAAGCACTCTCTGTAACTTGACTCTACTATATCTGCATACACATTCTCTGCTGGGGGCAGACTGATGCAGACTGATGCCACTGTGCGTGTGGCTGGCTTCTTTTCACTTCTCTCCACGTACGACACTCTCTTACCTCCGCTTCATCTTCCTCCTGCTGTGTCTCAGAGCTGCATCATGCAAGTGGAGTTCACCAAGCCTGAAGGAGGAGGACTTGGCTTTGCTTTGGTTGGAGGGACCAACGGCAGCATGCTTCGAGTCAGGGAGATCTGCTCTGGGGGAGTGGCTGAGCAGGATGGGCGCCTGAAAGTGGGAGATATTCTATTAGAGGTAAACACATTATTTATTTATTTATTTTTATGTTTGTATAACACATTATGTGTGACCAAACCACATTTTTAAGACATAGAAAAGTGTATCATAGTCCTCTTTAACTAAGATATTTTAAAAGAATGTCAGATATTAGTTGATACTAAAATTATATAAACTAGATACTCATCTCAGAGTGTATGGCAAAATGTGGGATTATATGAGCAGTCGTTTAATGATTTTGAACTGATAATATTTTTATAATAGTAGCTTTAATCCAACTATATCTGTAAAAATAAGAGTATATGATTTAAAGTAACATTGCAGAAAAATACAGGAATTAAATTCTATAGATTTGAAAGAAGTTAGGGAGAAGTTCAGACTTACTATTATGTTTATGTTATATTCTATTCTATTTCTTAGTATCAGAATTTAGTTTGCAGTTGTAGTAATGTGACAACAAAGTAGATCTCCACTATTATCATGTGTGATTCTAAGGTAATCCAAGACTTAGTTGATCATTATAAAGGGTAGTCAGACAAAATTGTCCGATAGAGACTCACAGGGCTCTCTCTTAGGTTGTAAGAGTTAAAGTGCACATGCCATCAATCAACTGACAATTCATGACAAATAGTAGTTTTTAAATTATACAGGAAGACAATTTGCTTACAAAGAGTAGACACAAATTTTGACTCATCTAATCTAATCAGTCCATAACTATTGTGTAAATGAGATTTGGCCATTTTGAAAGTACAATGTGGTACCATGGTATGGTACCTACCTCTATCTACAGCCCATGATAAACCAGTAAACATTACAACTTTACCAAACTTTAAAAACAAATGACCACTATGCAATCCTATTTAATGTAAATCATAAAATGTTAATACATCAATTACAGCAGTATGGTATCAGAGGTGTGGCTTCACACTGGGTAGAGAGCTATCCAACAGACAGGCAACAGTTTGTGAAGATGAATGATCATGTCTGCACATTCCCTGCGGTGTCCCACAGGGGTCAGTGATGGGACCAACATTTTTCATATTGTTCATCAATGATATATGTAATATGTCAAAACTACTCAAGCTTGTATAATTTGCAGATGACACCAATATTTTTTTATCTGATGTAAATTTGAAGACATTACTGGATTACAGTCTTGGTTCAACAGTAACAAATTATCTCTAAATTTAAGTAAAACAAACTTAATGTTATTTGGAAATAGAAAGATATACTCTGATATAAGTGTTGTGATAGATGGCACAAATATTGAGAGGGTTAGTGAAACTAAATTCTTAGGGGTGATAGTAGATGAGAAAGCACACATTAAATACGTGTACACCAAACTAGCCAGAAGTATTGGAGTTTTGGCCAAAGCTAGACAGAAACTGGATCGAAGATCTTTTTATCTTTTTTACTGTACATTAGTGTTACCATATTTGAGCTACTGTGCTGAGGTTTGGGGAAACAATTTTAAAACTGCTATATACCCATTAATTTGTCTACAGAAAAGAGCTATCAGGATCATTTACAAGGTAACCTATCTTGTAAAGGAGCACACAAAGGATTTATTTAAACAAGAAAAAATACTAAAATTCCATGATCTAGTTGATTATTTAACAGTATTAATAATGTACAAAGCAAATTATTACAAATTACCATATCAAATTCAAAAAATTTATCCAGAGATGGTGTCTATAACTTAAAAGGTAAATTCAAATTCAATCCTGCGAGAGCACTTACAACTAGAAAGTGTTTCTGTGTCTCTATCTGTGGGGTGAGGCTCTGGAACGCCATGAGTGAGGAGCTGAAGGAATGTCCAGACATGAAAACATTTTAAAATAATTACAAAGAATCCATTTTGGCTCGATGTTCTTGGAGAAGGCACTAACTTTACCTACTCTAGGAAATATGGAGTATATTAAAAATTGCAAATAATATATAGGAAAAATGAAAAAAATAATGGATGGATGGATAAAACATATAAATCATGTATATGTGTTCACTTGCCTATAGTGTATATGCTGATGTGTGTACATGTGTTAATATATGTTTATATGCATGTGTATGTATGGATGTATGTATATATAACACTGGGTAACAACAAAATATTTTTTGAAAATAGTCCAGGGTTTTTCAGCTGAATTAGACTCATTTTGATGCTCTGAGTCCGAAAATGACCTTGGTTTTGCTCAATCAGGTCAGGATTTTTTGCTACAGAAATACTTTTTTAAATCAATTTTGCGTAAAAAACAAATTTCTGCGGATCATCAGCTGAGAAACCCTTGACCTTTTTTCCGTTTTCCTCAAGAGATAAAAGTCAACGTATCCAAAGTCTACAGGGGTGGGAATATATAAGTTTGACTTCTTCTCACTCCTTTTTTGAGTTGATACTTAGTTATTTAAAATAAATGTATATTGTAAATCTAAGTTATGTACAGTATATTGAAACAAACAACAAACAAAAACAAAACATTTCATTTCAATGTATTGTGATTTTGAGTCAAATCTTAAATATATATGTAAATAATTTATAATTTGTCGTATAGGTTTTAATGTTTTCTGTTTAGATCAAGGAAGTCAAGCATGTGGCGTCATATTATGGCCTACAGAATTATTAATCGTTAGTTACTATACTTTGGGCTATCGTGTATCGTGTATATTAATGAAAATAAAGCAACCACAACAGTGCTATGACGGTGACAGTACAGCCTTTATATTTTAAAGCAAAGTGGGGTATAGTGTCATGCCCAAGAAGACAACGCCGGCAGACAACAGTGGGATTCGGTGGAGAAGGTCTAATGGTGGGCTTGAATCCAGAACCTTCAGGCTCAAAGGCCAATGCTCTACCAACTGAGCCACTGTTGCTCTTATTAGTACTTCTTAAATAAAAATAAATCATCTGCTACAGTTCACAATGACAAGCTGTAGTTTTAGTTCAAGTTAAACGTACTTATTTTGTTCAGAATAATCAAAATAAAACTCAAACTCATGTTAAATTCTTCAATGAAAAACAGCAATCGCACAGTTCATGTGTGTTTACTATTGTATTTACAACAATTGTCTGTATGTTTCAAAAAATATATTTCTACTGTTTATTGTGTCAATGTTTGTTTCAGGTAAATGGAGTTATTGTGTCTGGACTGAGCCATAGTAAAGTGGTGGACATCCTGCGTAAAGCTGAGGGCACGGTGCAGCTCACTATCTGCAGAGACATTCTGACCTACAGTGAGTCGCCACCTCCTTCCAACATTGGTCCCACTGAGGACATTCAAGCGGAGCAGCCGGCCTCTCTACCGGGCGTCAACACTGGGCCAGAACCAGACATCGATCAAAACAGCCCTGTGGAGCTCCCTCCAGGTCTGTGTCCAGAGATATACAACTTTGTTTGATAATTGTCCAGTCCATCGTTAGTGCTTTATGCTCACAGGGAAGGTTTCAATCAAGTGTAACTATGACACAACATTTAATTTGCATTTGGAACGGCATATGCAGTAATTTGTAATGACTTTTATACACTGTATACATTTACAACCTGTATACATTTAGTACACTTTTAAAAACTCCAAGGACATGCATCTTCTGTTTAAAAAGTACAATACTAATGTTATGCATATTCATCGCAGCAGCAGAGACTATGGTCCTGGAAGCACATCTGTGTCTAACTTCACCTCCTCCAACTAAACACCGGCTTACAGTCGTCACTGACGAAATATCTATTCATCAGGTGAACACATATTGATCTCCTGCATGTTCATGTGATGACGTACTGTAATTGTGCTTCATTCGTTCAACGTTTACCCTTTATATATATACTAACATGGACTTATCATGTGTGATCCTCCTGTTTGTGTCCCCTTTGTCCGGAGCAGGACAGCTGTAACAGCTCCCCTTCTCACCAAGCTTGCTGTCCACCCCTCAATGTCACTGACATGTTGCATGGAGCTACTGACAGGTTGTGACCCTACTATATTACTGTACTGTGTATTTGTCTCATTTTCTGTCTGTTGCATGTCTAACCACAAGGAGGCAGTAAAGAGCAAGATATAAAATACTGTATTAGACTGCCTTTGGTCAGAACAAGGTGTTGACAGACAAGAGAAGGTCGGAAGTGCATGAACATTCTAGTATCTCGTTTATTATTTTAGGTGGAAAAGTCGCAGGGAAAGGAAGCCAGTCTTGCATGATTTCAGCCATTCCTACTGAAGAGTAACCCCTGCCCCTGACCTCCCCCAGGAAACATATTGTGACCAAAGTTTTGGATCAGTCTTGCAAAGATCCCCGGAAAACGCAGACCAATTGTTGGAGCAGCGAAGAAGATGATGATGTATTTGCCAACAATAAAGAAATACTAACTCAGTCAGGTGAATTTGTCGAGTTGTATTCTGAGAAATATGAGAAGTGATCATTACTGAAAGGCCTCCTCCTTCCTCAGACACACCAATTGTATCTGAGGAAGAGCTGTCTGCACTCGCTGCAATCAGTCCATCTAAAACCAGCCAGTATTCAGGCTCCAGAGTCAAGGCCCTCATCCAAATCCTGCAACACCAGCTGGACCAACAAGAGCTGATTAAGGAATTCATGGTGTGTTATGCATTTTGTACTGGTAATACATACTGCATAGTAACCACATTTAACTAGATTTCAATTGAGCATCTATTGCATTGCAGGCTTTAGAGCATCTGAAGCCCACAGACAACTGCCTGGTGGCAAAAGCTCCTGAAAACAGAGACAAAAACCGCTACAGAGATATTCTCCCTTGTAAGTATCAATAAAATAATAGAAAAAAAAATCAATGGCCTATGATTAGTGCAAGTCAGGAAAAGTAATAATACCTCAACACTTTATGCTATTTATCAAGTAATATTTTAGGGTACTGGCTTGTTTGACCTTACAAGCCATGTATTCCTAACTGTGTCTGGATCAGCCTCATCATCCTGAGCAAACAGCTTCACAGCACTGGTTTGTCCAGGCTGACCCCAGACCTCTGAGCTGTTTACATTCTTTGGGCAAAATTAGGTGGCTCTGTTTGATCTCTATGATTGATGGATTTATCAAGAATGTGTAAATAAATCTAGTAATAGCAACGCCCATCTAAAAAGCAGTTGAGCGTGATTTTTTGTCCATATATTTGCAGTGACATTTTTGCATTCTTCTCACCTGTAGATGACCAAACACGCGTTTGCATTGGTGAAAACCAGGACTACATCAATGCCAGCTTTATACGCATGCATTTTGGAGAGGAGGACTTCTTCTACATCTCCTGCCAGGGTCCTCTGCCTTCCACAGTACAGGCTTTCTGGCAAATGATCTGGGAAAACAGGTCAGACGTTATTGCCATGATGACACAGGAAGTTGAAAGAGGAAGAGTGAAATGCCACAAGTACTGTCCAGAGAGGTTAGATGTGCCCCTGGAGGCAGGCCAGTACCAGCTTCATTTGGAGAATCAACAACGGCTGGAGTACTTTCAGATAAAGATAATTCGTATGGTTGAAAAACAGGTGTGTGCAAATGTATGGAAGGCACATAGCACACAATTTTACTACTCTTCCTCAAAAGGTTAATAGTCGTAATAAAATCTCTTGTGTTGGTCAGACTGGAGAAGCTCACATTGTCCGTCACTTAAAGTTCACTCACTGGCCGGACCACGGAGTGCCCCACAGCTCAGAGCAGCTGGTCCGCTTCATTCGGTACCTGAGGGCAGTGCACCATAAAGGCCCTGTCACTGTGCACTGTAGCGCAGGCATCGGCCGAGCAGGAGTTCTCATCTGTACAGACATCATACTCAGCCTTATTGTCAATGATATGCCTGTAAGTTAAGACTTTCTGTGTCTTTATTTTGTGCAAACAAATTGTGTACTAATCTATTTTGCCTCTGTGTCTCTTCCTAGATTAACGTTAGTGACATTGTAAAAGAAATGAGACGCCAACGGCATGGCATGATTCAGACAAAGGTCAGTGACAGTAGAAAGCTTAGAGGTCAAAGTTCAAGTTCCTTTCCCAGAAGCTCGACATGGCCTTTGTCTCTTGTTTCAGGACCAATATCTTTTCTGCTACAAAGTCTGGCTGGAGGTTTTACAAGGCATTTTGGAGCTTCATGGCAATCACTGGCAGCCAGACAGTCCCAGAGACCACAGAGTGGTTTGAATGTGTCCCCTTCTCCCCTCCTGTTTTCAGAGCACTCACTATGCACAGTCTGCAGTTTCTAAGGTCACAATACACATATGTATATGTTGTTTAAGGTCGGTTGATTTTAATGTGCTCTTCATGTTGTTATTTATTTTTGTTTTCTGCCTTTCTGGACACAGAGACATTCTCTGTGGTCAAAGTATTTCAGTTTAAATGTATTTGTTACTGTCATAAGCATATTCAATATCCATTTGGATCCAAATGTTTATGTGACTGATTTTTAAGTGCATTTTCCCCTAAAATGAAGGGCCTTAGCAAAAATTCAGAAGAAGAATTCACAAACTAAGAACAAGAAAAGACTCAAGTGCCTTGGAAAGACTCGCAGTTCACTCCATATTTACCCAAAACAACGCTGTGTTTTGGGACAGAGCTTTGAGAGCATCAGTGGATATTCTGCAGCAGTAGAGGCTTGGCTAATTTGAGGATTACAGTATGTCATCTTTTGACAGATGTATAATATACAGTATATAAGATACAATTACCAATCTAATGCCTGTACATTTCTTTTGTGTTCATTTTATACAAAATTATTAGTCATAATGAAAGTCTAATAGCACATAGCTTGCACATCCTAATACAGATAAAGAGTGATGCTCGTAACAAATACAAACATGTATTTTAATAAACATTTGGATGTGGATAAACTTTGTTTAAGTTTTATAGGAAAAAACAAGACAAAAAACTATTTGTTGGAGACACCATGCTATATCTGTATTCCATAGCTATTTTAATATAAAATAATATTTGAAGGGTTTACAATCTTCAACTTTGCCACCTCAGATGTATATGATGTAAACAAACTGCATCTGTGAGCTTGTAAGCTTTGATCCTCGTTGCTATCACAGCCACACACCAGCTTCTGTAACGCATGAGCCCAAGTCTGAAACAAATGAGAAACCCAGGTCTGTGTTCAGGGTTTGGCTGAACTTGATCAAATGTGGAATGTACAGCCTCTCATTGTTTGAGCCGAGCATCCTTTGGACCACAGAGCATGCCGACGGTGCTGAATCTTTAGCCTCATGGATGTCTGAGCGAGCCTTCATCCAGTGTATGCAACATTGTTTTGGGACTGTGTTCATTGGTGTCATGTTGACAAGCACATTTTGGGCTCATTTGTGAAAATGCATTATTTACAGTGAAGGAAGTGCTTATGCAAAGCCAATGTGAAATGTAATTAATTCTCTTTGCACAACTGCTTTTAAATTAACAGGTAAATTAATAATGTCATTGTACCAGCTTCTAAATTGTTTGTTGACATCATGTAATGCCTCCTTCTTAAATAAAGGTTGTTTTGAAGCTTCTGTGTCAGACGCAGCTCTCATGTATGAACCCAACATAATTCACTCTAAGCAGCGGAACAGGACCTGTAGCATGGGATTCCCTGATGGCACATATAGAACAGAAATCCGGAGGCAGCCCTAAATCTAACTCCACTGAACGCCTCTTTACTTTTACTGCAGGGTATACTCCCTCTCGGGTTTTACTGCAGGGTAAATAGACTGGTCTCAGAGGGGTCTTTGTGACGGCACAGAAACCCTCAAAACATGAACACAATCCACATACTCCACATAAACCTAAAGCAGAGGGGAAGCACACGATGGATTTATGTCTCTCACATTGGACTCCCGAGCATCTTGCACCAAACAGTCTCCACAATCATTATCATACCTGCATCACTCTTTCCAGGACTCCATACACTCAAATGCACTACTATACATGTTCTGGTGGTCATCCATTCAGAGATTATCATTATTTCAGTATTCAAAATGCATACAAACAAAGCCAACATTAATGTTATACCCACATTTCCAGACATTTCTTCTTGTAAGAAATAACTTGTTTTTAATGTTCACAAATAGTTTGATAAATACATAAGATAAAAGCTTCAAAGTCATGACATAATGAGCCATAATGTGTTTTGTGCTTGCTGTTGACTTTGGCCCTTGTAAGGCGACCCCACAGACTGCACTGTGATGACAGCACTCTGACAGAGGCACAGAGACCCATTCATCGTTTGTGGAGCAGAATGTCACTTCTGGGAACGTCCAAAACTGTGTTGTCAGAGGGAGTTGATTAGGGACTCTTGTATGTTCACTAGTAATTATCTGTAGCTGGTCATTTAAAGGGTCCGCTCTGTTCCCCATCTAATACTCGTAGCTGTGCTGTGAATGAAGTATAGAGTTTTAAGACTGTTGGTCATCAAATACATATGTGTTTGCTGGTCATCATGAATTTGACTACCAACAATCCAGCATTTTCATGTTAAATATCAATCTTGATATTTTGGCTTCAATATCTTCTGATATCTATTTAGAATCAAGGAACAGTGAAAAGAAACCAACTTACAAAAAGCTTACAATAGTGTTTTTTAACTGGTGTTTATCCTGAACTAGATAATATTTGATGAAAAAAAAGAAGAAAAAGATGTTCTGAAACTTCTATTTTATTATCAACTTATAAATTGTCTTATTACAATGAAAAGATAGCGACTTTCATTGAACAACACCCGGTCCAGCAAATGTTCAAATATCAGCTCAGATATCTGATACCAGTATCGTATCATTGGTGTGAATTGGAAATATATTGAGTCACTATTCAACTAGTGAAATACATTGCTTAAGAAATTCCAAGTTAGCAACATGTTGAGGTCAAAGGTTTCTTTGGTTTCTTGAACTTTGAGAGGACAAATCAGTCAATGCAGTTGGAGGAAAGGCTCCATTTCCACATCCATTAATCACTAATGATTAAAAGGTGACCTCAACAGTAAATGAGTAACTGCCAGTGGACACACGCCTGACATAGAGTGAAGCTTTAGAAATATAAACTGTCCTTAGGTGTCAAAGGGATATCTAATTAAACAGGCACAAATGTGTAGAGCAGCAGAAACCTAACTTTATGAACTGAACGATGTAGGTCATTGAGAGGCAAGGATGATGTTCTCTTTGTCAAACTCCCGAGTAAATCATACGCTACTTCAGAACAAGGTTGATTAACACCTGCTTTCAATTAGGCTGTTCTCCCACATCACGCTCGGCCTGCAATAATAAAAAAGAGTTTACGCCCCATCACACCAAAGATGTTCCTGAATTAGAAAGTCATTAAACCATCGAGAGGAGACGCACTATGTTGGAGCATCGTTTGTCTTCATTTGAGCCGGCCCTCCACCGCCATCTCCACGGGGGCGGCTAATTGAAAAAGGCCTACAGAATTGCGATTGTAATAATTTATTGCTCTCAGCTTGTGGAGTCCTGGGAGTCATTTGTATTCATTAGTGTAAATTCAAATTATGTTTGTGATTAAAATGTGACTTTGACAGGCAGAGGGGCCTCAGACAGGACAGGCGCTGATGGGACCCCTGCTCCGGGTCACTGCCTCCTGCGTTTGCCTCTCTCCAAAACACAAGGAAAAGAGGCATTCCCCACCTCGCTGCCATCAATCTGTGTCTCTTTCAAGTTTACACATTAGCGGTGATGGACTCTAGATAGGCCCTTGTTGTCTATGCACTGCGCACAACAGTTTGAGACACCTTCAAAAAGACACTGAACAGTAATTTTCCCTGATTCAATTATTTTAGGGAACATTGACCAAACTGTTTCTCCAAATGTCGAGCAGTGAAGTGTTCCAAAGAGGAGCTGGCAGTTAAGTAGGTCAGTGTCAGTGTGATGAACATCAGGTCTGGCGTGTCGTCCTGTCACAGCCCAGTGGACAGGCAGCTGAGTGCTCTGCTACTGAAGCCACTAACCACTGTGAAGCAGTGGAGACTATCAGACGCTCAGTCAAAGGACAAATGTGATTTGTGAAATGTGTTCCATGAGCTAAATGACACATCCCAAAATATAATGACACTACTTCAAGATATATAGAACTATTGTATTATACCAGTATGAATAAAGAAAATGCATTGAGCAAGAATACTGTTTACTATGGCTTATAAAAATATTAATGAATGGGGTGACAGTAGCTCAGTTGGTAGAGCACTAGTCTTTGGACCTAATGGTTGTGGGTTTCGATCCCACCACGACGCATGTCAACTGCTCCCACTGTTGTCTGTCTGTCGTTGTGTCCCTGGGAAGATACTTAACTTCACATTTCCTGAAGCCCCCGCTGAAAGACTAAGGCCATGTCTTCGATGACTGAGAAGCCATCATCCTGTGGACCCACTACCTGCAGGAGGATCGGTGAGGAACTGGTGCTATGAGACTTAGGTGGCGGCTCTGATTGCCACCCCCGACCCAGAAATGGATTAATAAAGGGGATGAAAATAACGTGACATTATAGTAATGAATACTGTTCATAGTGTTTTGAAAACAGATTTCCCTTCTAAATTCTATGAATCACTCTCACTTTGAAACGTCACATATTACTGTGCAAACATGGAAAACATCTTGGCGTGCACACTTCCCCAAAAGTGGAAAATCCCAGAGTTTCCTTCTGACCCTGGTCCACACTTGACACAGGGACAACAGTGCCAGTGGACATGAATGGGGCTTTTCTCCGAGGTGAAGGAACCCTCACACGTGTACAGGTACATGGTACATGCACTCTCCCACGCTCTGCAGATGTCAGGCTGTGGGAGACCAAGCTTTCGTTTGGTATTTTTACATAATCTATGAAACCATATGCAGGAGCATGCTTTGATATGCATTCAAATAGTATGCAATGAGGTAACATAATATAAATATTGACTCAATAACATGTAAGAGATTATGGAGCTCTAACTCAGTGAATGTCTATCTTCTGTTATCTCTGACATGGGTTCTACTCTTTCCTTTGTCATAAACACTTTATCAGGAGGCACACCTGCTCAGTGTGTATCCTTCACTTTCCCTCCTTGAGATAGATGCTGTTTTCTTTCTAACCAAGTCTGGACTATAAACAGATTATTACACATGAATGCCTGAGACTCATGTCACAGTTATTAAGAGCAAAATTTAGGATGCTAAAATGTCACGTAGAAT